GGCTGATGTAGAGGCAGAGACAGGTTCAGGTTCGGCTGATGTAGAGGTTTGATCAGTGTTTGTCACAGAGGTCTGACCTGGAGCAGGAGCTGAAGCCTCGGCTGGCGTTTCCTCTGTTCTGGTGAGCTCAGAGTCCCGACCTGTTGGGACCTCTGGCAGGACTTTGGGTTCTGTGTTGGTACCAGAACTCTGTGTCTCACTGACGGTGTCTGCTGTGATTGTGGAGTCCTTACGGGGACGACCCCGCTTTCGTTTTGGGGACTGAGGTGGGATCCCATCCTCACACAGTGAAGTGGGCGGAGTCATTTTACTGTCGTGCTCAGTAACCACGGTAACAACCTTAGGGGGCCGGCCCCTCTTTCTTTTTAAAGGCGTAGGAAGAGAATTGGACTCTGTGGAAGCTGCGGTGGCGTCTTTGGCCGGCGTTGTGTCGGTTTTCTTCGGCTGAGTCGCTCCTCTTCCTCGACCCGTGAGCTGCTGCTCTCCGAGCTGAGCGGCCAAACGAGATTCAGTTTCCAGCCTGCGCCGCACAGGAAGGTTCCTGAGGACGGGCATGTCGGGAGAAAGATGTGGAGGAGAGTATGGAGGGTAACTCCGGGCCGGCTGCGGGTGCAGCGGAGAACTCGGGGAGGAGTCTTGGTCCTGAGGAGTCACTTTAGTCTTTTCATCGGGGCTTTGTGAGGAGTTATCTTTGTTTGGTTCGTCTGTAGCATCAGCAGCGTTCTCCTCAGCGGTCGCCTCCTCGGAGGAACCTCCAGTTCCACTTCCTCTGCGTCTCCTCTTCCGTGGCTCCTTCTCCTCCACCACGGTGACCAACCTCCCTGGAAGCTTCCGCAGGACTTTGGCTGAGGGGGAGTCGTCCGTCAGGCCCCGGAGCACCTCACCGTCAGCTGACTGGCGCTTCCGAGGGGACCGGGAGGTGGAGGGGGGAGACATGGGGCTGTGGTCTTTACCGTTGTCGTCTTTGTTCTGATGGTCTGCTGCACAGCTCGAGTCTATTGAAGACTCGGACATCCTCCTCTCCTTCTCCTCCTCACCTGGCGGTTTCCCTGCAGGAGGCGAGATCGCGGGAGATGCAGGCCCTGGGCCGGGATGGGAGCGGGTCGGTTGAGTTCTGGTTTTTGTGGACTGGTCTCTGACAGGAGATGCAGCTTTTGAAGACCTGGAGGCCTCCTGAAGTCTGTTTGATGAGCAGCTTTTAGAATCTGTTCGGGACGTGGCAGCAGCATCTTTAGCGGCTCCTCGTCCTCTCCGGAGTCTTTCAGGCACTTCTCTCGGCGTCGAAGGCTCGGGTTCAAGTTCAGGCGCCGCGCCGCAGAGTCGACCGCTGGCCCTCGTGGAGGTGAGCGTCTTGTCCTTGGGTTTACGTCCACGACGGGCGGGAGCTGGCTGAGCAGGCTCAGAGGAAGCTGGTGTGGACAGGAAGTCGTCGCCATCTTCGTCAGACGTATGATGGAGCATGAGCCCCTCCTTGGCCTGGTCCAGGCCTTTTCTGGCAGCTTCCACTTGCTCCTAAAAACACAGAAATACAGAATTCACATTTGATGCAGAGCGATAAAAACAACTTTAAACTAGGATTAAATCTCAAACACAGAAAATTGTAAAAAAAAATAAACACTGAAGTGTGTTGTGTGGGTCTTTAGTATTTATGTTTCATTTAATTTAAACTGAATTAAAACAAAAAAGGTTCAAACGTTATGGTTTGGTTTATTTAATGTAAATTACTGGGAGGAAACGCCTCACTGAGATTAATCTATTCTGTATTACGCCTCTTAAAAATGCAAATTTGTTGCTTTTTGTAATTAGTTTTCATGACCTCGGGCCCATCGTGCTGCCTGAACAATCGTTACGTTTGCAAATCTTAAAAAATTAATGTACGAATCAAAACGCTCTAATTGGATTATGGCGAGTGGAAAATAGGATTAAACGAAAACAATTCTGAAATACAAATCTCTAAAAAGGGGAAAACATTGATGTTAATGTTAAACCCTAAATAATAATTTACTTCAAATGTTGATTCACAGTAACAATAATTAGCATAGATGCTAACGTTGAAAACCCCATAGAAGGCTAGCAAAATTAGCTTTGTGTTGATAACAGGAAATGTCTCCACAAATCAAAGTTTTAAAACAATCCTGTTATGATAAAATAAATAAGTGGACAGATTTTTTCAAGGTTTAGAGAAAACACTTTGCTGCAACCTGTTTTCACTGCAGGAAGCTACGGTAGCCCTACTAGGACAAGCGTTGCTTCAGCAGCACAGATTATCAAAATATATTTTTTTACATTTGGACTTTGAATCTGAATATTACTGCTAAGGTCAACATCTGTATTTTATTGTCCAGTATTCAGTTAACAGAGCTGATAAAGTATTTAATATTTGATGAAACGTGAGGCGTTACCTCAGCCTGCTTCAGCTCCTCTTTGCAGACGTCTTCTAAGGAGGCTTCCAGGAAGTTCATGGCGTAACGTTCGATGGGAGTGAGCTAAAGAAAGCAGAGAAAAGTGCGTTTACGTAGGAGTTGGTTTTAAGTACCGGAACTCGTTTACAGACCCGCGTTCACTCACCTGTTCCACCAGAGCAGCTATTTCCTGCTCGGCCTTGGAGAGCTCCTCCACCTCCTCCTGCTCCCCTCCGTCATCCAGCGGGATGTTCTCGTTAAACTCGGCCAGCTCCGCCACCTGCTCTGCTTTGGCCTGAGAGGCGGCCACGATGTCCTCCTCATCCTCAGCCCGACACAGAGCCTGAAACGTTTCATCGATTCAGTTCCTGGTTCACGTTGAAGAAAAGCAGCTAAAACGAGCAGAATATCTCGAACCTGCTCCAGAATGGTGGTGCTCTGTTTGTTGACGCCTTCGTCATCGCCAGCTTGGGGCACAGACAGCTCCACCGCCACCTCCCTCTTCTCCCCATCATTGACATCAAACAGCTCGCGGATCGTTTGCTTAAAGAAGGAGAAACAGACAAAGAGTTCTGTTTATTCAGGGCGACAAACACAGGGAGGCTGCTCGCACATCCTTCTTGTAGTAAAAGTTAAATACTTTAAGTGTGGTGTCAAAAAAAAAAAAAAAACGAAATAATTTGTCCTTAAATTTATTATTTACCTAAGGAAACGGCTAAAATGACTGAAAATAAGTCAATAAAGAGCCGAGTGGAACAAAACAGTTCGACAATTTTATGACATATTTTATATTTACGTTCAGATTTATATAGTATGCAGATATAAAAAAAAAAAAAAGTGTTTTGTTTACATTGAGTGCGGACCCACACTTCAGAAATACATATATTTTTATAAATATAAAAACTACTGGAGCACACTCTTTCAAACTGCACTGTTTGACAGTTCAGGTAAATCCTTTTCTATGTTTTTCAGTTCGCAAAGAGTCGCTTAATTTAGATCATTACAGAAAACTGACTATCCACACTAATTCTCTGTCAAAGGTTTTTATTTCCAAGTTCCAAAGACGTGGTACTCTCAGCAGCTGAAGTACATAAAACCTTTTTCTTTTATGAAAAATGGATAAATAAATCCAGCACATCTAAAACATTAAACTTCTCTTGAAGCTGCTGGTTGCTCAGTCTTTAATGGATTAAAACAAACAAAAAAACACCTGATCAGGATTTAACAGGAAGTGTGCTCCAACATGTTTGTCTCATTAAACCCAGTGATTCATTTTCTCTGACTGGGAGAACAATACCTCCTTGAAAAAGGCCGTGGTGAAGTTTCCACCTTCGATTGCCATATCTCCCAACATCCTCTTCTGGTTGGCTTTCTTTAAAATGTTTTCCTCCACTGTGCGCTCACTGATTAACCTGAACGAAGGAAAAAATATATATTTAACCATTTCTTGACTCATTTTCCAACGTGTCTTTTTATTCTGAGAGGGCTGGTGATATTTTTATCTTCAGCACTTTCATTCAGAAAAACAAAATATTTATCAGTAAAAATGTACAAGTGTAGCCACAAATGAGAAAATCACAGGATGGACAATTTCCTTTTTAAACAGTTTCTAAAGTCTTCAATCACAATTAGTCAGAAATCTGTTTTTAAATGATTGACAGTTTTTTTAATCCAGAATAATAAATCTTAAATATATTTTGCTCTGAAGGATTTAATTTAATGTTTAAAAGTGTTATCGTTTACTGCACATCCTGATTTTTGTGTTCTCTTTAAGGCTGCTCAGGATCTCTTTCTGTGTCGTTTCTATAAAATGCCGCTGTTACATCTTATTTATTTGTTACTGGTTTTATTACAAATAAACCAGTTTGAACTGTGTGAAAGAGAAGGTATACGCTCTGATTTTAGTATGTGTGGTCATTAAATGCGTCACCTGTAGATGTGAACGTCTCGGGTCTGGCCGATGCGGTGGCAGCGGTCCTGCGCTTGTGCGTCCATGGTGGGATTCCAGTCGCTGTCGTAGAAAACAACAGTGTCGGCCCCCGTCAGATTCACCCCCACGCCCCCGCTGCGAGTCGACAGGATGAAGCAGAAGATGCGTCGATCTGCGTTGAAGCGCTCCATGAGGGCCTGAGGACGAAGAGGCACAAACGATGAGCACCAGAGGCTGCGAAGCAGGACACGTGGTGCACGTGGACCGTTCGGACCTGTCTCTGCTCCACTCGGGTGCTGCCGTCCAGGCGGAGGTAGATGTGGCCGTGATAGTTGAGGAACTGCTCCAGCACGTCCAACATGCGCGTCATCTGAGTGAAGATCAGAACTCTGTGGCCTCCAGACTTCAGCTTCCGCAGCAACGTGTGGAGAGTCTGAAGCTTACCTGCAAACAGGCGATGCATATTTCAATAAATTGATTAAGTTGATAAAAGTGGGTGCATCTGCAGAAACTTCCACGTAGGGAACACTCTGGGTATTCCCAGAATGGGAACACATTTGCAGCTAAGGATTGTTGAACACCGAGCAGCTTGTTGGTTTGAAGCAGAGTGTTTTATCTACAAATGTATTTGTTTTTTGACGTGCGCTGCTGCCCGTTCTTGGCCAGGCCACCCTTGTGTGAGAGGTCTTGATCTCAACGGGTTTTTATCTGGTTAAATAAAGGTTTAATAAAAATCTTAAGAACACGAGGTCGGCTACTTTAAATCTCATAAAACAACTTCACTCCTGCTCTGCACTTGATGTTTTCTTACATAAACTGGAATCAAAACTCGTGCAAGTACAGATTTTATTTTTTAATGTCCAGATGTCATAAAGGCAGCTCAGACTGTTTACAAGTTGGCTCTTGTTTTGAAAGAAGCCAAACTTTCCTGCTTCTCTTGTTGAACACGCAGCAACTATAATCCATGCTAACTCACCACAGTCGTACTGTATGAGCCTCAGGTCGGGGAACTGAGTCCTCATGCTGCACTGAATGCGATGGAGGCTGCGGGTGAGCGGAGCCACCTGAGCCGACAGCGTGGACGAGAAGACGGCCTGCTTGTGGCTCAGAGATGGAGGAGGATGGCAGCAGTGCATGGAGATCAGAGGAGCCTCCACTGGAGGAATCGCAAACACAAACCTAAAACGACAGTTAGCTTACAAATCTTCAGTCTTAGTTATGATCGAGCAAGTCAGTAAGAAAACCCTTATTTACCGCTCTATTATTTCACTGAGGAGCTCCAGACGTGCTTCCAGGCTGTTGATGGCCTCTCTTAAAGCAGGACTCTGAAGCCAGAAGTCGTCCCTGTTATGCCACTGAGCGTACAGACGGCTGCTGTGTCCCGAGCGACCCCACTCCCCCTCAGCCTTCAGAGCTGCTGGAGATGGACGAGGACCGGGAAGAAAAGTCAGGAAGTCCAAAACCTCTCGGCCATACACTGGTTTCGCCCCGCAGCGACGCTCGTTGACTCCAAAGATGAAGTCCAGTCGGCTGCTGCGCTGCTGTTTGAGGTCGTCGGCCAGCCATGACTGTTGGTGCAGAGAAATGAGAGATGAGGGTGAAAGGCTGGAGGACAAACGGGTCGAACAGCAAAGATCACGTTCGAGAAATCTGTAAGTAAAATCAGCTGTTCATTTATTTTACTTATACTTTTATGTATTTTCCATCGTTCTCTGCAGCTCCAGAAGTTTAAACAAACCTGAGCTGTTACTAAAAAAGAAACTTTACAGACACTCTGCAAGAAGACAACAAACAAAACCAGTTTTCTCATATTGATGCATAACGTGTTCTTAAATTAAAAAAAATATGTTTGTTTTGCCATCTATGGAAACAGACTAAGTTACTGAAGAACTTCAACAATGATGGCGTCCATGAGAAGACTACGCTTGTCAGATTCCACATCTGCCTACAGGTCGCAGCCAAATCATGTGACTCAAGTGGTTTCATTCAACACAGCGTTTTGTTTACATTGAATGTGGACCCACATTTTAGAAATGCATATTATTATATTTGGAAAACTACTGCAAAATGTAACTTGAACAGTTTTCTGCATAAACTTTCCAGAGCCGTGAGAGTGACTCAAAACTAAAAAAGCTAATTTTACATATGAAGTTGTGTAAAACTGAGGCTTCAGATTTGGTTCGAGTCGTCTCTTCAGTCAACGTCGTTCAAGGTGTCACGTAATTTTTTATTTATTTAAAGCTTTAGGATTGAACAGACTTACCATGTGGAAAGGAGAGCGTGGAGGTGGGCGGGGGAGCCTCCTGGGTGGAGGGTTGGGTTTTGGACGTGCACTGGGCTTTGACTTGGTAGAAACTGGTGTTTGAGTACTGCTGTTGTCCCGTGGTGCAGCTGAAGATTTGGACACAGACGGAGAGGAAGTTACCGGAGCTGGAAACGAGAAAGCAGAGCATGGATTACAAAACGCTCGTGTAAAGACGGCTTTGCTTTGTTTAACGCTGGGAATTAAAAAAGGGCAAAGCTTTAGCTTTTATCTCGAGAGAGAAAAATACTCCACAGACTTTCACATTTTAAAAAGCTGGAACAGTTTGTTTCTGAAGGACGAGAGTTTTCGAAGCTCTGCTTTTGGACAAGCGTCCAGCGCTCAAGTAAGGAAAACCTGAGCGTGCGCTCTCACCTGGCTGCTCGGTGCAGGGTGGAGGCAGCTGTACTACTTTGAGGACGGGATGCGGGGGCTGGTTCGGGGTTGAGCTCGGGTGCCTGGGAGGAGCTATGGTGTAGTGGGCAGTAGCGGGACCGGGAGTGCGTGAGGCGATCTGTAGCGAAGCGGTGCTCCTCACAGGGGCGGTGTTGGCGTGAGGATGTGGGGAGAGGGGCAGCGCCTGAGGAGCAACACGTGGGGAAGGGGCCACTGCCAGCGTGGGCACGGGCCCGCCCTCCTTGCCTGCTGACTGACGCACGACGATCTTCACGACTCCGGGGCTGCTCACCATGGGCGAAGAGACTGAAAATAATCAAACCAATCAGACAATGTGTGTCTGATCCCGACAGAGCTCAGCTTGAAGCTGCGCTGAGATTAAAGTGAATAATCCGTGTTAAAAACCTTGAGGTGAGGCGTTGTGCGGCAGCTTGTTTGCACAGGGCGCAGCGGCGGACGTGTTCACAGCGTGCGTGTTGGTCGTTGTCTGAACACTCAGCTGGGCCGGCTGGCTGATGAGGTGATGCTGGACGCCGCCGGACACCAGGTGCATCACATTACCTGTAGAGATACAAACTGATCAAACTGACTGTGTTTAGGAGAGATGCACGATACTGGATTTATGTCCGATATGCCAATTTGTTAAAACTTATTTGGCCGATAACCGATACCAATGTTTTTTCTCCTAGACCTACTTACAGAGAGTACACAGCTTTCTCTGCTGTGGAATTAAAATACTACTTTATTCTTCATGGTCTTTGTGAATTTGTGCTTTCAACTTCGTGCTCACTCAAGATGAGAGTTCTGTGATGGAGTTAAACTCGAAGCAGTCTGCTCCCCAGATAAATCGTGTTAAATTATCATTTTCATATATGAATGTTTCTGTTCAGAGCCCTGCGACGACTTCTGATGTGACTTGGCGTTATAGAAATAAACTGAATTGAATTTAATTAAATTTGGTCTGCTACCAAATGCAGATACCAAAAAGGGGGTTGAAAATAATGTAACACTTCAACTTGGATTATTTTTAAAGTCAAATTTATTCAAGACATTTACTCTCTCTAACACAACAACACTTGACCAGTGTAAATTTTCACAAATCTAAACTCAACGGCGCGCGTGATGTCAACATTGTGCTGGCGCTGCAGGCATCCTTGTCACTGGGTTGTCATACAAAAACAGCTCCTTATACATACATATACATATATATATACATATATACATATACATTATATATAAACAGGGCCTTTTATATCAGCAAGTTATTTTAATGGAATGTTCGATATTTAACTTTATCGCCAATATCGGTCGATACCATTACCACACCGATAATATCGTGCATCTCCATTTAGGAGGGTTTATAACAGAGTGAAATGATATGTAGGTGTCTAACATATAGCTTGTCAAAATGTCTAGAGTTTCAGCATTTTATTTATTATCTCCTTAAGCGTAGCAAACATGGATCATCTTTTTTTTTTTGGACAGTATTCAACGTTCTGCTTCTAATGTTCAGAACCGTTATGGGAATAATATGCCACAATCAATAATTTTTATTAGGTTGAAATCTGGAAATGATCCAAAAATTCCTACTTGATGTTTCATGATCCATACTGGGGTCCAGACCAAACCTGGGGAAGCACAGGTAATACCAACCTTGAACTGGGCGTGGCGCTGCTGCTGGGACTTGGTGGATCTGCGCTCCAGACAGAGTCAGTTTGTTCCCTTGAAGCTGGAAGGTGACGGGCTTGCTGCCCTGACATGTCGACACCGGCCGGCCTGCTAAAGAAGCCAGCTGAGCGATGCTCACCACCTCACCGGCTGAGGAAGAAAGAAAATGGTTAGAGAACTCATTCAGGGCCAGTCTTCATCAAATGCTTTTCTCAAATCAATCTACTGACAAGGCAGCCTTGCTTGCATGTCAGGACTAAGTAAAACCCTCTGGGGCATGACGGTGCTGGGGTTCGGGCTCTGATGAGCTGGAACATTGGCTGCACAGGGAGCAACGGGTGGGCGTACAGTCAGCATCGGTTTCGGCGCGCTGGATCTCACTGCAGTCTGAGGAGTGGGGTTCATCGGGGGGCGAGGTGGAGGAGTGGGTGCCACCGAACAAACCACTAAAAACAAAGCATCGAAGAGCATGTTTTAAAATGTTCGGCTTACATCTTCAAGCCTTTGTCAACCTTTATGTTTACTTAAAGTTGTAAATTTTACACTTGCCTTGCTGAACTGCAGGAGCAGGAGGAGGCGCAGGAGCAGAGGTGACCTCCGTGGCTGGAGGAGGTTTGGAGGTCTGAGCTGCAGGAGGAACTGAGCAGGTGGGTTTGTTCATGAGCAGAACCGACCGATTATCCCCTTTGGGAGGCGGCTGGAACATCCTAAAGTGAAAACATTGAACGTTTGTTTTAGAAAACTAAAACTTTCCAGAATGATAAAACCCATAAACCAAGTCCCAACAACAAATACTGAATTTAGGTCCATGACTAAACTGATGGGCTGTCTACTCCGACTTCTGAAGCAAAGAGGAAAGACAAAAGTTTTGAATTATTGTAGCAGCAGCAGCTTGTACCTGTTGACCTTCATGCGAACCGGTTTAGGCCTTGGAGGGGGTTCAGGGGAATCCATAATCTCCTGGATCAGCTGCCGGCCGACCTTGTGACGCGGCAGGAACACGTCCGCTTGGTAACGAGACACACGGCTCTCTAAACCGACGAGATCGAACATGGAGACGTCGCAGCGCTGAGAGAAACGGAACGGAGGAGGAAAAGTTTCACACTAAAGAACGATTTTATGAACAAACTGAAGCTTTTTCTTTCTGCCGACCTTCAGAGGAGGAATCTCCAGCGCATCCAGCGCCAGAGAGGCGGTTTGGAAGACAATGGGCTGTGTAATGAAGGGAGACTGGATGGGTCGGGGGTCAAACAGGTTGGGGTGGTTGCACACTTTACGGAGCTGCATGAGGATGTTTATCACAGACATGAAGTGACCGCTGGCCAGTGTTTCCTGGGTTCTGTGAATCGGACAGAAAAGAAGCCAATAATCAAAAATCAAGAGGAACTGGAGTAAAAAGTTTGAGAGAAAATATTAAATTACGTGGAGTAAAAAGGGGAGTGTCAAAGTAAATGTACGTTCATTTAATGTTCACCTGCTCTTCCCACTAACCCTCTTTACTTTTACCAACGCTGACTCAGAAGTCACACAATGTTTGTGCCATTTTAACTATTCAAATTAGTTGTTTTTTTATTTAAACAATTTTTACCAACATTTATCCATAAAAAATACTTTTAGATCTTTACAGTTCCATCAAAAACTTTGTCCTCTAAAATCTACTTCAGAATATTTGCTCCACTTTATCTTCATGAACTACTTGGCCCTTTCAGCTACAGATCTGGTAATCGTGTCTTTCAGTTAGATTAGCTTATTTTAGCTTTTAGCTACCGTTTACTCATTTTAGCTTGCAGCTATAGTTTTGGTAATTAGACCTTTTAGCTATGAACTTACTAAATTTAAGCTTTCAGCTAAGATTTTGATAACTGTACCTTTGACATGCATTTAGTTAACTTTAGACATTAGCTATGTTTGCTGCAAATATTAGCTTTTAACTACCGTTTTGCTTATTGTATCATTTAGCTACAGTTTTGCTAATATGAGCTTTTTGATTTGCTAATAGTAAGATTTTCTTGCAAATATTTTCTTTTAGCAGCCACTTTACTCACTCCTCAGACTGAAGAAGACTTTTGGGTAAAAGATGAAACGTTTCAACAAACAAGAATCTGTCAGAGGACCCGACTCAACCTTGTTAGAGCCACGTTTCTGTTTTTAGCTTAGTTTGCTTGTTTTAACTACACTGATTCAACAAACTTAAGAAAAGTCAGCACTTATTGTTCGTTTTTTAAATTTTGAGAAAAAAACAGTAACTTCCAGTTTATCTAGTAATTCGCCAAGTATAAACGCTCTTCTACTGAAGCTAATCATTTAGGGGACTCACGAGGCTTGTGCCATGAAGTCGTCGTAGAGAAACCTCTGCCTCTTGGAGAGGCGGCAGCGCACCACGTGCTCGTATTTCTTGGGCATCTGCTTCTCGACGTCAACCTTGATCCTCCTGAGCAGGAAGGGCCTCAGCACCTTGTGGAGCCTCTTGACCAGGCCCTCGTTGTACTCCTGACTGCCCTCGATCATCCCCGTGAGCGGGTTGGAGAACCACTCCTTGAACTCGCGGTGGGACTGGAAGACGTGCGGCATGAGGAAGTGCATGAGGGACCAAAGCTCCATCAGGCTGTTCTGCAAAGGAGTTCCCGTCAGCAGCAGGCGCCGGTGGCTGTGAGGAGAAAACGGCATTTCATTGAGCAAGTTTTCAGCATTTAAAAACTGATGACTGCATCAAATACTTATTGGGAGCAACAATGTGCAAATTTAGCATTTATAACCATCATTTTCCACAAATGAATCCACATCCAGAAGACATAAAGACAGAAATTTAACTGGAGACACTTTTCCCTCCATGCTAAAAATGAAAGCCACATTTTTAATTTCTAGTTTGGTTCAATTGCTGAGCGAAAAGTCTCGATCTTTAATGCAACCGTAATCACTTCAAGCTTGGATCGTTTCAGCTTCGGCCCGTTTCTGTCGTCTCGCCTGCAGACGGTCCAGAACTCTGCAGCCAGACTCTGAACTGGCACCAGAAGGTGAGACGTTATCGCCTCGGAGTACAAATCTGAAAAGATCTGCACGCATTCCTGCTCCAGACCTTGAAGAACTTCTGAACAGCTTTTTGCAGTTTCTTCCTCAACGGTAGTCGCTGCCATGAAAGACGGGCAGTCGTGGGTGTTTGACAGTCTGTTAGCAAAACATTTCATGAACCAAGGGGGTGAATTTCATTGAAACTGCCACCATCACTTTAAATTTTGGAGGCATCTCGAGTCAAGAAAATCCACCTTACCAAACACAAACACGGCTTTTAACTAGTCAGCTTTACAAATAATTCAACTATGATATGGTAGTAGCTGAGTAATGCCCAACTTTTACTCCAAGTGCCAACATGAGATCTGTTGAATGAAATTTAGTTAGAAAACATTTGGTGTTTATTATCATTGACTGTGATTAGGCCTTATAAGCTTTATTCTTAACGTATTTCTACTTTTTTATTTAACCGTCGTTATTATGGTTTATTGTTTTAATTGTGCTTTAAAAATTCATAAACTTTACAAAAGCTATCCACCAAAGTTACGTCAGGTGCTCCGGACAGTTTCTTTTTGTTGAAACGTTTCGTCTTTCCTCCAAAAGACTTCTTCAGTCCAAGGAGCCTCAATAAACTCAGTATGTGAAGGTGCTGTTTATAAGACTGAGCTTGTTGTGGCTCCTCGGACTGAGGAAGTCTTTTGGAGGAAAGACAGTAGATTTAATTGTAGCTTTATAATCAAAAGTAATCCTGTTTAAAAATGCATGACAACAACACATGATGGCAGAGCCTCTCATTTAAGATAAAATGATGTAAATAAAGAAAGAAGTCAGATTGTTTTTACTTTGCAGAGTTTCTGCTTTGGCTCTCTGCTTCTTATCCCTCAAGTCTCCACGACCCAACAAACCACAGGACCCCCCGAGTGTGAAAGACCTGACTTGAGTTAATCGCAGAGTCCAATTTACACACAGGTGCTCACTTTTATCCTCCATCTGCTTCCTGCAGATCTTCAGAGAAGATCCTCGTGTGAACGACTGTACACGACAAAACTAAGCACCTCCTGCTGTTCCGAGAGCCCGTCTGAGTGAGAAATCACCACCAGCTGGAGCAAAACCTCCAGCCGAACGACGGCGAGACCGTCTCGTCACGGCCATTTTGGAAAGAACAAACAGTTCCAGTTGTGAAGACCAGCTGACAAAAGCTACATTTTCATAAATAAATAAATAGACTGTGGAGAAACAGAACAAACAAACGGCAAATTTAAATTCTAAAGCTGGATAACAAAGTCCATGCTCAATAATCCAGGTATACAATCCAACATTTTCCAGTCAGGTCCAAAGCTGGATCCACACCGACACGTTTATTTTTTGTTTTATTTCACCCTATGATATAGTAAAATATTTATTTTTATGTGTTTGTACTCGAATACTTGATACTTCTTGATTGCTAACATTTTCCATCTTCTCACAGACATCAGGTTACACCAGACAGAAATATAAATTACTGTGTTTAGGGTAAAAAAAAAAAAGTTTGATTAAAACAGAGAAAAACATTATAATTAAAAAAACTTGTAAGACTTGCAAAACATACAGTAATCCCTCGCTACTTGGTGGTTCGTTTATCTCGAACTCGCTCTATCGTGGTTTTTCAAAACAAGACTGGACATGACGCAACTGGCTGATTGATGGACGAGCCGCAAAATCGGCATGGAATTTTTATTTAAAATTAATTATTTTAAATTATTTAGCACCTCCTGCACATTTGTGCAGCCCTTACTGCAGGATAAACTTCCTGCTGCAGCTGATCAGCTGATCTCCTTGCAGAGAGTAAAAGTGGGCGTGGCCAAGAGCGCTTGCAGGTGGCTGAGAGAGGGACATCATGACATTCTGTGCTCTTTCAGAGCGTTTAGAGTTTAGAAACAATGTTTAGAATATTGCAAGAGTGTGGGAAAGGTTTAAAACACCTTTATATATACATACACACAAATAAACTACTAATTACTACTTGTACTACTGTTCCTACTTCGCGGTTTTTTACTTATTGCAGGGCTTCAGGGTGCAACTCCCCCGTGAATAACGAGAGACTACTGTACAACTATACGTGATGCAGCTTTTGTTTATATCAAGCAAAACTTTCCTGGAGAGAAAACCTTCTGTAGCATAAAACTTGTTTCTTATTCTGAATAAAACCTCAAGTGAATAAACAATTGTTGGCCAGATGGCACCATGGCCGGAGCTTCTGCTGCCTTTAAAAATGCTCGTTTCCTTTCCACAGATCAGAACGTGGCTGTACATCGTAATTAATAAACACAGAGGTGGTGAAAAATAATTTGGACAGAAAAAAAAAACAAGACATTTATTAAAAAAACAAACAAAAAAAAGATTTATAAACAATGAAACGGTTACAGAACAAACTTTAAGAAACAAGACGTGGACTATTTACTCCCAGCGGATTTCAAAACATCTGTCTCACATCATAGACGAGATGTTAAATCCCCAACTTTCAGCTTTGAAACAACTGAAATGTATGAGCAGATTGTTTATTTTAACACTTTGAACGAACGGGGGAGTGCCGAGGCTCTACAGACCTGTTGAAGTTCAGCAGGCTCTGCCAGCGCTGGGACTTGAAGTTCTTGATGTTCTGAGCCTCGTCGAGGATCAGATAACGCCAAGACTTTCGTCTGAAGGCCTGGTGATCCTGCAGAACCAGCTTGTATGAAGTGATGCACACGTGGAAAGCATTAGGTTTCGTCCAGCCCTGAGAAAAGACATTGGAGGAAAAAAGACTGTTCTTTTCTTCCCAGTACTGATGTTCTGTTTCTCGTTTATTTTAGGACAACATAAAACGATTGTTTATCCACACAAAGGTTCATTTGTACCACTGGCGATCCACTTTAATTTACTTCATTTTTTATATGAAATGTAACCATCATCACTTTGCCGATAGTTGAATTAACAAATAAACACAATTATCTATTTATCTTATTAGAAAGCTTTTTGCTACTTTTAGCTTTAGCAAGTGTAGCACTCCTGTTAGTTTTTAGCTAATGTTCTGCTCCTTTTAGCTTTAACAACTCAGTTGTAGCTTAAAGTCATTCAGCGCTCAGCATTTAAACTGCATTTTCACAGAAAACACTTTTTCTAGTAGTTTACCATTAAAGGGCTTCAGAAATGGTAAAACAGTGAAGACTTTGAATAGACTGACGAGTGGGGACCACTCCCATCAGCAAGGTGCTAGAATGTTACCTGTCTCTTCAGCTTTCTCTCCTTCTGACTGCCAAAGTAGGTGAGGATTTTAAACCCTGGACACCAGCGCTTCAGCTCCATCTCCCAGTTTAGCATCACGCTGGTGGGAACAATGATGAGGTGAGGACCCCAGTTCCCTAAAAAAGAAAAACGGGCCAGAATCTTAGCATGAATCGTTAAGTCGTACGTGCAGAATTCCCTAAAATCTTCAAGTCAGTTACCTTTCTCACAGGCGAGGTGAGCTAACAGGGCGATCGTCTGGATGGTTTTACCCAGACCCATCTCATCGGCGAGGATCCCGTTCAGCTTTTTCTCGAACATGGTGACCAGCCAGTCCAGCCCGATGTGCTGGTATTCACGTAGCGTGCCGTGAAGCAGAAACGGGATGGGGGTTTTTACCTGGAAAATGGAAGAGAAGCTTTCAGGCCAGAACTAAATAATTAGAAGAAGAAACGAAAAGACTTCGATGTTCTGAACCCGACCTTGGTCGTAGCCAGAGTGTAGCCTTTCGGCTGCAGACTCTCTGCTGTCGCAGCAATATGGCTGATCTCTTTCTTTGGCCGTGAGCTGGAGGAAGGAGGGCTGTGGTCTCCCTCCTTCAGCAAAAGCTCCATCCCTTCTCCACACTCTTCATCAATCTCCTCTTCATCATCCTCAGTCTCATCTTCCTCTGCACTGTCTCCAGGGGAATCTGCAAAGCGTGTTTAAACAAGCGAACCCAAAGTTTCTACAGTTTTGTTTCTAATCAAAACAGATGAAATTTAGCACAAATATCTTGTTTTTAAAAGCGTTAGTACCTGAGGAAGAAGCGCTGCTTTCCACGTCACGCTCGTCTTCTTCATTCTCCATCTCCTCATCCCCAGACACCTCCGAATCAGAACTCACTTTAGAGTCTGAAGCAGAAGGAGCCTCGAAGTCTGAGGCGTACGCTCCTTTGTACTTCTCCAGTAGCTCTTCGAGACTCATATCGCCTGAAAGATGAGCAGAAATAAACCGGGTTGGGTTAATTCTTCTGTTTTGTTTTGTTTAATAAAAATTAAAAAGGTTAATTGTTTTGACCGTAGTTCTTTTGATTAAATAATCTATTTTAAAAGGGCTGTGTAAAAGAAGAAGAAAAAAACACTTGAGTAACATAAAAATAATTAAAATAAATGTTTTTTAATAAATACTTTTTTTTTTTAACTGATGGACTTGCAACCTGTCCAGGTGTCCCCCGCCTCTCGCACAGTGATGGCGGGACATGGGCACCAGTGACCCCCGCGACCCAAAAAGGAAGAAGTGGGTAAGAGAGAATGGATGGATGGCATTAAAAAAAAAAAAGACACTTACCTTCTCTGGCCAAGTCATCAAGTTCCTCAGCATGATTGACATGACCTTCGACTTTCTCCTGAGCTGCTATGGTGTCCTCCTCATCCTCAGCTGGACACAAGAAGGAAAAGAAAAGAAAAACACAAAACTTATTTTCAAAGAATTAAAAATACAATTGTCCAAGAATTATTTATAGAAAATTAACCAAAAGCTGTTGCACCTTTTCAACATCTTGAATTAGACTTACCGTCCTCTTCGTTGGCTGTGAATTCTCTGTCTTCATCCTCTTCCTCAGCTGATGAAGATTCATTTGAGCATTGTTCCTCTGAGCCCGAGTCCTACATTTGAAACGGTGAGTTCAGAAAACTGTGCAACATTTAAACAAACAACGATCTGTCCATAGATGCATGATTCCTTTGCTTCTATTAAAGTGTAATAACTGTGTAATCTACATTAAAATGTCTAAACATATTTACAAACACACATTTTGGTTTACAATGTTCATAATCAATAAAGAGCTATAGTTCAGTAAGCAAACGTCTCATGGATGTTTCACGTAATCCTCAGATTTTCAGTGATTAAAATAAAGAAAAATAAGTGATCTAACAAAAGCAGCAGTTTAGTCAGAATTTGTCCCGTTTGTTAACCAGTCATGTGTTGGTAGTGGGAACAGTGGCACACACACACACAAAAAGTGTTGATGTTTGTAATTCAGGCTAAAACTCATCTAATTGCACTGTTTTATTGTTAAAATGCTGATATTTTAATAAGCAATCGAAGTCACTGTCATCAGATTTCCCAGCTTGCAGCTTCACAGGAAGTTAATCCGGCCAAAGAGGAGAAAGTCGACTAACAGCAGGAAGGAAGAGCACCACCAAGACAAACGTGTTTTTAAATCATCGCTCATAAGCATTATTCATACCTAGACAATTATAATAAATCTACGTAGATCGTAAAATTATTATTTTGTCCAGAACTGCTGCAACAGTTTTCATTTTCCAAGTCCAAGGATTTCATTGTGTTTTCATGAAAACATTTTATACAAATCTGCTGCTTTGACATTAACGGAACTAAAAAGAACTCCCAGAGACCGAATAACATTTAAGTTGTTAACCAAGTGCTGGATATTTAAAATCAGTTTCAGGATTTTACAGATGCATCAATTTGTACATATATTAACATGCGTCTTGTATAAGTTAATATCGTGGTTTCTTCTGTAGTTCTAACTGGAAGGAGGCAGTTTGTGGTGGTACCTCTGGAGGCGGCAGTTTGAGCGTGCTGAGCAGCTGGTCCAGAGGCAGCATGCCCTCCTCCTTCAGCAGTTCTATCTCCCTCTGATGGCTCTCTGCATCATTGCCCTCCTGCTGCTCCTCCACCTCTATGGTCTCTTCATCATCCTCCTCCTCACAAGGAGGCTCAAAGTCTCCGTCTGCATGAAGATAAGATGTTTTTCCCCAGATTAAAAAAGTATATTTCTCTGCTACAACTGAAGACCTTCTCTCAAAAGTTTGCCCAAAACCATAAAGACTAAAATAAACGGAGTTCTGGAGAAACGTTTTAAAATGTCTGGTTTCATCCAGAAACTGATGTTAGGAAGCTTTTATCACAATAATGAAATCGTATGTTTTAGATTTCAACAATATCAGTGCACAGATTAGTAGGTTCTTTACTGGAACAAATAAAAAACGAGATGGGATAAGACCAGTGGTGCATATCCACTGTCGGGTGTTTTTCTGGGGAGGAAATTAAACTGGATTCACTGGTCGCCGTCACACGTTTGAAATCAAATGTCACTGGTAATAACACGTGCAGCAGACTCGTCTCACAGGTTTGACGGCTCCGTGGCCTGATGGGTGCCACGCAGCATTAGGCTCAGAGCTCTGGACGCATTCGTTGTCCCTGCTCTTTTAATTCTTAGACTCATTTTAAAATGAGGAATCTGCTCACAGGTGTCTGGGGGATTTCACAGAACTTTGACAATAATCAAAGTAGCACCTTGACGGGGAGGAACAGCCTTTTGTTTCTATGAAGGATTTTACCGCAGCGTACACTGAGGAACATTCAGTCACTGGTGCGCTGGTATGACAGCACTTCTGTCTGATCCATCGAATCAGGTCTGAAAGCGCTCCAACGTGTTGACAGAAAGAACCATTTACAAAGAGACATGCTTAAGAATGTTTTTACCGTCTTCGTCGACGGGAGGAGGCACTGATTTCTGCGGAGACACGGCGGTCTCAAGAGGCCTGGCGGGTGCGAGGGACTTGCTGAGGAGGTCCGAGTACTTTTCGGTTTGGCCGACAATAAAGTCTAGCTGAAGGTCTAAAGCCTTCTTCCGCTTTTCCTCCAGTCTGGACTGCTGCTTGAACTGCACCACCTTCACACGTAGAAAAACAGAACATCAGCCCTCTGAAAATGGGCAAATTTCACTTTATAATTTGAATAAAGTCAATAATAAATTAAACACTAGCATTCTTTGAAGGAAAGCATCTTGTCCTCCACAGTTTGAGCTCAAAGTACTCATTAGGGATGACTCTCAGCTCCACAACAAATTTTAGCTCTTTATCTTTAGTTATATTCAATTCTGTGTTAGCTAAAATATTTTAGCTGTGGCGACCATCTGGAATCAGATTAACTCAGAAAAGGTTGTTGATGCACATTCAGTACATTTTTTAAAGTTTCAGTAAATTTCATGAAGTGAAGAACAAGATAATTTGCTAAAAGAAAGAAGCACAAGTAAATGGAGATTGCTCTACTTTCACAGTTTTTTAAGGCTAAATAAATGTTTACAAGTATAAATAATTTACAGAAATATTTTGGTACAATTTCAATAAACGGACATTATAACTGGATTTATTGGATTGTACTTTTAAAATAAATTAAAAACTTGAGATCATAGCTGTGTCTTTATTAAACTGCATTTGCACAAAATTTGACACTTTTCTGTAAACTATTAAGATGACTTGTTTCATGAAGCAATAACTAAATATAGCTTGTTTTTTAAAAGACAAATTAAAGAGAATAAAAACATTGGCTAACAAAAAGTAGAAATAAATAAAATCAGCCATGTGAATAAATTTAGCATGCAAATAATTAAAATTATAATCTATTTCACTGAATCACAGACGATAACAGGATGATAATAACACACTGTGCAGTCACAAGGATCCCTTTAATCTTAAATGTCCACAGCAGGTGTAGAAGAATATAGCTAAAATAGCTTAATGCTAAAACACTGAAGAAGATTGTGAGCGTTGTGGTGACCGTAGACAAAGAGGGGTGAGTAAAATGTGGGTTGATCACTGATAAATTATTACTGATAATGTCATCGCAACATTCAACAAAAATGCAAATTCAGTTTTCCTAAAAGCCATCATGCAGCCCTAACATGCTTCCACTACTAGATTTATTTTACGATAAAGCGGAGCAGGGATGTTTTCTACCTTCTCGACGTTGCTCCAGAACGACCGGACTTCCTTTGCAATAGAAGAAGCAACTCGTCTGATTTTGGCGTGCTCGTCTCGTTTGGCTTTTTCTTCTTTCTGCCTCAGCTCGTCATGATGCCGCATCACCATTCGTACCACCTGATAGTACATGAACAGAAAATGAATCTAACATTTGCAGTGTACGCCATCAGAGATACAGCAGTGATACGGTGTCTATTCTTCTGGATTACAACTCGACAAATCAGAGCTCTGTAATAAACACTACCTTTCTTGCCACGCCTCTTTTCCACCGTCTTTCTTGAGCGAAGTCAGCAGAGAGCCACTGCATTTCCTCGCACAGGTAATCCCAGTGAACTTTGGGCCGTGGCGGCTCCGTCAGACGGGTGAGACGCTTCATTGACCAGAAACCTTCCCGCTTTAGAGAATGGGTTCGATGCTCAATCTCCGCTTCCTACAGGACGCATGAACCAGTCAGTCAACCAGGTCTATGAAAACAGGGTTCCCAACATTTCATGAATACAAAATTCCCTGAGTTTTCCTTGATTTTTCTCTGAGTAAACCCTGAAATTCAGTCACACAAAACATTCAGAACTTAACGTCTTAGGTGGAGAGCAAAGGAATTACTGTAGCCTACAGGAATCATTCCTAATAATTAATTAAACTGTTTAACATCTGATACTAAAGAGCCAACAAAGCCAGCCAGTAAGGATACATGTACTATGGACACTGCAGAAGCAGAAGCTGTGTTCAAATTCCACGAGTTTTCCCTGTGTGAAAAATGTGAAAATAATTTTTCAGGTTTCCCCTGATTTTCAGGGTTTTTGGGAACCCTGTGAAATTACTCTTTGGGTAACATCTCACTATGACTGTTTGAGACAAGTTCGTAACTCAAAATCACAAGAAAATGGTGAGAAAACAGACAAACTTTCAGCTGCAGTCTCACTGAATTCTTAACGTTTGTGACCAAGTGACCAGGAAGTTGTGTAGGTGAGTTTTGAGCATTCAAACTTTTAAAACCACTGCCTATTTTTGACGATGTAAGGCGGTGGGCTAATGCTAGCTAATGTTAGCTTGTTTACAGTCATTTTAAGTTGCGTACAACCGGGCCAGTGAAACAATTAATTGCCTGCAGTCTGCTGATGTGAAATTAGCAGCACTAGTCAACCTGCAATGGAGCCCCCGGTCTCTGGGACCACCCATTGCAAAGACTAAGAACCTGGGCCACAATGAAAATGTTTATTGTTGTTGCTGTTGTCCATTGTTGTCATCTTTCTTTGTTGAAATCAGGTCTCTCTTGTAAATGAGTCCTCGAGGCTCAATGGGATTTACCTGTATAAATAAAGGTTGATTGAAAAAAGGGCCAAAAGTGTGGTAGAAAAAACAATGATCAAAGGTCAAGATATGTCCCCTTCTGATCGCACTGCTTGCATTTTGAATCGTGATGGACTCCATGGATAAAGAACTACTGGTAGGAGGATCCACTATTGACAGAAAAAATCCAAACAGGAATTCCCCAAAATGCATGTTGACAAAAACCAGTTTCTGGGACTAATGAAATAAATGGCACTTTGCCACCGTCTCAGCGCTCATCAGCTCTGCACCACACCACATCAGTTAAGGGCCAGTACCATCACCACTCAGCCCAGTTTATGAGACCACCTTGTTCATGGTTTCAAGCGAACTGCTCCACGGGGGCAAATTTGACGCAAGTAGACAGCAACCGTTGATTGGCCAGCAGAGCTACGTCACTGGATGACCCACCCAGGAAAACTGCAAACTACATACATCTGAACCTCCACTTCCTCATCATGTTGACGGACGGCACGGCAAGAAATGAATGCATTTAGAGAGAGATGTCGAAGATGATGGCGCAGCATGGCTACACCCGGACTTATGAGCAGTGTCGGGACAAGCTAACGAAATTTAAGTCCGATAATAGGGCAATTAAGGGCCACAACGGGTGGAGTGGCTCCAGCACCGACCAGTTATGATCCCACCCACAGAGTGGGAAAACGGGTCACAGTGGCAAATCACCTCCACCTGAGAAGAACCGATAAGACAAGAGCCGAGTGGAGTCGCACTTCTCAATAGCAAAGTGGCTAAAACTGGAGGCTTTTTGGCTCCAGTCACATCAGTTGTGTTTTCTTAGATTTTTGGGAAGGATGCCGACAAATGTATCTCCATCTGTATTAATTAATTACAGAATCAGAATTTGTACTTTCCGTACAGCCATCCTAAAGATGGACAGAAGTGTACAGGGGGCTGCAGCTGTTAAGATGCGCTGCCCTTGTTGCTTAGATAAGAAAAGGGGAACATAAGGAGAGAGGTATAAAAAAAAACGGACAGTCTAGTAAATGTTACGTTTCGTACTTTAAAAGAAAAGCAGCAAGGTAGCAGACGTAAGAAAACAAATTGGAATGTGAAATTACTTTTAGTAGTTTAAACTTGGAAACTAAAAAAGCACATAATAAACGGAGATCAAGCACGGTCCAACAAGTGTCCATAAAAGCACCAAAATGTCTCAACATGAACATTGGTCATATTTAAATATAAACACATTTTCATTACATCTTAAGGCACACGTACATGTTTCGCCAGTTTTGCCATGTCTGTGTGACGTTCTCCACGAGACCGGTGAGATGTGGCCTGGTCCGGTGGGGAAGAGGAAGGAGAAACAAACTTGCTGTGTGAACCTCTGGTAGGCGAGACTTTCTCCCGTCTACGTGTTGCCCAGTCAGAGGTGGATGAGGAGCCAAAGGAGGAAGAGGTGGAAGGTGAGGCCGGAGAGGAATTGATGGCGACTCGATCCGAGATCCACTGGCGCACCTGGGAGGGGAGACAGAAAGACGACGACATTTTAAGTGACAAAAACAAGAAGCACAATGTTTCGTGTGTGAATAATGTTAGAGCAGGGGGTAAAATGCAAAAAAAATTAAATAAACGTGAGAATTGTTCAGAATTAAACACTACAAAGTAATTTTCCGTTAGGCTGTTGACGTCATGCAATAATAAACGCGGCTAAAGGCAAAAACAACAAATAAACTTGTAAAACTGTCCAGTGCTGGTGTAAGATGTGCCCATTAATGCTCTGTAACGGTGAGCTCTTCTGGGTGTCTGATTACTGCCGCTTACCTTAAGGAACAGTGCCTGTCTGTCTGTCCTGCTCTGCCCACGCTGGAAAACACACATGGCTTAGCATGCGGACAACTTAAACGAAATAAATCACTACAGAAGAAAAAAACTAAATACATGAGTTGGAAAAAGACGACAGCAGAAACATGCCCGATTGCAACATTGCTTTGTTTTTAGACAAACTTTACACCCGTGCCTAGCCTTTTTAGCTAGGTGCACCAGCACAACATTTAAGGGCATCTAAATACACGTGAAAATATAATTTAAAAAAATCCTCATTTGTCACAATACCCAGATAAATTAGTCGTATAAAATCACTGCAACAGGAGTACGATGATGGTGAAGCTAAACATTTGTTAGTATTTTAACTGAAGCTCAAACATAAATTAGAAGAAAAACAAAAGATTTTATAACAGAACTTCCCAGATTTTTAGTCATATAGTTTTATAAACTATTTAAAAGTTGTGTTTCTTTTAACTATAGGTTGTGTCAATATTTAGATTTGTTTTTATGTTGTCACCTACAGAAAGTATATTTGCCATATTCTGCAATATTTATTTTTGCTAAAATTCCCCCATATTTTTATTTCCAATTAAACTAAAATGTTTGCCGTTAGTACATTAAATGTTTTTGAGAAAATAGAGAATTTTGAACATTGTGGACAAAAGGTTCTGAGTCTTTAAAAGTTTGACACAAATCCGAGCCCCATAAACAGCAATATATTAATAAAATATAGAAAAAATAAATTTTCATTTCATTACTATTCACAAATTAATCAGTGATATATATATATATATATATATATATAAACATAATTATAGGACAGAGGGAGGTCAAAGTTCTGCATTAAAATGTGTTGTTTTTTTTAATTTATAATTGTAGAAAGACTTTGTGTAAGGCTCACAGGAAACTGGATAAAAAAAATTACAGGTTTGTAATTTATTAAGTAAAATAGATTCAGTTGGACTATTTTTATTTATGTTTATTGTTTTTACATGAATCAATCCATCAATACAAAGCAGTTTGAGCTAAAAACAAGATTTAAGGGGAAAGAAATGTTGGGCGCACAAAAATGCCAACTGAGAAAATAAAGTTACACAATATTTTTTTAAGGCACACAATTGTCGCACTCGGGAACCCGTTAGATTAAATTAATCTAAAATACAAATTACTGCTGTGTAAATTGATGCAGAGAAAAGTCAAATCATCTTTAGGTAAAGTAACGTTCAATACCAGATAAATACAAAATATCTCATTTTCAAAATTAACATTTTCACCAGGATTATTTTATTATTTGATGCTTTTTAACGACTGTCTTACTTTAGCACTGAAAGACAAACTGTTTTGGGTTTTGTTGTGAGGTTAAAAGGTTATTTATTTGAGGCCTTTCACAGGCGCAGCTCCGTGACTCTGGAACAACTCGACTCTTGATATTCAAACTGCAGAATCCTTAGCGTTTTAAATCCTGCATGAAAACTCACTACTTAAAAACTGGTTTTTAAATTTGACTTTTATGTTCCACTGTTTTCTCGTTTTAGTCTTTTTATTGTATTTGTTGCTTTTTGTGTGTGATTTTATTTACATTGACAGGCTTCCCTGTTCATTTTTCACCAACTTGTTAAAAGAACTTGTCGGTCAACGATGTTATTTTTAAAAACCAAACTGACATCGTCATTCCCACTGGAACTACCTTGTGTGAAGAGCTGGGAGTGTCGTTTTTGTCAGGGTCGGGCTCGTCGTCACTTTCTTCCTCAGGACTGCTAACCTGCCCTGACATTGAGTCCTGGACCTCACTTTCTCCCATCATCTCATCCTGATCCATGTCGTCGCTCTCGTCTTCAGCATCGTCGGGGTAACTGTTATCGTTTACATTGGAAGGAGGCGGCGTCTCCTCTTCCTTGTTTCCCGATGCTGGGAGCCTGTGAAAGGTGTGAGGAGCAGCAGGTGAGGTGGCTTCAGGAGGTGTTTCAAGATTTTGAGGATCAGGGTCTTTTTCATCTGTTGGCATTCTGATAAAGGTTAAGGCCTCGGAGTTGCTTGTTGAAGCTGTTGGGGTGACTGATGCAGTCTGCTCAAACTGGAGCGAGGTGAAGCCACTCGAAGCAGGCTGCTGAACGTCTATGGAAGTCAGCGTTTTACTGACAGAGCACTGATCTTTCTGGCTGCTAAGAGCTGCAGATAGAGAGTCTGCTGCTGAGACGGTTCGTGGAAGGCACTCCTCAGACAAAGAGCTGTGGGCATTGGCCAACTGGCTGTCCACATTCTGCTTCTTGGACACTTTTGCCAAAAGGGAGGAAGGATGTTTTAGGAGAGGAGTTTCTCCTGGTTTTAGCAGCAGCAGGTTTGGATTTATAAGATTGGGGGAAAAAGTAGCACAGAGTGCTTCTGGTCTGCTTCCTGTGGCCGCAGCAGCATTCTGTGATGGAGCCGAAGGAGGAGAAACTTTGGTTCCGTCATTAGAACAAACCTCGGGCTTGATGGCACTTACAACAGTGAAGCCTGGGGTCTGATTTTCCAAACAAGAAATGTGCACAGAAACAGCAGAGCATGACTGCGTCCCAGTGTCCTGATCAGCGACCAGTGGAGATAACAGGGATAACGAGCCAGCTGTTACTTCTGCTTCCTGTTTTGGAGAAATTGTTTGAACTGAACCACTCACCTCTGTTACGTCTGACTGTGCTGCACTGACTTGTGAACAGTGCGTCCCAGTTTGTGTAGTGGTGTCCGTCTGTTCAACAGTGAAGGAGTCCGATGTGACAGCAGCTACTTGAACTAAACACACCTCTCCAGCGTGTGCCACTTCAACAGCTTGGTTAGAGTTTAAAACTAAACGGTGTCCAACAGCAGCCACTCCTGTGTTTTCTATGGACATGTCACTAGATGAAGGCAAGGACTGCTGGGAAATTATAATGGTGTTGTTTTCGTTAACTGCGTGAATAGATGGTTCGAAGTCTTCGTCTGCATTTTCCAGTAATGCATTGAATAGGTTCACCTCGTATCCCGGAGAGTGAGGTATCTGCATGCTGCTGCCGACACACACAGTTTCCTCAGCAACCTCCTCCACCAGACCACAGAACTCGTACACCTCCACCGGCTGAGAGTCGAGCTCCATGCTCGCCTGGACACCTCCTTCGTACAACTTTGGTTCCCCGGTGGACAGCTCATTAACAATGGCAGCTCTGCAGACGCTGCCATCTTCTCGCTGTAGGAGGTAATTCTGATTCAGATGCATGTTGGACCAGCCTCCACTGACGTGAGCTTCCTCCCTCACAACCACGATTTCTCGAGCATCGTCAGAGTGCACAATCTCAGCGATCAGTGACGTTTCTGTTGAGGGGACCTGATGTGAGGTTTGAGACGGTTCTGCCTGCAGTGAGACTAGCAGGTCTGGGTCCGGCAGAGCAGGCCTCTTAACGGGGTCCGAGGAGCTCCCCTCCGAAGAAGAGAACTCTGGCAGCATTTTGAAGCCAGACGAGGAGGCAGTGGTGTCAGTTTGTTCACTTTTTGTGTTGCTACCCGCTTGGTCTGCTTCAAGGGGACTGCTTGTGGACACTGAGGTTTCTTTTCTAAAAGAGCATGATCCGTGAGACAATTCTCTAGCCTTTGAGGCCTCAAGTATTTTAGCAGAATGAGGCGTTTCGACATACTTAAAGGTTTTGACTGATTCCAAAGAGTTTGCCTTGTGCATTTCCGTGGCTTTGTGTAAGATTTCTCTGACAGTTTTAGGTTTTGACCGGTCAGTTTGTTTATTCTCCGTATTATCAGTTGGAAAAGGAGGGAGTGCAGACTTTGAGTCCTGTTGGTGACTTGCTGACTCTGCAGTGCATGATGGAGGTTTATGGCTGCACTGGCTTGCGTGGACATGTGGACCTTTTCCACAAAGTTCCACATTTGTTCCAGTCTCTGTTTTATATTCCAATGTGATGGATTGTGTCTCCTTTGTAATACAAACAGGTTCAGCACTTTGTCGAGGTGGCTGAATCTGCTTAACCTGACTATTTGAGTTGCTTTTTTCTTTAACAGTTTGAGACACGTAGTGAAGCTCTTGGACTGTGCCGTCAATCTGTGACGTGAGAAAAGGACGAGCTGGAAGTCTTTGCACTTTAGCAGAGGAGCTGCAGTCCTCTGTGGGGGATGCTGGCAAAGATCCTGCAACTCCAGCCATGCTCTCCTCAGCAGAAACCTCTTGTGAAATGACGTTCTCGAAGTCGCCTCTCGGCAGAGTCGCAGGGAGTTTGTTCTCCATGCTGGGGAGCGCAGAGTTGCTGCTGTCCGGCAATGGCACGGTGGACGAGTTTGTGATTGGAGGGACTGGGCAGGGGGCAGCTGTGACCGGCTGCGGGGCGAGCCGAGGTGATTCCCCAGCCACATTCTGTGCAGCCTGGGGGTTGCCACCCAGCACATCCACAGCCGGAGAGGCACGCTGCCGCTCCGCCTCCTCCCCAGACCTTCCTTCCTCTGTGCTGCTCCGACTACACACTGCACCTGTGGGGGACACACACAAGCACTGAATGAAGCAGATGAAGCTGGTTATCTGCTCAACAGCTACAACATGAAAGCTGACCGTAAAATGTAAATAAGCATAAGCTGACAAGAAACGTTTGCAGGAGATAGGAGACGAGTTTTAACGGTTCTCATTGCAAAGTAGTGAAATCAAACATAAAAAAGACACCTTGAACTATATCAAATGGTGCAGTTTGAAGGAGTTTAATCTGGTAGTTTTCCAGCTTTATTTTGAAAATTACTTGGTGTAAAAAAAAAACCCACAAAGCACTCAGCTGAATCTGTCAAAAGCTATGTAGAAGCGTGAATAATTAACCAAGTCAAGAGTCGGTAAACAAAAAAATTAAATTAGAGGCACTGGTGACCCCTGTGACATGAAAAGGAAGAAGCGGGTAAAGATAACGGCATTTGTTTTCACGGGTAAACAAACGTAGTAGTCGGCATTCAGTCACAAATTTTGCATAAGATTGTTCAATTTATGAACACGTAAACCATCAATTTAATTTTATTTCTCAATATTTTTTGTGCTCGTGACTTTGCAATGAGTATCTTTAAAGATCAAAATGCAAATTTTAAAAGCTGTTGTACACATGTTCCTTTTTAAACTTGCATTAGAGTTTGAAAAATAATGATTCAGGAGTTGTATGCAAACTTTAAAATGAATTACGGTAAACTCAGCAGCATCTACAGGTATGAGCGCATGCCTCAGGCAGGACAGATGTTGGTGTGAAACCGTGCACAGATTTTTGGCTGTCGCAGACGATCAGTGCAGAAAAAAAGGTTTTCAAGTGTTTCGTTGTGGTCCAAAACTGTTTGATTGTTTTGGATAGTAAAAGAAGCTCAAAGATCATCATGGTAGTAAACTAGTGACCAACGGTAGCAGAATCAGAAATGTAGGATGAACATTTTGCAAAACAATCAATGCTCATTTGTCTGATGGGTCTTGAAGCTCATGTCTGCACCAGAAAGGGACGCAGAACAGGAGGAATTAGTGCAGGGATTGCAGATTCTGGGTGTGTAGCAAAGATGTACACACACCAAAATAAACAGTTCAATCACTTTTTAGTCAGAGCTTTTTTAACTAAATTGTGACGCCTTGAATCTGTGTCTCTCAACTTCACTCGAAGCTCATTACAATCATTGGTCTACACAAAAACTGTGTTGCAGCTTGTGTCTGCGCCTGTAGACCTGAGTAAAAGGGCAACCAGAGAACAATGTTTAGACCTTGGCAAAGCACCTGAGAAAACGGCTAAAGAAAAACAGCTCTAAAACAAATTAGGGATCGTGTTTTTATCTGCACGCACATGCATGTTCGTCTGTTAGTAAAATATCACACAAATTATTTGATGGATTAAAATAAAATAATAAAACTCAGAAATGAATCATAGGATGTACATGTACAACTTTTTGTGTAGACCAAAAATCAAGATGTCCGTGACAGCCATACACAAAAGTGACTACAACAGTCAATTTTCCAGGTATTGAGGAACTTTTGATGTGGAAGCAGCTCAGTCATCCTCAACACAAACAAAAACCTCTTCTCAGCGCGAGACAATTTTAGCCCAAAAACACTGATATAAAAGACGGGGCGTGATGTAATACTAGACCTTTAATTCGTAATTTAACCAACTAAATACCACCAGGCTTCATCTGCAGGGCAGCACCATTAGTCACAACTGATGGAATGCAAGTGCAAAGCAACGTCTCACCTGTCTGTGACGAGAGACACAGGTCTTCTGTGCTTTCTACTTCCAGGATGCTGAATTAGGATCCCTTCCACATATTCTGGGGGAAGTGGAAAATAAATCAGATGTTAACTTTGTTCGTGATCCAACGTGTCACAAGAACTCGGATTGAAGAATTGTTTTGGTTTTGCAGCTAAAGGTCACATCAGCTTTGGAGAACAATTTATGCATAAAAACGACGAATACGGCGATGTACTGTTTATAAATAAGCAAACACTACTGTGGCTAAGTAATGCTACAGCTTGGGGTATGTTGGTGTAACACTGCAGTAGTAATTATAAAAAAAGGCACTCAGTGGAGCAGCTCCAAGTTGAATTTGCTGCAGTCGCCCACAGGAAGCTGTTGGGAATCATGCAGCACGCGCTCGCAGGCTACAAGCCGGCGGTTGAGGAAGCGCGCGCCGGGGCCTCGACCCAATCAATCTACCGTCTCCCTAACGTCTCATATTGTGGCAGGCTGTACGTGGAAATCCACAAATTTATGGGACGTGCGCGCACTAGTTGCGCAGATCATGTGACTCGTTAAAAAAAAAAAAAATCGACTTTTCGTTCCCGTCCCGAGTGTGGCAACAAGCTCGTGCTAAGGGCAGTTAGCGCCCAACGTTTGCCGGTTAGGCTAGCGGTGGTTAGCGGGCTAGCGTTAGCCTCTACAATAACACTGGCTGTGTGGCACGAAAAGGGAAAGCACGGAGTTAGAAGGGTGCGTTTCATGCGCAGACGTCCCTGCCCCACCTCTCCCACTCTTATGTAATGATCCAGCTTTAAATCTGTCGGTTTATTCCATACATTTCATAAGTTACCATACAATGAGATAAAAAAAAAAAAAAAAAAACGTAAAAAGTCTCATTAAAACCCGCTCCCTGCATGCGCTACAGAAAGGAGGGGGATTTGCCAGTGACGTCACTGCGTGGAGTGAAATCACTAAAAACGTCCAAGTTAAAATGTTTATTTTTCGCACACATACGGCCGTTTCCTTAAAAAAATAAATGTACAAAATGTTCTTGAAAAGTTTTATATAAAATTTCTGCAATTTTTTTTTTTAAATGGGAAATTCAAGGGGGTCCACAAGGTCTCACCAAGGGATCTATTGAAGCGACGAATGACAATAAACAATTGGGTTTTAATTTTGATATGCTCCGCTAGTCACGGGTTTGTTCACGTTACTTCTTCGTAACTTACAGTTCCGTCTTGTGGTGAAAACGCATAGTTTAAAAGACAAAACAAATCTAATGCAGTCCGATAGCGTCCTGTCGTAGGTTCGAGCCTCCCTCACGTCCCCCCATTACTTCCTCCTTGCCCCCCTCCCTCTCAAGGCCGCCATCTTAAGTTCCCACCTACCTGAAATTTTCGACTGATTTTCTTTTACTAAATTCTCGTTGAAGGAGTCGTCATCCGCGTAAAATCGTCCTCAATCCGTGATCCCAGTGGTCCAAACCGTCTCTCGGTACCCAACGAGGTACACCTAGGTCTGTGGGAAGAAGTTAAAATCCGGACCGGGGGAGACTGGGTTTCGGCGCAGAATGTAGCGGTCGCGGGGAGGAGACGTTACGCAGCGAAATGGTGGCGCACCACTGCCGCTGACAAAGTACACAACACCGTGAAATCTCGCGAGAGTTCGTCAAAGCGCGCGACTTGAATTTTGGAAATAACGAACTTGACGAAGAAGGTCCTATAATTTATTCTAGGGGAAAAAAAACACCACAAATAAAAAAAAAGTTTATAATTTATTATTTTTAACTGAATATAAAATCACGTGATTTCAACTTGGAGCGAAAATACAGACTTGTGACGTTTCTACTTAGAAAAGGTTTATGCAATTTGCTATGCTTTATTATAAAAAAAAAATATAGCTTCTCATTTGGATTCCTTTTTGTAATTTATAAACAATTTAGGTAATTGTACAAGATAAGTGTGTTGCAAATTTTTAAGTGTAATTTTTTTTTTAATATTACTGCTGAAGTCTTATTATAATCAACACTTCAGAAATCATGGTTGATTTATGATATAGATAGTAATGTATATAAATTTCATAATGTAGCCTATAATTAAATAATTTCATAATGTAGCATATTTTATTTTATACCACTACATTTATTTAATTTTCATTTTAAATGCATTTTATGGCTGTTCATCGTTGTGTACCTTATCTGTAGTTTTGTCTAAAACAGGTTTCTCTTGGAAATGAGACTCAATGAAACTAACCTGAATAGGTTGAATGAAAATAAAAAGTTAAACATAAATCAGCCACATTTATATGTCCGGCACACATTTTTGTAAGTTCACTATTGATGCAATTCCAAGCATAAATTATTTAGATTTTTCTCCCATTGATACAATTTCCCAATAAAGTGCTTTTTTTTTAAACAAACCCTACTTATGTTTTGTGATTATTTGTAAATTCTACATTAGAACAGGCTATAAGAATTTGGCACATACTTTGTTCATTCAGGTCACTATTTGATTACTAGTTGCTCAACTTACTTTTTAACAAATCGACATGATTTGCCAAAACAAGTTTTGTACCAACAAATGCTCGGAGTGGTCAAGTAACTTAAATGTTTTGATGTTTAACAGATTTTGCCCTACAGTGTTTCTTCTGTGCTTTAATGCATTTACGAAAACATTATAAAACATTTTTTTAAAACTTAAGGGATTAGAACGAGAGAATATTCAAGGCTCTGGAAGGTCATAATTACCAAGTTATATCAGGTAAACATAATTTTATATAGACTTTCAGCCAAATGTTTTAATATTTCAGTAATATTGCATTTAAAAATTAAAGAGTTAAAATGGCAAAAATCATCTTAAATATTCAGTCTAGCACTAAGTTCCAGAATTGCACCGCTCAAGCTTGGAGTAGCTCTTTTCCATTCATTCAGAAATTTTGTTTTTGAAAAGCTTTACTTTTTTTTTCTGGATGTAAATCGCTTTTTTCCCAACGATTACTTCCTCTGACATCAGATGCCGTGTCGCTGGAAGTATTTTTTACTGAAACCTTTTTTACTATGGACATTTGTTATGATGCGTGACCATAAGGTGGTTTTCTACAGAGCCGCTGTTCAAAAGCTCCAAGACCTCAACTACAGCCCCAAATTGCAAATGAGTTGAAAAGGAGGTGCCATGGATGCATTACAGTCTACCTGGAGGCTGTGCTCGAGTGTCTGACCGCCGAGATCTTGGAGGTAGTGGGAAACATGGCTCGTGACAGTGGGAGGACCGAGTTCATCCCCCGGCACCCAAAGTTAAGTCCGCGGTGCCGCGAGGCTCGGCAGGCTGCTGGAAGAAATGAGTATCGCTCGGGGAGGAGTTCTTCCCCGCATTCGGTCCTGCTGCTGGGTCTGGGTGGACGGATCGACATCTGCAGCCAGTTTCTTCGGATCCGCTGCGGGACGGACCGTTACTAGAGATTCTTCCTGCCTAAACAACATCTACAACAACTCTAATGAAACCAAGATCTATAACAATTAACTTCCCTATGGGATTAATAAAGTATTTTTGAATTGAAGTCATATTTAAATTTTAAAAAATCGCTTGTGATAAAAAAAAAAAAATACATTGTTGAGTTTTGATATCATTCAGAATAAAAAAGCCCCACACAGACTTAACAACAATTCATTTAATAATTATTCTTTGTGGTCTCTAGGGGAGGGGTTGAAAGGTATAAAATGGTCATAATAAAATATCCGACCCAGTCTTTTCCCTCTCAGGACGCCCACTTGTCTCAGTTGCATTTTGACACATCCTTTGTTCTTTTTTCAGTTCTTCAGCAGATGTTTCACGTTTTTTTTGTGTGTATATAACTTATTTTTGTTGACAAAAACAGCTCAACAGTTCAATGTACAAGCTCCCACAGTCCCAACAAATAGTGCACAACCAGTGACTCAGGCAAAGCTCTCAGCTCAGTTCCTCGAAGTGGCCGGAGGCTGCAACAGATAAGGCTTTTAAATGTCCACAAGCATTAAAAAGGTTTCCGTGAAGCAAGCCTTTAACATGATTACTTCCTGCGGAGAGAGTGCTGGTTGATAACCAAACAATGACAAAAAAACATAATGAATATATTTATTATTATAGAAGATAATCAATGTCACGAATAATAATTACAAAGGCAATTTCTCTAGACTACTATAATCTGGTCCTGCTCATATAGTCAAGAGGAGACTGGGAAAGGGTTAAAGGAAGCTCTAAAACACTGTTCACTCACACAGTGTAGCACAGCTCATTTTACCATACACCCCTTTATAAACTAACAAAACAAAAACTGCCAAACATGAACAAATTATCAGTGACGGTGAAAGTCTGGAGTTATATTTGTGGGTAAACCAGGAAACTGAGGTATGATGTTTACTGATCTGATCTAAATGGTCTCACAGTAATCTGCATTTTCTCAGTGACAGACATAAAAACAAGAGAAAGCGCCACTTTACCGCAGTATTGAACAAACCTTTCTACCTGATTACGTTGAAGACTAGAGGATGGTCAAACATCTTATTAGTTAAACCAAGTTAAAGATGAAAATTTAAGGTGTTTAACTCTCTGGAAGTCATTTTTAATACACCCGGAAAAGGCTTGCTTAAAAGCACGGGTCCTAAATCACCCGATAAACAACAAAAATCTGTCATCAGCTTCTTACAGCTTTTAAAACTCTGCGCTGTAACAAACAACAGGCAACAAAACAAAAAACATCAAGGATGCACAGAGACCGTGACCCTTAAATTGCACCGATAAAACCAACGAGCATCTTGTGAGTCTTTCATTTTGATCCAAACCATCAACTCCAGCCTATCACGGTTACATTTCATAGTTCTTTTTATTAGTTTTTCCTCGGCGGGGGGTTGGAGCTGGTTTGGTTGTGTAACTGGGAAGGTTTAGTAGTCTATAAAAGGAAAAGTGGACAGGTTGAGAGTAGCACAGTGATCCAGACATTTCCCTTCATCTCCTCCAGTGTTGTCCCAGTACTATCTGGACTCTCCATCTTTGTGGGTGCTGTACAGCGCCAGCTCACCTGGCCCTCCGAGTCTTGAGCCACGAGGAGGCGTAGACGACCGACTGGTGATGGACGGAATGAGCGGAGGCGGTGCCCCCACTGAAAGAGCTCCAACCAAGTCTGCAGTGGCCTTTGAGAAGATGCCGTTGGGCATGTGGTGCGGGGCGATCGGACCCAGACGAGAGTACAGGCCGGGGTGGTGTTGGGAAGCAGCGCTGGCTCCTGAGGAGAGGGGGTGGGGGATAAGGCCATGATGGAGCTGTTCCAGGTGAGCGGCAGCTGGGCTTGAAAGATGAGAGCCAGGGGGGAGGTGTGGGTGTATCCCAAAGTAGCGAACGCGCTCAAAGTCTTCCCTCAAGATCTGGGCTCGCTGCTCCTCTTCAATGAGCCTGCCAACTGGGGGTCCGAGCTGATGGGGGCGATCAAAGGCCATCAGGCCGAACTCAGGGCGAACAGCAGAGGAGGAGGGGGTGGAGGTAGAAATGGGAGGGTGCTGAGGTACAGCCGCGGCTGCTGCAGCTACAGCTGCAGCTCTTTCTGCCTCTAGAAATTGTCTCTGATGGAAGAGCCGAGCCAGATGTGGACCTGACCGCAGGGCGAGATGTGGATCTGACTGAAGTGCCAACGCTTCTCTGCGATGCTGAGCTGCCGCTTCTCTCCAGGGGTCCCAGGTGAAGCTGTGTGGACCCTGGGGCGGTCCTTGATGGTGTGAAAAGCGTTCTGGACCTGCAACTAATGCTTCAATTGCTCTAGAGCGGTCCAGCAGGGGCAGGTGGGTGGGAGTGCTTGGAGTGGGTGGTGCAAGGGGAGTGGGAGTGAGTGACAGAGAAGAAGATGGAGTCCCAGAACTGTGGTGGTGTGAATGGCTGTTGGGGCGGTCAAAGCTGTGACTAGGCACAGAAGAATGGAGAGAGCTGGAGTTGTTCTCTGGCTCTTCTTTCTTCTCCTCTTTGACTTTAACCGGCGGGAAAGGCAGAGCTTTAGGGAGAGGCGTTGTGGTGCGGTCAGGCTTCTTGGCCTGAGACAAAGAAGCAGCAGAGCAAGTCGCTGTAGATGAAGCGGGGAGGTTATTGTCTCTTTGGGGGTGTGAAGGGTCGGTGTGGAGGCTGTGTACCATCTGAGTCTGTGAGCGAGGATAAAAGTCCAAAGGTGAGGGGACTGAGCGGTTGGAAGGTGGTGGAGTGGTGAGCACAGAAGACGAGGAAGACCGCGGTCTGTCCCTTTCTGCTACTAAAGGTGAAGAGCCAAGAGGGGGACCTCTCGAGGACACCGATGTCACCGGCCTCTTGTCTCCATCTCTGTCTCTCTCGCGGTCTCTGTCTCTCTTTAGGCCTCGCGTCAGGTCCTCGATGGGTCCACCACTCCCCCCCAGGGCACTACTGTGTCCGTTTATGTGGGAGACTGGGGTGCTACTGCGAGGCTTGAAGGAGGGGGCGACTGGAGACATTCTCACAGGTTGTCGGCCATACAGCATGTTGTCTCTGCAAAACAAAATGCTCAATCAAAGGTCACCCAAAACTAGGAGAGGAAAGAAAACTTACACTTTCACGATGACGAGAGAAAACATTTTTTAAATTCAGTCATGTTTGTGTTTTCTCCTCCAATGGTTTATAGTAAAATGCTTCCATGGTTCATAATTTTTTATAAGAGCCACTCAGAAGGAAAAAAACAAAGAGGACTTTATTAACACTGTTAGAATAAAGTGTAAATGTCAAGATTAAAATGTCAGTATTACAGAATTGACAAAAATGTCAATTTACTTGACACAAAAAAAGTTGACACAAAAAGGATAAAGTTTTTTACAAGACTTAAACTGAGGAAGTGAACCCTGTTGTGCTTCTAAACCTGATCGTCTCATTTGTTATTCAGGTATTATTTTCTGAGGGTTATGGGTGCATTGAACTGGGTTAGGTATAAAAAAAAAAATATATATATATATATATAACAGAACTGACAGAACATGATTCAATCTATCCCAAGAAGCTCACATACACAGAGTACTTACCTTAACAAGAGTGCCGTCAACAAACTATTATACATAAATCTATAGAAATGGTCGGGACAAGCAAACGCCTTGTACAAAATTAAACCTCCATTTGTGACCTCAACATTGAAGCTGGGTGATGAAAAAGTTTACGGGACACTCAGTTTAGCGATGATGCATAAGAGTATGAAGTTTTGTTAAATTATCTTGAACGAATGAGAAGTTATGGGAAGGACCAGAGAAAGTTCATGAACAGATGGAGACTATAATACCGTATTTTCCACTGTAAACATCACACCGCCCTACAAGTTGCATCAGTCCAAATATGTCTAATAAAGTGAAAAAAATCCATAAATACGTCGCATCTTTTATGCGTCACCGCTGACGCATCACATTTGTTACGCCTCACCGCTGACAACCAGGAAACGTGGGTCGGTGTTGTGCCAAAAATCGATTGGCTGACAAATGGTGGTCGTGGGAGCGTGCATAGAAGGATTTTAACAAGATTAACACTTAAAAACAATAATTTGTTTGCTCAAAATTATAGTAAAAGTGTGTCTCAGTCTAACTTTTGCTTAATAAATGCACTTCGACGGTCAAATCAGCTGCATTTCGCTGCGGCGGTGCAACGAAATGAAGCAGATTTGAGGGTTGCTCCAAGCAGCGAGCAGAACGAAGGCGGCAGACTATGGCAAGCCGATTGTGTCATTAATAACCACTTTTACCTATTACATGACACAACGGCATACCATACTATTCGAGTGCCCTCTAGCAGTTGAAAATGGTAGTGTTCAATATTTTTAGTCAGAATTAATGAAAAAGGTCATATCACAGCCAAAAATTTGTTTATAAATATGAGAAAAATAAATACGTTGCTTCAGCGTATGAGTCGCAGGGCAAGCAAATTATGCAAAAAAATTTTTTTAAAAGTGACTTATAGGGTGAAAAACAGGGTATTAATAAACCCCGCCTTCGACTGGCGTATAAAAATACGATCTCTAATACTTTTGAAGCTTGTTAAAATTCCTTACATTGCTGTTCTCCTATAAAACAGATACTGCAGCATAAACCAGAAGCTTTGAAAGCTTTATGGAGCCGAGAGGGTGTAGGGGCAGGGCAGCCGACTCGGGACCTGAAGGTCCTTCTGTCCCCGGTCATTGCACATCTCGTGGTGTCTCTGAGCAGGACACCTAATCTCGAATTGCTCCCCGGGCGCTTGCATATCTGCCCACTGCTCCACCTGGGTGTATCCCAGGTGTGATGGGTTAAATGCAGAGAGCCAATTTCATCTTTGTATGGGAACATACAATACTTTACTTAAGAAGTCAAGACTCAAATGTGCATCTTTCAGTTTCTTACTGTAAAAAACTGAAACATTTTAAAGACTGCACTTTAGTCTGATGATTAATTTAACACTTTATTCTTGAAATACAGAAGGGGAAGAAAGATCCTTGTTTTATTACTCTTCAGAGCAGATCTAATATACCATCAGCACTTGGTAACAACACAATAAAATAAATCTGTTTCTTTAAAAGTACCTGTCCTTTTCATCCTTGATGTGGAGGATTTCTCTCCTCTCCCCGTCTTTCCCTCGATCCCTCTCGTCCCTTTTTTCTGCTGCTTTAACCCAGCTGTGGGCTGCGGGGAACCCAGAAGGACCACCGTGTAGACGATTCCACGCGTCGTGATGGTTGGAGTTGGACAAGCCCCCAACTGCATTGGGCGGTGGGTCTTTAGGGCCAAACATAGAGCCAGCTACAGGTGACAAAGACGATTTATTGTTAGAAAAATGCAGTGTAGCTGCTGCTGCTGTGTAGGAGAATAATGGTCTCTGACAGAAAGATACAGATAGAAGGCAGAACATTATTGCTGTAAAACGTAAATCCACATTTTTAACCATATGGAATCATTTCATAACTACTTTAGCCATCTTGTGTAAGAAAACAGTTTGCATAAATTCTCCCTGTTAGCGTCTGCTATGATCCATCAAAGCAATCATCAACAAATAAGTAACAAAAAAGCGTACAAAAGTATCAAAAAAGGGAAAAAGAACAAAACTAAATGTACATAAACTGTTTTTAATTGTCCTTTTTAAACATTCCAACTTCTTGTATCCCTGTAATTAATAGGGTTCAGCACTGGGAACTTGACGCAACTCGTCCAGCTTAGTGTAGTTGATCAAACAAAATTAAACATCGCAACAAATCCCAACAGACCACAAGCGCATTCCAGCCTTGCCAAAAACGTTTCGCCCACGTTGTTATGGTGGACTTGTAACTGGACTGCACCCAGTATTTGTGGCTAATGAAAGTAGTGCATACAACCTTGTACTTGTATTTCAAAGACAAACTTCTGCACAGCATTCCCAGCATGTCTGTGTGACAGCTGGGCTGTAGCTGTGCTACGAGACAGGAAAGAAAAGCATTAAGGGGAGAGAAGAGCATCGATCATAAATGTCAGGCAGTTAACACAAGAAGTGTGAGTGGAGGTGACAGAACACGTGGACTGGTAGATCCAGGGTTTCTGCATATTCCAGTCAGGCAACTTAAAACCTTCGAGATCCAAATGTAAGACCCGTGTGATTCACATTAAATGAGTCATTGTAAAATTTAAATTTAAAATGTATTCCCTTTCAAATTCAATCCAAACCATTTTAACAAACCAGCAGAAGGCCAGTTTCAGGAGCAGAGCAACTGGTTTATTTCTCAAGGAAGGCCGATTGCCCATCAAATTTCTTCCAAAAGGGCTGTTGTGTGATTAGATAGGGTTTTTTTTTAACAGTGTAAAAACATCAAAAGTCCTCTGAAGCAATAAATGAACAAAAGTACACATTTAAACTATACCTAAATTAATTTGGACACTGAAAATGGAAAAATTTGAATGAATTTAAAACTCGTTAAAACCTAAAATTGAGACGATTCATTTCAGACTTTTTAGGACTTTGCCCAGTAGGTCAAATGTTTAGCCTTTGAAGAAGCATCTAAAAGACAACTGGAACTGGAGACTAGTTAGTGGCTTAAAATGTGAGAAAATTAAGAAAATAGGCATTTTTGTTGCAGTCCCACTGAATTCTGGGTGTCTGAGGACAGTGAGCTGCCCCACATTAATGACTAAAGCTACTGCAGTACACTTACAATGAAGATATACAAATTTGGACCAGTTTTTATGTAATTATTTATCATTAATGCTTTCAGACCAGAACAATCGGGACTAGTCTCAGACGTTTCCTGTTAAAATAGAGCTCCTCTGCAGGAGGTAAAATTCTGGTGCAGAATTTACAGAATCTAAAGTGAAAAGGGTTCAAGACGTCCACAACAACTGTGACTATATTGAAAGAAAATTTGTAGCACAATTTCTTTGAGCATGTTCAAGGTTTAGGTGGAAAGTATGAAGCCTTCTGCCATTTCAAGTGAGTTACCTCTGTGACTGTTTCGAGACAATTTGGAGACTCCCTTGCAATTTGTTTGCCAACTACTTCCCATGTATTGCATTAGATGCACAGATGTTTGGTGCCGTCATCCTTAACAATGAACGCCAATTTACATGCCAGTGCGCTCACATCTTCCTAAAGCCTGAGAAGTTTGAACCTTGAGCATTTTTATTTGCAACTGTCAGATTTTATTAGGAGGGTTAGAGGTCCAACATAGGCCTGTCACGATAACAAATTTTGCTGGGCGATGAATAGTCTCAGAAATTACTGCGATAAACGATAATATTGTTTAAAATTTGACAATAATGAGTAATTATTGTCAAATTTAAGAAGAAAGGTTGGTTAGGGTAATTTAGAGTGTGGTATCTTTTTTGACCACCACATGGCAGTATAAGACTGTTGGAACCTAAGGATGGATAGTGAGGGAGCAAGCAGTGTGACTAAGAAAAATGGGAGGGAGGCCCCTTGACGTGACATGGGCTGTCTCTCTGTTTTTCGGTTCTCAAAATGGCGGATGCTCGGTGTGGTTTGAGCTCTTTAGCGTAGCATTTGTCACGCAAAGCTTTTAATTAAAAAAAAAATCTAAACAAGTTCTCAGCTTCTTTTTGCAGAGAAAAACAACTTTCACACAAAGGCACGGGTTTCAACCGTGAATTTTGAACTTCGACAAGACGGAGGTTTATTCCCGGAGGTCGGTCTGTTAGCTTAGCTCGTAGCTTAGCTTCTCAGTTTAGCTGCTTTTAACGATCCAAAAACGTGATTTTGGATCGTTAAGATGGATTTTAAAGAGAAAAGAGAAAGAGAGGGGTCAGTGAAGAGCTGAGTTGAATCTTTTGTCATCCAGTGTCTTCAGTAGAAAGAGAGAGACACGAAGAAACGATAAAGCCGATAAATGAAAACGAGGTCGATAATTTTCATTTATTATACGATTAATTGATTTACTGTTTATCGCAACAGGCCTAGTCCAACATTCAGGTAATTCAACCTACAAAACAGAATTTGCCAATGAACAGAATAGAAGCATCAACCATACCGGTTTCTGTTTTCAGCACAAACAATTGTTGGGTTCACAGCTTTGTAACAAAAAAGTAGCCAAGCCCTTAACTGCAAACGTAAAAGAAGCAGGACTTTATGTTTATTATCGCACCGTTAATTAAAATAATCTCAACCTGTGATTTGTTCTCTACAAAAGCATACTGTGCATCCTTCATTATTACAACGCAACCCTAGTTTACACGATTTTATAAAAGCTGCAATCTTTGAAACTTGGTTTTGAAGACCGCGGCAGCAAACCTTTTCATGCATTTAAAAAGGGAAAGTTTCAGAACCCTTTTGGTTTTGAGTGGCAGAGATAACCAGCACAGACTTGACCGACACAAGCTAATCATCTTTTTGTTTATTGGTGCAAAGCTGCATGTATAACCCAGTTTAACCACCAAACAACACGTGACTGAGAAGAATCTTTTCTTTCCTTCTTCCTCCAACTAAAAGCCAAAGACTGGGTTTGTTTTTTCATCACAGTCACCACAGAGCCTTTAAAAGAAGTCTGTCTTGATGCAATGCTCAAATGCCACAACCAAGTTGACCGACTGTGATTATTCCTTGTGTTTTGTGTTCAGAAATCAGGTGATGCTTCTAAACTTTGATGACGATCAGCAGACGTGACGACACGCTGCGGCGGATGATGATGAATGTCAGATGTGCTTTGTTGTAACTTCAGCAGTTATTTGCATCCTTATAATGAACTCGAGCTTCATTTTCATCACGGTCTTACTTCCAAGTGTTTACATCCATGTTGGATGGAGTTATTTTGTAGAGACACTCACCCCACAAACAAGCAAACATTAAGCTTTAGCATTTTAAATTAGCAAAGTAATGACCAATTATCATTTCTGTGTTTCCTCAGACTGTACAGGACAAGAGAAATGTCATAATGGTTTCATCTAAGTATGCAAGTGATAGAAAACAACCATAAACTTTGATTCATTGTACACTTAAGCACTGAAACTGTGTTATATGTACGTTATAGGCCCTTATAGTCACATAGCACAACGTTTTGTGACGGCTGCACCAACTGTTTCTACTTACTGCAGTGGGTCTCCATAAAGAAGATTATGGCTCTAAGTTATAACTGTCCATAATAAAAAGCATTCAGACATTTTTGCTTTATGACTGGTTTTTAATAACAAAGCATTCCATACAAGCCTGTTTCCTCTTTTAGTTGAATTATCAGTTCAAGTAACAGATGCTTTATTACCTCTAACATGAGCTATTCAAAAAGTGTTATGAATATGAAGCAAAGTCCAGTTACTTTTGCTCCTGCCTTCATCGTTCAAGAAACAAAGTAAATCACTAAAACGTTGATGCAGAAGAGCATTTTCTGACAAGCATTAAGATGCATCAAGTTTGATCGGTTTCATCTCATCAGGTTAGCTTTAGCTTCAGGTGAACCGTAGTCATGCACTTTTTCATCGACTGCCTGAACTGAGAGAAGTCAAAATATCAAAATATAGCTCTAGCACTCTTAAACTGTTGGAGAAGCCCACGAGAAAATCAAGAGCTAGATGTTAGACTAGATGTTAGAGAAGGGTTCTCAGAGTGAGGGGCGTGCCGGGGACCGGGTCAGGGGGGGCAACGTCGCTGAATGTTTTTTTTTTGTTTTCCCATGTTGCAGGCGGAACCAACGTTGCAACACCTCGTTGCAATCCGAACCTCTTTTAGGGACGCACAAAATATCAGAGCAGCTGTATTTTTTTATTTATCAAGGATTTCAATCGACGATGTCTAAACCGATCCGTTCACGGTGCTTTATTAAAGGGGGTGAAGTGTGTCACGTTTAATCTGTCGAAGCGCTACATAAATGAGAGTCGTCCACGCCTCAACGATCGCTTCATTTCTAAAAGCTCAAGGCGGGACAGGTGTTGTACCAAAACCTGTTTCGACGCTGCGGGAGAATGCGCAGCCTGTTAGTCTTGCTGTTCCTGCTGCTTTAGTTCTTAAGAGCTATACATATGTTAGCGTTAATATAGATTATGTGTTCGCCCAAGATTATTGCGAAGGTGTTTCTCCATTTCACCTTCATGTTTTCTTCAAGACTCACAATGTTCTTCTCTCTGTGAGCTTGTCAGTTTCACCAGTTTGTGGCTTGTCATAAATTTCTGCAGATTTCAATATTACATGGGATTATAACAAAAACATTATATATCTGTAATGTGACGAATGTAATACATTTAATGATATAAATATAATGTAATGAAGTTTTGTTACATTAATTCTGATAATTTTTTCCCCCGTGGTTTTTGGATTATAAGGTGCATTAAGTGAAACTAAAACATTTTGACAGATTTTTGAGCGCCGTGTGCCACATAAAATCAGTTCGAGGTCAGTAAGCACAACCAAAATTAATACATAAAACGAACCGGATTATGAGGCTCACTGCTGATTTTTGAGAAAACTAAAGGTTAAGTGCGCCTTATAGTCTGAAGAATACTGTAGTTTACCAGTAGTGCAGTTATTTAATGGTGAAGTACCTTTAGCCAAACAAAAGTCCATAAATTGTTGTTTTCAAATATAACTATCTTATTGTCTTTATATAACTTTTGTTTATTATGTTCAATAGATGATAGAGGACCAAGTTGATGAGGGTGACATTAAAAAAAATTCAATATTCATAGCTCAAGTAGTAAAAATAACTTAAAATAATCAAGTATTTCATGCACTGTTAATATTTGGGTTTGCACCCCAGGAGCCACGTTTGAGAAGCACTGGGTTAGAGAGACCTGCAGCTCTGTGATTATTTTGAGAACAACTTGCTGTAGAGACTTTGTGAACATGTTCAAGATTCAAGCGACAAGACTTCGAGCGTCTGAGTGAAGGAAATGAAAACTTCTGCAAACATTTCGAGACATTCTCAAGACTCCCCGGCGAATGCCGTGCAACTCGTTGCAGCCGAGTGCGATATTACTTTAAGAAAGGAAATAATCTTTGCTGTATTACAAGCGGAGAGATAGTTCAGCAGATTGTTTAAAATAAGGCATTTGTCAAACACATTAACACAACTTTGTGTTATTTTGGAAAGTAATGCATCAGAAAAGTCAAAACAATTACTCAGTCCTTCTAAACGGGATCTGACCGACCGTTAACACTCTGAACATTTGACTAAAGATGCGTAATGTGTGAGACAACCTGTTTACTTTTGACTTCGAACTGTTGACATTTAAAACACAGTGTCACATGTTAATAAGCCATAACACTGGATGCAGTTTTCTGAAAATATAACTGCATTAAAACCAGACTTCAGATGCGATTAAATAAAATTGCACGGTTGGACGGCGACGCTTGTCCAGACATGAAGCCAACGTTCTGAAAGCTTCAGATTAATTAAAAAAGGAGTGGATGTCTGAGAAGAGCTCGGCATTATGAACTGCCAAGCAGTGTTTTGTTGTCTAATAAAATAAATTACTAAAACTTTACCTTTTGGATCTCCTCCTGTTTACGTGAAGCTTTTTGCCCCCACAGAGCAAGTTTCAACACAATGCTCTTTTTAGTTCTGAACGCCCACAACGTGTGGATTTTTAAAAGAACATAACTCGAAATTTTTGAACCGATTGTTTAAGCTTGTTTTTTTTGTTGTTTCAAGCACGATGAAACTGTAAAACTGACCCAGTGTTGGGCTGCCAAGTCCTCCAAAGGCACCAGAACCAAGAGCTCCCAGTGGAGGAAAGGGTGGGGATCGACCATACGGATCTAAAATGAAAAATACACAATAATCCTCAGAAATGCTGAGTGGACATAAATGTCTTGTAACATTATACATGGATTAGGAGCTAAATTAAGTCTCAGTAAGTAAGGATCTTTATTAAAATGCCAAAAACATAAAGAGCCCGTCAATGTTGAAAGTAAAATTAAAACATTACCTTTAAAGCTTCTCCTACCTAAGTGTACAGCCGGTGGGAGGAAAGAGGAGTGTGGTGCTGACGGAGACATGAAAGGCGCTGAAGATGGATTGACTGCACCTAAAGGAAAGAAGTTAAAATTAAAACAACTGTCAAAGAGGAATCGTATCGAGAACTTCAAGGTAATGCAAAGAGAAACACGGGCTGAAACCAACGACAAAAACTTATTATTTTTGTAGAGAACTATTTTATACAAAAATATCTTAACTTTTCAGATTGCCAAACAGTAAATATGCCTTTTAGTTTTATTTTTTAAGAGAATGTTTAAGCATGCACCTGCAGCTGGGAAGAGATTGGGAGGTCTGGTCAAGTCGTGAGTTGGAGGCAAGGCTCCTCCCATGGGCCCCAGTTGGCCCAGACCTACAGCTCCTGGAAAACGGGCCAGCAGGTCACTCCGGAAGTCCAACTTGTGAGGATCAGCCTGCATCAGCTGAAATACGGGTGGAGCGGTTTGATGTGGTTTCACAACCATCAGCAAGGCATTCGTTCATGTGAAGAAACACTTACCTTTACTTTTCTCTGGTGGCTTAAAATCATCCAGGCCACATGTACATGCATAGCACACCACTTCCCCGGTTTCTGCACAAAAATCAAACGGGTTTACTTTAATATTCCAAGAATACTGCATGCACAACTTTAAAGCCTTTGCACACAGAGTCAGATGTTCTTCTTGTTGCTCAATAAGGTTTCGGCTAGCCTCTGCAAGAGGTTGGAGCTAGCTGAAATCTAGGCATGGGCCGGTTACCGGTTTAAAGTTTTAAAATCACAAGGTCAAAAAGGAAATGGAACAGGACATGTAGGCTTGTTTAAAACTTCTTCTTTGTTTAAAGAATGCATCCATCCAGCAGGTAAAAGCCAGTCTTGGCTCATCTACCACCTGTCTCTCTTTTAAAAGCAACTATTTTGAAACAAAACATTTCATATATATAATTTCTCACAGTGTAACGTGACACTAAACGTCTCAAATAACGAATGAAAACTACACTTATTTTAAAACGGTGCATATTTGAGCACACTGCAGCAGGGTAAGAGCTATTTGAATCTACACAATTCAACACCAGAAACAAACTATTTCCATAGAGGGTGTTTTAGGAAAGTCAGGAAAATATCTTTTGTGTTTACACAGAGGAGGCGAGATTTAAAAACTGTACTGCCAGAAACCACCAGGGGGCACTAGTCTTGTGTGGTTTCAACTTCAGGCTTCCAGCCCTGTCTCTAGTTATAGATGTTTTTTTTTTTTAAGGGGAACACACCTTGTCTTTCAGGTACAAACAACAATTAGCCAAACATAAAATAAGTCTTATAATAGAAAGGTCAACTCTTTACAGTGTTATTTAAAAAGCTGCTCCATCTATTAAAAAAATGCTTAAAAACAACCTTTTGCGCCAGAATTATAAAACTATTCTGAATATTTTAGATTAAGTTAAAAAAAAAAAAAATATTTGATTTGATCTTAAATATTGTAAATAAAAATGCAAAATAAAAAAAGCTGATCAGAAATTAGCCAAAGATCAGCTGTCAACATGTTCACTCGTGTTTTCTCTTTATTTGAATCTGTGCATCAAATCTAAAATGATTTTCAATAAAAGCACATAAATTGTGTGTTTTAATTTTTTGTTTTAATACCATCAAACTGTGGTATTTCGCTCGAGGTTATATTACCAGAATCTCATAGTGGCCCATGCCTACCCTGCACCATTATGTATTTAGACACACACAAAAAGAGTGGAAAAACAACGAACATAAGAAAAGAAAAACACATACATTATACACCGAGTGATTTTTAGATTTGAAATATCTAACTGGGTGTGCAAGGGCAGAGAACAGACCAGAAGCAGTTAGGATTACGAGTGAGATTAGTGCAGAATGAGTGAAGCAGCGAGACAGTGGAAAAGGCTGAGTCGAGAGATTCAAAAACATCTGTTTTTGCTTACATTACTGATTTTCAACGATGTCCCAAAAGGATCAGTTAGCTACAAGAGAACAAAAGTGCAAGACCACTTTAAACACATCTCACTGTTTTTTTTTAAGTCAAGTTTTTCACTCTTTACTGCTCTGACTAGGCCCATGTTGCAGCACATCCTAACTGGCAAACGTAAGCTGGGGTAGCATGTTAGCTTATTGTCCTTACCCTGGGGTCCTTGGGCTGCAGGTGGTGAGGCACAACCCCGAGTCGTGCTGTTAGATCAGGAGCCGTTCCCTGAGGGACAAGAGGCTGTCAAACACAGCACAACACATGAGCCACAGCTTACCGAGCTACACGCTTTCAAGAGAGCCAAATCTGCCGTTCTTCTGAACAGCCCTGGTGCAACGTGTCATGTTTTTAATGTGACCAACGTGCAGCATGTGAGCTTCAAAGTTTTAGAGTTCCTTGTCAAATTAGTCTTAATCAAACACCGTTTCATCATTAGTTCCTGAAGCGCGGGGGATCAAATAAACTCTCACGTCAGCAAACTTCAATAATGTGAGGTGAAGAGACGAGGAGAGTTGTTTCTCACCTTTGGCTGAAATGCTCCCTGCAAAGAGCTAAAAGGCCCAGAGGGAGGAATCACAGGCTGAATACTTGACACTGGGGGTGGTGTGTATTGTGGGAAGAACTAAAATAAAATAAAATAAAAAAGGCACACAAATAAGTGACCAGTAAAAGGTTAAGGAGGACAATTAAATCCATTTCTACTCTTGGACAGAAACATTAAAAAAAAAAAAACTAATTGGGGTGCAACAAAATCTTGTGAGATTTATAATTTTTGTCTGAAAATATCACCACAACGTCTCCACCCCGTTAAGTCGTTTGTGCGGCACCAGGTTAAACAAACATGTTCGGCTCAAGGGCCGAGTCAGTCGAGTCGTGGTTTTTTTAAGGCAGCAGCTGTCGTCGAGCTTTTTACAGTTACTAACGTGCATGTGTGAAATCGTCCCCAAACAGGTTCCTAGCTACTTCCGATAGACGTTAATCTATATTGTTTTGGTTCTTTACACCTACTTGTTTATTGGCCGTTATAAGCAAATGCAAATTAGTTTTAATGGTATTTTATGTTGTGATAGCGAAGTGTAATGTTCCGTGGAGTTGGAACGACCGGAGAGCGAAGCTAAAACATGTGAACATAGTGTAGATCAAAGGGCCCTGCATACTCCATCAAACTGCTGAAATCGGCTCTCAGTTTCGTAGTTGCATGACGAACATTTCGTCATTTTGTTTTGTTCAGAGCAGCTTCGCCTGCCGCCTCTCAACTAGGGCTTTAACAGACTACTCGAGTAAGCGACAGATCGATTACTAGGACATCCATCGAGTTCTTTAATTTCACGTCAAGTATTCGTGGTGACGTCATTACGTCGCCGTTACGTCATTGTGTCACGTGTCATGTGATCTGCACCGAGCGCGGGCTACAAAATAGCTCCCTCCAAGCAGACAGATGGAGCAGGCCCAGTCCTGGCAAACAGGTAGAAATGCATCAACAGTCTGGAAATATTTCACTAAAGATGAATCTTCCAGTTCAACTATGGTTAGGGAACAAAGAATGAATCAACTTCCTGACTGTTTGGAGTGCGTTGCGAACCAGTGTTACACCATATTCTGTAACCACTGTATATTGTGACCGTAGGGGGCGGTGTTACATGCACTGTTGGAGGTCACAGAATATGGGAACCAGAACCAGCTTCCTCTGACCTCGTTTCACAAACAAAAAGCAAAAAATATTCATCTCTAAACCTATAATAACCTATAAACATATTAATCTCCAAAACTAAACCTAATGTGCACCACTGCAGGCGGTGGTGCGGGGTGGTCGACCGCCCCACGGTTTTTAGTTTCGTTTTTGACGTGCCGCACGTTTCTTTCACGTTTGCAGCTTAATAATAATAACAATAATAACTAATAGTTTTTCCTGTGACTTATTTGCAGTAGGATAAATGATAGGAGCATAATATACTCTCCCAATGTTTTGTTGGTCATTTTTTGTAAATAATTACCTTTTTTGCGGTTTTATTTATTTATTTTTACATCTTTAGATCCTATGATGTCATCAAGTACTCGAGTTCTACTAGAGTTTTATTATGTTAAAGTCGAGTTTAAAATGATGTAGTCGTTCAACCCCTACTCTCAACACAAGGCCATGGCCGAACATTTTCTCCCAGGTGTATCTGCCAAGTATTGTGTGATTGGTCAGATGTGCGTGGGCGTGTTTCTCAATGCGGATCTGTGCTCGGACATTCAGCTGCACGACTAAACAAGCACACTAAATTAGACAAATGGCCAAAAACTCCTGATGGAGATCGTGCAGAGATTGTATATAGAGGAGTCTGTCTGCTGAAAAGTGTGGCGCTCTCTTCATAACGGATTTGTGGCCAAACAACGGAAGTAGGGACGAGTGCAGACTCTGGTGGGAAGAAACCTGTGCAGTGACATACCGTATTTTTCAACCTATAAGTCACGATTTTTTGCATAATTTGCAAGTCCTGTGATTTATAAGCTGAAACAACGTATTTATGGATTTTTTTCCCATATTTATAAACCAATTTTTGGCTGAGATACGACCATTTTCATTCATTCCACAATACCATTTTCAGCCACTAGATGGCACTCTAGTAGTTGGGTTTGCCGTTGTATCATGTAATAGGTAAAAGTGGCTATTAATGACACAATCGGCTTGCCATAGAAAGCCACCGTCATCCAGCTCGCTTGGATCAACCGTCAAATCAGCTTCATTTCGCTGCGCCGCCCCAGCGAAATGAAGCTGATTTGACAATTGAAGTGCATTTATTCAGTAAAAGTTCAACTGAGACACACCTTTACTATAACGGTGAGCAAACAAATAATTGTTTTTAGGTGGTTATCTTGTTAAATTTCAAAGAAATACACAGCAACTCGTCCCTCTGCGCGTTCCTACTTCCGCATATCGACTTTTGAAATGCAGCTGATTTGACCATCAAAGTTCATTTATTAAGGAAAAGTTAAACTGAGACACACCTTTACTATAATTTCGAGCAAATAAATAATTGTTTTTAAGTGTTAATCTTGTTAAATTCTTTTAAAGTCCTCCTGTGCATGCTCCCTCCGCGGCCACCATTTGGCAGCCAATCTATTTTTGGCACAACACCGGCCCACATTTCTGGGTTCGGCCCACATTTCCAGGTCGTCAGCGGTGACACATAATAGATGTGATGTATACGGCGAAGTGATGTATACGGCGAAGTGACGTGTACGGCGAAGTGACGTGTACGGCGAAGTGACGTGTACGGCGAAGTGACGTGTACGGCGAAGTGACGTGTACGGCGAAGTGACGTGTACGGTGGAAAAAACAGTATACTGCAGCGGGAGGGCTTTCCTAGGAGCTCTACGCTGGGTCTCGTGGTGTGCACAAAAACAAACGCCCCGTAACCACGTGCTCGCGAGTCGACTGTTTGGCTTCGGCTGGAGTATGCCGGGCCGTTATGTGAATTTAAATGAACCAGAAGTAGGCATGAAACTATCAAGACCCCAAAGCATTGAAAATTTCTGATGTAAAACATGCACACTAGTAACTGTAAAAAGATCAAATTTTCTGCAGCCTCTGTAGCTACGTGCTGAGACGAAGAGTCTCTGTTGCCCATTTATTTTTTGAGTTAACATGAGAATTAGCTAACCTTAAAGTAAAAAATATATATCAGTAAACTCTGTGTTCTTACTGATAAAAATGATAATGTGAAGACAAAAATAAACAAATCACATTTCTGTACAAATATTTTTATATGGAAAGTCTGAACGTTAGGTCGCATATAGCTGAAGAACTGTTCTAAGATCTGAAGAAACTTATGAAATCAGACAAGAAAGAGTTCAATCAGGTGAGCTTTTTCTTTAAAGTATTGTTAAAATCTCACTCGATCTTTGACGTGACGAGTGTCCCATGACGCCCCAATAAACTAACAATCTCTTAAGACTTTCTTCTTTATCGGCCAGTGTCAGAACTTGTTAAACGTCATCACCATTTAGGATAAGATACTTACAGGATGTCGGTACAATCCGTCCATTTTGCCGGGATACTTCTCGAACTGAAAACAAAAACAACAAGTTAAAAGAATATCAAACGTAGATGAAAATGCTTCATAAACATTCCAGACACGCAGGAGGAAAGTTCAACACAGATGTTCTCACCAGGGGAGGTGCAGTGGCTGAGGGGTGCAGGAAGGGCGTGAAGTGTTGGTGCGTGTGCGTGTGCTGGTGCTGGTGGTTGTGCTGATGGAACTGGAAGGCCAGTGGTTGGATGCTCGTCTGGTTCTGAGACGTCCGGCCGGATGAGCTCGACGCCGAGCTCGATGGAGCACCGGGTGTGGCGCGGCCCATTGCCGTGGAGTTATTTTCATCCCCTGGCACGCTGCGTCTGCCCTCACGCTCTGGTGATAACGAGAAGCACGAGATGGTGACAGGATCATTAGCTGAAAATAAACCTTTAAAACCTACAACTCAGTTTGACCAAAAGAAAAAAAAAATGCTGCATTCATAAGCAGAAACCTTACATAAAAACACAGTCATGGTTTTTTAAACGCTGCATATATACTCCCAAGACAGTTATCATACATAACTTCTGCTTTGTAGTAAGACGGTAACAGTTGCTGTGATAATAAAAGTAGATCTCAGTCCACAAATGTTCAACTTCCTCATCGCTCTCGACAAACCCAGACAACCACCAGAGGAAGTCTGAGTTTGGTTTATTTTAGCTGCCACCGTGTTCCTCTGAGCTAATGAATCATCCTAACAAACTGAAACAGAGGTGGAATGAGGTAAGTCTGCTCTCCGTACCTGCTGCTGTTGAGTTGGCAGGAGGTAGCAGAGGTGGAGGGGGAGGCAGACCGGGTGAAGACGTGAAGAAGGGCCCCGAGTTGGCTCGGGAAGGGGGTCGGAGGGGCCCCGAGGAGCCCGAACCCCGATTATAGGGCAGAGAGACGCTAGTGGAAGGAGTTGGAGGGCGCATTAAGGATGAGGCAACGGATGATGCAGACGATGGCGGCTTGGCTGGAGTGCTGCTCCTGAGAAAAAAGAAGTAGAGGAAAAAAACCATCAGTCCCTGAACACAATCCCCCTGATGCTGGTAAATTAAAGAAACAGACCTGCTGTAGATGGGGTGGGACCGTGGAGGCAACGTGAGGAAGGGTTTGGGTTTGGAGAGTGGTGGGCTGCTGTTGTGGCGAGTACTGTTCCCGTTCATCGGGCTGGATCGGGGGACGGCGCTTGAGGCTGCGCCCGGGGAGTGGGAAGACCGGCGAGGAAGGTAAACCGAAGAGGTAGAAGAAGAAACCGGATCTGGGAAGTGCGGCTCCAGGCTTTTCTCCTGACTTCGCTCCAGGCCAGATACTCGCGGGGTCACCATGAACCGCGACACCCCTCCACAACGTGCCGACAGAGACGGGCAGGTTTTGCCCATGGATGTGCTCATGTTTGCAGGAGCAGGATCCACAACTTAAAGAAAGAGGAGCATCGGTCAGCCTCGTCACTCTCCCACTCATTGCACAGAAAGTTTTTCTCTGTGTAAATGAAACCGACTCGGCAAACTTGGCCAGAACGTTTCTGCAATTACATTAAGTCACTGCAAGCTGGAAAATTACTTTTTATATCAAAACTAGTTGTTTTTACCTCACAAGAATAATTTAAGTTTCTGAGATATAACTTTTTAAATTATTAAACTTTTTATTATCTAATTAATCTTTAAAATTAATTAAATTAAATGTTTAAGACAAAAAGAAGCTGCAATAAGAACTTCAAGTACTAAAAACTGGATAGACATAAAGAACATCATGGATCACTCACTAAATAACTACATGCAACCAAATATGTGTCCAAGCAGCTTTTGTGCACCACATCTGTGCAGTACACATAAGCAAGGCAGAATTTACAAGACATGTTCTCATTTACATGTAAATTTAAAGAAAACTGATACTTTTGAAACAAGATTGGAGCAGATAACGTCAGCTGTATGTCATCAGAATTTATGTTACATGTGGCTGCAATAAATGGTTTTGTAACAAACGAAGAGACTAATCTTTACATGTATGAGGCCAGTCGAGTGTGTGTTGAATACCAACACCGTATTCTACTTAACAAGGGACCGATCCGGTGATCACTTGAACCAAACCTGATTTACGAGGAAAAGTATAAAGTCAGTAAGTAAATTTTATTTATATAGCACTTTTCATAAACCCTATTCGCACGAGATTAGTTTTACCTAGGAACCCCATGTAATGAATAAATTACTCCCCAACGTCTGCTTTTTATGTGGCGCATTTGCACGGAATAACCAAAGCCTGAGATTTAGCTGAAATTTCCAGACATCTTCTGGATATGATGTTAACGCGCTGCGTTGTCACGACCGGACTGGTCCATATAATGTGCAGGCCGGGCCGGTCTAAGGCTTTGATGTGGTTTTATGAATCAGCACAAAGAAAACTAAAGAATGCACAAAATAAAACTGTGTTAATCTACTTGTTGAGGAGGAGGCAGGTCCGACCGGCTGGTTTAAGAGGTAAAAAAAAAAAAACACGTTATGCTCAGACGGACAGCCTGTCACCAGCCGCGCGCGTGAGCGGTCGGGCATCCGCGGACTCGCCGGTTGGAATGGACTTGCGACCTGTCCAGGGTGTCCCCACCTCTTGCACAGTGATGGATGGACATGGGCACCAGCAACTCCCGCTACCCGAAAAGGAAGAAGCGAGTAAATATGATGGATGGATGGATGGATGGATGGGTCAACTGATCGCGCGCGCGTCTCCGCACCTGCTGTCATCTGCGGTGAAGGAATCAGCAGCATAAAAGCTGAAGCGAGCAGCGCGTTCATTTAAAATAGCCTTGTTCTATATTTTTCCAAATTATTTTGCTTAAACAAAAACAAAAAAACGCCTCATTACGTATGAGATCCCGCCCATTTCTGTCCAAATCACAGAGATGCCTATTCACATTGGATTAGTATTATCACAGGACCTCGGAGTTCAGCAAAATATAGTAGGTAATTTGTGGGGGGATTTTTACTTTACAAATTACTGACATGGCCGATTCGCACGGGATTAACAACACAGACAATCTCTGTAATTATTACAAATAGCATGTGGTCCCTAGGTAAAACTACTCCCGCGCGATTAGGGCTATAAATAAAATCACAAAGTGCTTTACAGAAATGCAAAAAACAGGCTTAAAATAAAACAAAAACAACAACAGCTGATGAAAACAAAGTAAAACAATTAACTGAAAGCTTGTCTGAATAAAAGTGTCTTAAGCTGCTTTTTTAAAGGAATTAACAGAGAGCCACACGAAGAGACATGGGCAGGGCATTCCACAGCCTGGAGGCTACGGCCTGAAAGGATACGTCACCCCGAGTTCAGAGGGAAAACTGCAAACCTGGCCCGGGTAACGCATATAATCCTTTATGCAAAATAAGGTGTGCCGATCATAATGATATTGAATAACAGTCTAAACACAGTTGGTTGACAGGCTAGATAAAGCAAAATATGATACTAAACAAATCACTAGAATTTGAGAGAGATGAGATGGAACAGAAGTCAAGCCGTACGCAGGCGCCATCTTCCCGGAAGTTGTTAATAAAGCCCACTGCTGTGTTCGCTTTTGTCTCAACTGGCAGAAAATTACAGCAAGCATTAGGTTTTCAGTGGGGTCGAGGTGTGAATGAAGGACCATCAGATTCAGACCCTGTCACAGCCAGTCCAATCTCCAGACCAGAGCTCTGTTGAAAACCTCTGGATTGTGATTAAGAGGAAGAAGGATGGTCACACAGCATCAAACACTGAGTGTTTGCACCAGGATTGGCAAAGCTCACCAAAAACAGCAATGTAAGAGTGGTGGAGACCATCGAGTCTTCAAAAATACTGATTTCAGAGCTCTTCCCATGTAAAACAACAGTGTTGTACCATCTAAAAAGAAATATAACCTTGTGTTCTTTGCATTATTTGCGGACTGAAAACACCGCACCCGTTCCCTTTTTCAAACTTCTTTTCATGTTCTGCAAATAACTGTTCTAAATTACAATATTTCTATTTGAAATTTGAAAGTGCATTATAGAAAACACATAACAGAACATATTTTCAATCAGTAAACTGACCGAACAAAGAAACTGACCATTTTGCTGTGGTCTGTTCGTTTGTTCCAGAGTTTTATGTTATCACAATAACTAACAAAGGAAACTGTTGGATGCTATCATTTATTGTCAGTAAAGTACCAAGTTTTACATGTTTTATAACACTGTCTTTAATTTATAAATGAGAGTTGATGATTTTGCATGAATTGCAATACCTCAAAATTTTCCCCACACTTAATACTTGGTGTTTTAGTGTAGTTTCAGTTTTAAAATGTCCACGAATGAATGGTTCTAACGTTACAAGCTTGAACCAAAACTGAAGCGTGAATAGAATTACGGTATGTTTGCACAAATGCAAGAAGGAAAACGTTTAAACAAACCAATTGCGATTAACTCCCAACGTCCTGTATCCAACAGCTACTTCATACTGAATGCTACATGTTGTTTTTAAATCTAAACCTATTGTAATTGTTTGCTAAATATAGATTTAAAAGGGGACAGCTGACCAACATAAACATCACGACTGTGAAGTAGCAGAGGTTTTTTCTAACCTTTTCTGGTGCTGACTGTGAACACCAGGTCCATGTCGTTGTCGGAGGCCTACAAAGAGAAAAGTTAGAATGATCTTTATTATTATTTGTAAATTTGCAACGTTATTTAAAACGAGTCAGGTACAAGCACAAAAATGTGAGTTTTTGTCATGAGCTCGTTCAAGATACTGTGACAAGGGAAAGTAGGGGTGACTAGGGTGCTGCAGCAACACCAATATAACAAAGTAAATAAAAACAGATTTTATTCATAAATAACGGGTATATTTGAATAACTTTTTGATATTATTGAGTTATTTAAAACTGATATATACACAAACAATACACACCTTGTCTCCTGCGTCACTCTCAGTGTCACACTAACAGAGAAAAAAACAAAAACAAAACTGGAATTAGCATCGACGGAAGCATTTCGTATAACATTGACTGTAATTTTGAAAAACAAAAACTTACAATGTAACCAGTCTCCAAATGAGGACCCTGTGAACAAAAATAATATAAACCTCAACAACTTGCAATTAAGATCTTATCATTTATTTGTCTTTAACATTTTTAAAAAGTTTTCCTTTCCTGGTTCTAACGAATCATCCCACACGGTCTTAATTTCTTAAACAGCCAAGTATCATAGATGTTGCTCAACGGCATGACAGTGAACCAGTTTTACTCGCTTCTTTTGAATAGCAGGAAGTACCGGTCATTGGCACTACAAAACTATAAACATGGTTGTTTGATCAAGAATTATCTCAACATTAACATTTTAAGGGGCTTCTTCTTCACCTCTATCTTCCTTCTCTTATTTCTACTCTTCTTCCAGCAGCTGCTGGGGTAACTGTGCGGGACTCCTTCCTCGGGCTCAGACAGCGGCCCTCCACCGTTTTCCTCCGGGCCTCTCTTTCCCTTGTTTCTCCTGCCCAGCATATCAGTGCGCTGATTGGGCTTCAGAGAACAGTCCATCTGATAGGACGAGAAAATAAGGTGATTTAATATCTACAAATAGCATTACGTGTCATTACGATGATAAAAAGTAAAGTACATGCACATACAATGTTGTGACACAGAAGTGCATGACTGGACCGATCAAATGGTGTAATGAATTACAGTTTTTGTACAACCATCACTGGAGATGTCTTCAACCACCCCATCACTACAATCTAACCACTTCTGAATATTTTGTGCAATTGTAGCAGATTCTATATTTTGATTTTATGTTATGTGTTGCTGTGTGCTCTGCCTGTTGGTTTCTGTTTGTACAGCACTTTGGTTGGCCCAGTCGCTGTTTAAAGTGCTCTATAAATAAAACGGTATGGTATATACCAAACTGTTCAGCTCAGAACATTTACACTTTTCAAAATATTTTGACGTTTGTATATATATATATATATACACACACACACACACTAAGATCTATTCAGTACCTTCAAAAACATTGTTCTCTCTAGCTTTAGTTATTTTTACATTTAGACTACCTGTAGTCATTTTTGTACTTTTATATCTGAGCTTCCGGGCAATTAATATACCTTTAAGATGCCGTTCTACTTCTTTTAGCTTCTAGCTGCTGTTCTACTTCTTATAACGTCTAGCTGCTGTTCTACTTCTTATAACGTCTAGCTGCCTTTGTACTTCTTTTAGCTTCTAGCTGCCTTTGTACTTCTTTTAGCTTCTAGCTGCCTTTCTATTTATGTTAGCTTCTAGCTGCCTTTCTACTTCTTTTAGCTTCTAGCTGCCTTTCCACTTCTTTTAGCTTGTAGCTGCCTTTCCACTTCTTTTAGCTTGTAGCTGCCGTGCCACTTATTTTTGCTTGTAGCTGCCGTGCCACTTATTTTTGCTTCTAGCTGCCTTTCTACTTATTTTAGCTTCTAGCTGCCTTTGTACTTCTTTTAGCTTCTAGCTGCCTTTGTACTTCTTTTAGCTTCTAGCTGCCTTTCTATTTATTTTAGCTTCTAGCTGCCTTTCTACTTCTTTTAGCTTCTAGCTGCCTTTCCACTTCTTTTAGCTTGTAGCTGCCGTTCCACTTATTTTAGCTTGTAGCTGCCGTTCCACTTATTTTAGCTTCTAGCTGCCTTTCTACTTATTTTAGCTTCTAGCTGTCGTTGTACATTTTTAACTTCTAGCTGCCATTCTATTCTTTTAGCCTTTAGCTAATATTCTACTACTTTTTGCAACTGCTCTGGGATTTGTGGGTTTTAGCTACTGTTTTTTTAGGCTTGCCCTTTGCTACATTCAGCTTCTGGCTAGCCTTTTTGATATGTCTAGCTTCTAGCAGTCTTTTTCTGCTTTTAGCTAGCCTATTGCTTATTTTACTTTTAACTGGCATTTGACTCATTTTAGCACTTAGCTAGATTTTTGCTCTTTTTAGCTAGTGTTTTCACTACCTCTTTCAGTGCTCCTCTAGATGACTGGCCTTGGCAGGGCGCTTGTCAAACGGGGGTGGGGGTGTTAGCAGCGGAGTGCTACATTACTAACGCTAGGACAAAGCTACTTATCCTGTGGCTACAATCTTCACTCCCCGTCGTCACGTAACAGAACTTTCAGCGACGGGAGGATTTGGATAAGCGGGGCGCTCGGTTCTGTTGAGAGGGCGAGGTGCCCTCCTTGGATAATGGTAGGGGAAACACTGCTTTTTATTTTTAGCTGGCATTTTGCTATATTGTGTCTACTAGCAGTTTGCCTCCTTTTAACTAGTGTTTTTTTTCTTATAGCCAGTGTTTTGCTTCCTTTACCATTAACGCTTAGTTTCAGTTTCTTCAGCAAATATATTTTGCACATTTAAAAAAAATGCATTTTAGAAGAAAATGCCACATCTCTAGTTGATAAATCATAATAACTACTTCAAGATAAAAATTACTCAAACAGACCCATTAAAAACACAAGGGCACATGGGTTTGTCTTGAGAAATAGCGTACCCAGTAACTAGAGATAACCACCATGTTACAAAATAAAAAAAGAAGAAGCCTCTCTGCTTAATGAAACCCATTTTTCTTTTTCACCCTTCACTATGCAGTACTAGAAGGTATCAGCTGTAAAGGCAACAAAAAGGGAAATTGCTGCTTTGATAAACTGCTGATCGAACAGATAAAACTGATGGGAGTTAGTGACTGATTGTTCATTAGCATTACAATCCAAACACTGAAACCTCCAAATCCCAGGGGTCCTTCGTGGTGGCATCTGTTTGGTTTAAGAGGTGACTTTAAACAGGCTGAAGAGACCAATAATAATTACCGTAATTTGAATGTGAGATAACATTTAAATTCAGTTACTAGATAAAAACATTAAACGGTGAAAGGCTCCAATGCCACATGCCCTTATTTGACTGAATGTTCTGTACATAAGCAGCATCAGCTTGTCAAAAATTTAACACTTTTTATTTTAATTTCACAAAAACAGAGTGCCAAAAGATTGTATCTGTGACAAACCTATTTAAAAAGAGATTGCTGCTGGCTTGAGAAGATGTTTTCTCATCAGTATGAACTGGTTCGTCCTGGCTGGTCTACAGTTACCAGTCTTTGACAGCCAACCTGAAATTTGCTGCTTGATTTGACTGGAAAATGTGGCTGCCAGGAAGAACAGCGGGTCTGTTTGAGCGTGTGTGAACGGGCAGTTTGACAACACAACCTGTGGACAAACCACTTGGTTTTCCATCTTGATACAAATGTCAGTGAACCATACATGTTAATATGTTTAACATGTTGACAGCTACAATCAGAGTTTATTTTAGAGCTGGGCTATATCTTCAATGTTCAAGGAACTAGAAAAAGTGGCAAAAAAAATGCAAGGCAAACACCAAAGAAGTTGAAACCGAGTTGTTACAGGTAAAACGAGCAGAAGCCAGCTAAAAGCCCAATGCAGAAAAAACAACATTAAAAGTTTCTAGAAACTAAAAGTAGCAAAATGCTAGCTTAAAATTAACAATTGCAAAAGGCTGGCCATACATGAAGTAGCAGAACGGAGACTAAAAGTGTTAGCTAATGGAAAAAAGCAGAACAGCTTGTAAAAGCTAAAAATACCAGATAGCTAATAGCAGCAGCAGCAGACAAAGATAAAGCAGTTTTTTAAGAAACAGTGCACTTCTATATTTTGTAATAAAGTTAAACATTTTGGACGATATAAATGTTACAAAAAACAAACGTCATAGCACCCATCTCCTGAATGAGCTGAACTTTTTGTTCAAGGAGCCCAAGTAAAATACTGAATGTTACTGTTGACGCATAAACGCTTTAAATTCAGTACGAACTTTTTCATTTCCTTCACCGTCATGACAAAAGAAGTACTTCAACAGCACACAACCAGCAGAATATATAATATACATCCTGATGCATGCTCAATAATCCAGGTAGAAAACTCTTAACAAGAACCAGGTCCTCTGGACTGACTGTAACTACACTTCAGTTCCTACTTGTCTGTACTAATGAGCCATTAGGCAGCTCATCAACACCTCCCAGAACTAGAGCATGAATAATTGAAGAATCTCCAAAACCTGTCACTAGAGAGACCTTGGGGTTGGTCTGAACTGCTTTCTCCAAAATGGTGTCAGAGCTAATAATGGGTTTTATGTGCAGTATTTCACGTGGACATGATGTGGATTAAAAAGATCAAAACAGTCGTCTGAAAAAATAAATCAGAGGTGAAGTGTGCCTGACACCTTACATTAAGGAGTGATCAATCAGTGGGATGACAGCTGATGGAGGGTGTAAAACCCACCAGATGATATTTTACCTCCAGAGCCTCCAAGCTGATGAAGCTCGCAATGGCGAAGCCATCGATGATGTCTTCCTCGCAGGACACGGACTCTCTCTTCCTCCGACGTGGAGGCCTGTGTCTCCCAAATCCGGGCCGACATTCTCTCCCACGGGGACCCAGGACATTGTTGGTCCCACGAGCCTCTCGATCGGAGCCCGAGGACAGGGATGTGGCCCGCTGCTCCGCCAGGTCCACCCTCCTCCTCCGCCGCTCCCTGTCGCGCTGCGAACGGGACCGTCGGTTGTGTCGGAGTCCAGCGCTTCGGCTCGGGCCCTCCATGCTCGAACACCTCCTCCCTTTGTAGCTCCAATAGGACCAGGAGGCACTTAACTCAAGTCCCGGTCCGGTGGAAGGCACCGAACCGCCAGTTAAAAGTAAATCTAATTTAAAAACAACAACAACAAAAAGACACCACCAACGCAGGCCCTCAACGGGAGCCCCCGTTAAAACGGCGTAAATGGAACCGGTGGCTCTTATTTACCGTCCTCTAACAACAGTCTGCTGGCACCACGGCCCGTCTTTTTGCGAAATTTTAGTGTCATTTCAATAAATCCGAACCCAGACTCAGATCCACCACATAAAACGGATGCCAAGACATACCTGATGTTGTCTCCACCTATGTTGGACACATGTAAACAGGAAAAAAACAGGTTCCAATCGGGATATATTACCAAATAAAAACCTCGTCAATGCTAGGGGAAACTAAACAGCCAGTCACACTGACAAACGTGCTATCAAAACCATAAAATTTGTTGTTAGCGTAAATTACGTGACGGTCTTGACAGCTGAAGTTAAACGTAGTTTAAAGAGCTGTCTAGTTGGAGCTTGTTGACGTTAGGTCAGCGATTAGCTCTTTTTGCTAGCACGGCTAACGCGATAAATTACAACATTTTCGGACAGTAAATTAAGAATATAAACGCGTTATTTCAACGTGTTCAGAAGGTGTATCAATCCGACCAGTTAATTTGTAAGCTAACTAACTAATTAAAAGCTAAATTTTCCTACTGTCGAGATGATCATGGCCGATGGTTGAATTCACATCAAAAGAAAGACGTAACGTTAGCACTGCGGCTAGTGCTAGCCAGTTAAAGCAGCCGCAAGAAACTTTCAGATATTACTGAAAGATTATAAACGCTAATCTTAAAATCTAAATCATCTATAGAATATTATAATCCCACATGATCACGTGGAACTTTCTTTTTGGTCTTCCTTTGGAACAAGGAAGGAAAAAAAAAAAAGCCTAAGGCCCAAATTTTAATGCCTCGGTGTCGATTTCCAGGGTGTCTGACGACTCGAGCCCACCCGTCGGGCTGGGACGCTCCTTCATGCAGCCTCTTTTTTATAATCCAATGTTTGGAAGAACGTCTGCCCGTCGTTTCCGGTTTTTTAACCGTACGGAGTCCAGGAAGTAGACGTATGCGGAGGGAAAACAAGAACGGCTCCGCTGTTGATCGTCCACAAGTTTCCACGGACCTGGGAATTAATGGTGAAAATGAGGGAGACACAACCCTTGTCTGTCAACCGTGCTGCTGTGCATTGTGTGCCGCTCTTCTTCCTCAGTCATCATCAGGCAGGCTGGCTGGAGCCGCGCTCGACTGCAGCGCCATCTAGTGGTGATATTTAGAACTACTAGAGAAAAACTGTGCAAGCTCTCCATCAGAGATTAAATTAATTCATTCAACCTTTATTTAGACAGGTTAATCTCATTGAACCTCGGGGACTCATTTACAAGAGAGACCTGATTTTAACAAAGAGTAATGACAACAATGGACAACGGCAACAATAGACAGTTATAAAAAAGACATACATATATATATATATTTTTTTTACTAATTCAAATAAAATGGCAACCAAAAGGACAGTCAAAAGAAAAAAGAAGTAGCAAAAAAAAAAAACAGCTAGATTATAAGACGGTGTAGAAAACTAAAAACAGGAACATGTCTGCATTAGTTTTTGCCAGAAACTTAACAGATGTTCGAAGTCCCTTAGAGAGTTCAAGGTCGAGAGCTTCAGATCTTTTTGTAAGATATTCCAGGAAACAGGAGCAGAGTAGGAGAAGGTCCTTTTGTCTAGTTCAGTCCGCACTGAGGGAACACTGCAGGTAATAATGTCCTGAGAGCGCACGCTGTAGCTGCACTCACGCAGAGACATGTAGGAGGAGACGTATGAAGGCAGCAGACCAAGAAGTGATTTAAAGATGAAAATGTACCAGTGGGAGAGTCTGTGTGAAGTTACTGTAATGATGACCAGTTAGAATACTGGGTGCAGTGGTGGGTACTGTAGTTACAGCCAGTTATGAATCTTAGTGCACCATGATAGACAGCATCCAACATCTGCAGCATCCAACATCTGCAGGACTCTTGTAGGAGCGTTCATGTAAATAATGTCACCGTAATCAATGGAGGGAAGGAAAGTCACAGATTCAAGGTGTTTTCTAGCATTCAGAGTTAGACAGGATCTGTTTATTTTATTGTTTATTTATTTTATTTTATTTCTAATATACCCACAGTCCCTCCTCTGGTCATGTCCAAACCACTGTCCCTCCTCTGGTCATGTCCAAACCACTGTCCCTCCTCTGGTCATATCCAAACCAGTGTCCCTCCTCTGGACATGTCCAAACCACTGTCCCTCCTCTGGACATGTCCAATCCATCTCAGTGTGTCCTCTCTAACTTTATCTCCCAGTTGTTCAACCTGTGCTGTACCTCTGATGATCTCATTCCTGATCTTCTCCATCCTTGTCTCTCCTCAGGAGAACCTCAACATCTTCATTTCTGCCATTTCCAGTTCTGTCTCCTGTCTTTTTGTCCATGTCTCTGTCTCCAGAACATACAACATAGCTGGTCTCACCACTGTCTTGTAAACTTTTCCTTTGACCTTTGCTGACACCCTTTTGTCACAAATCACTCCTGAACTTTTCTCCATCACTCCATCCTGCCTGGACTCTCTTCTTCACCTCTTTACCACACTCCCCATGTTCCGGGACAGTGGACCCCAAGTCCTTGAAGTCCTGCACCTTTGTGACCTCTGCTCCTTGTAGCCTCACTGTTCCACCTCCTCCCTCTCATTCACACACATGGACTCTGTCTTACTACGACTGACTTTCATTCCTCTTCTTTCAAGTGCATACCTCCACCTCTCCAAGTTCTCTTCCACCTGTTCCCTGTTCTCACCACAGACCACAATGTCATCTGCAAACATCAGTCCATGAGGATCCTTGCCTGACCTCATCTGTCCCAAAATTTCAACATAACTTAAAAAAATTCCAATTTCAGAAAAAAATCTCTACGTTTTGATGTATGAACTAAATTTAAAAAATGTACAGAGAATGAAGACCAAGATGAATATTTGTGCTGTATCACCGTGGCAACTGCACACCTGTGTCTGTCACTCCCTGTCTTTAAATGTAATGAAAGGCGGACTGAAAAGTAAGCCTCAAACAGTCAATGTAATAAAACTAGGAGTCAGATCTTTGAAATATTTGAACCTTAAGTGTCAGAGAAGTTGTTTTCGTCTCACGTTTTAATTTTTCTGTTCCCACAAGATTAAAAAAAAAGACACTTCATTTTCAGTTTAGAAGATACAAAAGCTAAAGAAAAACTAAAGAAAAAAGTGTAACATCAAAACTGTTGGGCAGAACAATCTAGAAAAATTATAAAACTTAAGCTGAGATTGTGTAAAAAAAAATGAACATGCCAGTTGAGACATTTTAAAACCAACTTTCTATGACCTTTTTAAATTTTGTGTTTCTTCTGAAAGAGAAGTGTAAACTCTTCTTGAGTATAGGAGGAGGTTGCTCCCGTCTGCGAGGTCCACTGCTGCGAGCAAACTTGCACAAAAGATTTGTCAGTTGTTTTAAATCTGATGGGCCTCCAGACGCAACCGGGCTCGAACTTGTAACCTCAAGATTATGAAACCACACCACTGACCACCAAGCTACCGCAGCCCCTAAAGTAGATCAACTAGAGCTTCAAACAGGGCTGGAGTTTCTCACGTATTTCAATAAAATCACATTGATCTCCACTATTTTTCTTACTTTTTTGTATTTTTTTATTACGCCAGATGCTGCAACCAATGTTACATTATTCTTAATGAGCTGCAAGTTTATAATTTACATTTTTTAAAGTGATGTGAGGAAATACAGAACCAAAGAAATGGTAATAAGTTGCTTCAGTGCACAAAAAAACAAAACAAAAAAACAAGATGTACATCTGTAACAAATGTAAGAGCTGAATTTTATGTTAATGGATGTGAAGTTCCTCAGGGCTCTGTGTTGGGACCAAAGTTGTTTTGTATGTGAATGATCTGGTTGGTGTGTCAGGGCTTTTGAAGTGTTTTAATTGCAGATGACGCCACATTTTTTTGTTCGGGTGAAGATACTGACAAGCAAAATTAATAAAAATACAAACTTTGTTCCAACTTAATAAGTTAACATTAAATTTGGAAAAAAACAAACTTACATGATATTTAGTAATAGAAATAAAATGATCGAAGTCCCATTCAAAATTGACAGTATTGAAATTCATAGTTAATGAAATAAAATGTTTGGGTGTCGTTATTGATGAGAAGCTGACGTGGAAATCTCTTGTAAATTAATTAAAAATAAAAATAGCAAAACTAATTGTATTACTGTATAAAGTAAAGAGTTTTTGAACGACAAAGCTTTGTATATATTGTATAATGATTGTTCTATATTTAATCTATTGTTTTGAAGTTTGGGGAAAAGCATTCAAAACAATTACAAACCCTATTTTTATTTTACAAAAAAGAGCCATAAGAGTTATTAGCAGGAAGTGCTATGGTCATGCAACAAATATATTATTTAATCAGTTGAACTTATTAAAATGTTATGATTTGTTCGAATATAGTTTTTCCAAGTCCTGCATTAAGCTCATAAAAAACATTACCCCCAAATATTCAATTCACCTGCAGGTCGTGGAGCTGGTGTCCATCTCCAGCAGTCACTGTGTGAGAGGCAAGGAGACACGTGGACATGTCTCCAGTCCATCACAGGGAGACAGACATTCACTCTCACCTAGGGGCAATTTAGACTTAAATCTAACGTGCGTGTTTTGGGTCTGCGGGAGGAAACCGGTGGAGAAAACCCACGTGTGCACGGGGAGAACATGCAAACTCCACACAGGTTCCAGGCTGGAAATCGAACCCGCGGCCTTACTGTCGAGAAGCGACAGCTCTACCCGCTCTGCAGCCGTGCAGATTTTAATGCACTCTCTGAAAGTTACGATTAAACATAAATCTATAACGGGGCAACACAATTCAAGATGGCTGCCACAGCTAAACAACAACAAACACAAATATGGCTACTCACAGATTTTACCCATCCAAAATCTATTTACAACGGTTTAACAAGGATATAAATATAATTTGCTCTTTTTGTGGTGAAAACCCAGAAGATGTCTTTCATTTATTTTGGTCTTGCCCGTTCTCGACTCAATTTTGGAAAAGTATTTGTATTTTGATTTCTACTTTTATAAAACCAGACTCACTGACCCAACAGCTAAAGAAAAACACTTCTATATTATTCATCTTATTATATACCTCGCCAAATGGCACATTCATAAATGTCGATACACTAATCAAAAACCTCATCTCCATTTTTGAAAGTGAGGTAAAAAAAATACATTCAAACTATTAAATATTGCACCAACACGAAGGCCATAAAAACTTGCACCTTATGTGCTCTCTTGAATATATTTACGTAATATGTTGTTGTAAATTATTGTCTCAGTGTTTGTAACCCCCTGGCAGCTGTTAGATCATTACTATACTACATTTTATTGTATTGTTTTGTACTTTTTCAGTAAAGATTAAAAAAATTGTTATGTTGGTCAGTTTTACTGAGCTTAAATTTGGCGTGTTAGAAGCTGAAAGTTATATTTAACACATAAGCACCAACTGATCTAGATATTTAAATATCGGATGAAACAGCATGACGCCATTTATGACCCTAAACTTCTCGCCATTCGAACATCTAAGTGTGGAAGTCGGGCCTGAAAGGCGGCGGGCGATCCGTTAAGGATTGTTTGGCGTTTACTTCAGTTTTTGGTCACAGAGGAAGAAGATAAATATTTTCTCTTTGGAGGTTTTAATGTAAAAACAGTTTTATCGTGAATCATATTTTCAGCAGCGACACAGTGAACTTCATGCACATGCAGATGTGGGTTCATGGAGCCGCCGTTCTTTGCTGTGAGGAACATGTGGGCGAGTTCCTCTGGTGCAGCAGAGAGTGCAGAAGGATGCCTGTGGCCACGGAGACGTTCAGAGACTCGATCCCTGGCAGCAGGTCCCTTCCAGCCGAGATGGTGAGCAGAGTCTGGCACAGAGACAGCAGCTTGTGGGACAGCCCGTCCCCCTCGCCACCCATCAGTAACATCAGGGGTTTGGACATGTGAAAGTCTGAGCACGGGACCACGGGAACGTGGGACTCCTCCGGCTCTGCTCCGACTGTCCCGACCACATGCCAGCCCTGCGCCGCCCTCAGCTTCAGCAGATCCTCCAGGTTATCATGCCCGTACACCCCCATCACCTCCATGATGCCTGAGCTGGCCTTGCTAACCACCGGAGACAGAGGACAGCTGTGGCGAAGGCTGCTGATGACCCCGTCCACACCGAGGAAGTAAGCAGAGCGCAGGATGGCACCAAGATTCATGGGGTCCTGGATTCTCTCCAGGACCAGCCACAGGGGGAGGCCGGAGGTCCGTTTAGGTTCAGAGCCCACGGTCAGAAAGCTCAGAGGACTTGCTTTCAGACAAACTCCTTGGTGGACTCCTCCAGATGACATCATGTCCAGGTTTTTCTTGCTGACCCGGCTGATCCGGACTCCTCGCCGGTGCGCCTCCTCGCACACATTCACCACAGACGCCCTCTGAGAGGTCTCGCTATCCTTCACAAACAGTTCATAGGCACTCCTTCGTCCCTGAGTGAGAGCCAAGAGACACGGAGCCACGCCAAAAACCACCTCGTGCTCTGATCTGGAGTCCAGTTCTGACTTTGGTCTCACCGGCCGCTCCCTTTCTGCAGGGAAATCCTCCAGACACAGTTTCCTGAGTTCAGACGAGACTCTGGGGACGTCAACCCTCCTCTGATTCTGCTCCAAAGAAGTCTTGATCTTTGAGGGTGACCTCCTCAAGTCCTTCTTTTCTTCATCATGAAGACCTGGTGACCTCCTGAAGTCCTTCTTTCCATCATGAGGAAGACCTGGTGGCCTCCTGAAGTCCTTCTTTCCATCATCATGAAGACCTGGTGACCTCCTGAAGTCCTTCTTTCCATCATGAGGAAGACTGGGTGACCTCCTGAGGCGTCTTTTCACACGAGTGTCCATGTTTTTGTCCTCTTCACTCAGGAGACATGCTGTGAGGTGGTATGAAGCTGCCTGAGAGCCCACTCTGGAGGAGGACACCAGTGTCTGCAGTTTTCTACACCAAACAAGATTAAACCTGTGCTGGTTGACCCACATTTTAGAAAGAATAAAAACAATCAAGTCTGTCTCGATGAATCTCCGTTAATCCACTAATCAGCTACGAATCAAGATACTTCATAAAGAATCTAACAAAATTAAGTAAAATACCCAATTTCTGCTGATAATCAACGCTCACTCGGTCAGTAGCAGAAACACGTGCGTTTACTCTTCTGCGCATGCGCAAAACGCGCTAATTCAAGCGTTTGGTTTTATTGCCGGAAGTAAAAGCGTTTTGCCTAAAAAGTAAAAGTCTTATGAGTAAATTTCATGAGAGTCTTGATTTTATTTATTTTTATTTTTTTTAAAGACTCGTTATTTAGGTAAAAGTTCATCGATATATGAGGAAATATCAACAGTAACTTGATTTTTCATCAAAACGAAACGGTAAAGTTAAAGTTTGCAAATAAAGGTGATGACTAAAACATTTGATAAGACTATTTAATAGTTCAACAATAATGGTAATTTTAAGTATGTTTATTTCATATATATATATATATATATATATATATATATATATATATATATATATATATATATATATATATATATATTTAATTTTGTTCCACCTCATGTACCACATCAAGGTCAAGTCAAGGTGAAGGTCAATGTTCTTTATTGTCATTCGCATCACATGTGATACTTGAGATGGAACAAAATTGTGTACTCAAGGTCCCAGTTACATCCAACAATAGAAAAAATATAAATTCTAAAAAGAAACAGTATCCAAGGACCTAAGATATAAACTAAGATATACGCTAAACGATCACCAAACACTAAAAGATCTAAGATATACGTTAGTCACTGATAGTTCAAAACAAAACACCGAACAACAGCAGCACGAACATGAGTCTTTGTGGGTGGATGAGTATGAACGAATACAGAAGCATGGATAATCAGAAGCATGAGATCAGCAGCATGGATAATCAGCAGCGCATATCAATAATCAAACTTGCATTACAGTGATTTTTTTTGTCACAGTGATTCATGAGTCTAACAGCCTCAGGGTAGAAGCTGTTCCTCAGTCTAGTGGTTCTACACTTAATGCTCCTCAACCTCCTTCCTGAGGGGAGCAGGGCAGAAAGTGTGTGTGCTGGGTGAGTGTGGTCCTTCATGATGCAGGTGGCCCTCTTCCTGCATCTGGAGGTGTAGATGTCTGTGATGGTGGGGAGGCTGACTCCAACATCTTCTGTGCAGCCTTCACCACTCTCTGCAAAGCTTTTCTTTCTGCAGCTGTGCAGCCTCCATGCCACACGTTGATGCTGGAGCACAGGATGCTCTCCACTGCACACCTGTAGAAGGAGGTGAGGACTGAGCTTCCCAGACCAGCTCGTCTCAGCCGCCGGATGTGTGATGTGAATGACAATAAACTTGAACTTAAAATTTCTGAAATTTTCCACATTATTGTTTTCAGCAGTTTTTACTAAAAGCCATGCTTTCCTCAAGTGCTTGATTCATGAACATCTTCTAGTGTTTTAATACTGATCAAATAATTTTTTCTTTCTATTTTTTTGTTTTAAAAGTTATACATTGTAATTTCCTTGTTGGTGTCAAATGGACAAATTTCCCCATTTTAGCATTTTTAAAAGACCATTTTAAATAGATTTTTACAAAAATAAACCAAATTATGTCCTTACAAAAGGCGCTAATAAGAAACTGTTGAAATATGTAAGTTGTAGGTTCTTGGCTGAAGTGGTGAGTTGTCTGCTCTCCTTATGATTCACAGGATTGTGTTAAATGACAAAATTTTATCAAAAATATTAATAAAAATTAAAACAATATAGTATAAAAATTGGTTGGAGAATATCTAAACAAAATAAACTACAACTCATGTGCAATACCAGTATGGTATGTAAAAACTTTAAAATGTTTTTTTTTTTTTTTTTTACCTTTTTTTTTATTTAAATAACAAAAACAAATTTTGATACAATTATTAAAGTTTTAAATCAGAGTTATGGTTTGTTAATAAATCTGTTTAACAATAACAAAATGTGTCAATCTATTGAACCAATGTTTCTTTATCGAGCACTGTTGGTTCGGGATGAAATGTTTTTATTTTGAAAGTCTGAACTCGGTTGTGGTTTCTTGACAACGTGACGTATTGAACGTAATGGCAATCACGCCTTCTTTGGGCGTACGTGATTACGTCACATACCGGAAGAGTAACAGTCGCAACACGGAAGCCCTGGAAAGAAAACAAATAACCGTTTTTTAGTTTGTTTCGTCGAAGACAACACCCCGAGCTCCGTCTGATTTCTGGATTTTTCTGTTCCGCCGCAGACGAGAGCAGTTCACGGTGAGTGCAGCCGCTGGGTTCGGTCTGAGGACCAGCTGTCACGGGTTTAGAACCGAACCGAGCGTGGTCCAAATCAGACGCGGGCCTGTTGGTCACATAACTTAACAGCTGAGTAATACAACTGAAAGAACGAAGGACTGAACGAACTGGACACAAAACGTTCATCTGTTCAATCTGACCTTACAGCGCTTAAAGGTTAACTTTAAAGTTCAAGTGGAAATCCCCTCGTATATTTTACTACCTGTATGATTGAGCTGATGTGTTTTTTTGGACAGTTAAATCTTTGATTATGATAATTAAGTGACTGTATTAGTATTAACATTACAGTATTATTATGTTTTAGGAAAATTAATTAGACATATTTCGAATAATCATATTTTTAACCTGATGGACTTAATTAAATATATAAAGTAAGTACGGTAAACAAGTCCTTTGAATGCCATAAGTGCAGTTGATGAAAGTGTCAACAACTACTTCAATGTGACTAAACTGTTAACTTCTCAAAGGTCATTATTGTCCTCTTTATTTTTATTATTAAATCATTCATATTTCATACCTGCATCAAACCTGAAGCTGACGAAATTAATTTTTTCTGTCAACGGATATGTTTTAGTTTTCATGAAATGAGTTAATCTAATTGGCTAAGTATTAAACTTTGATTATCTCTGGTTTATTTCAAATATGTTTGTAAACATTAGATGACAGGTGTGTTTACAACACCACCGTCTGATTCATGCACAAGAAAACCGTTTTGTCAGGTTTTGTGCACACGTACAGACGACATGAAGTTTTCTTTTAATCAGGTTATTAAGACTAAAGTCCAGCCCTGTGGTGAAATCACAGAAAATTAACAAACAAAAGTGATGATGTCATCAGTCAGGTGAAGAGTGAGTCAGCACTTTCCAGGTATTCTGCATAAATATTTATTTTTAGCCTCTACTAATTATCAACTAATTGTTTTGATGTTTTAGTTGTGATTGTAGGAGAATAAATTGTGTATTTTATGATTTTTTTTTTCTTGTTTGAATTATTTATTATTCAAATTATATATATATATATATATATATATATATATATATATATATACAGTAGATTTAGTCCGTGTTGGTTTTATTTTATTTAGATAGTGAGATTCTGTTGATGTTTTGCTCGGTTGGTTTATTTTTTATGTCACACAGAAACACGAGAATTTGGATCAGCAAAAACTCATTGACTGCTGAAATTTGCTAAAGAAGCTAAAACTGTGCGGTAAACCTAAAAGAAGCTGAGCATTAGCTAAAATTTTAAACAAGAAAAACAAAGTTTAATTGGTAGCAAAATGCTAGCTTAAACATGACAAAACAGATAGTTAAAATCTAAAACACAGAAGCTAGTTAAATGTAGCAACATACTAGAAGCTGAAAGTATCAAAATGTTAGCTAAAACATTCTATATTGATTTATACATTAATATATAAAATGATACAAAAGTCTTAACTGTAAGCTTAAAGTATCAAACAGCTAGCTAGAAGCTAAACTGAACTAAAGGCTAGCTAGAGGCTAATAAATGTAACAAACGACTAGCTAGAAGCTAAAAGTATCAAAAGCCTAGCTAAAAGCTAAAAGTTTTAAAGTCTAGCTAGAAGCTAATACTTTCAAAATGCTAACTAGAAGCCAAAAGTTAGCATTTTTATGCTAGCTAAAAACTAATATAGCAGATGGGTAGCTAAAAGTACCAAAATGCTATCCAAATGTATCAAAAGGCTAGCTAGAAGCTAAAAGTATTTAAAAAACTAGCTAAAAGCATTAACTAGAAACTAACACTGTCACAGGCTAGCTAGACGTTGAAAGTATCAAATGACTAGCTAAAAGCTAAAAATAATAAATGTCTAGCTAGAAGCTAATATGACCAAAAGGCTAGTGGCTGAAAGTATCGAAAAATTGTTTTAAAGCTAAAGTATCAAAAGACTAGCTAAAAGATAAAAGTGGTGAAAGACGAGCTAAAAGTATCGAAAAGCTATCAAGAAAACGATAGGCTAGCTAAAAGCTAAAATAAAAACAAATAAAGTTGTATCGTATACAAAAAGCTCCCAGCAGCAGACATGGAGCCGATGGGCTGAACATGTTCGTGCTTGTACATCGTATCCGTTTGTGTAATTTTTTCTGGTTTTGTTTTCTTGGTCCAGATGGATTTTCTGTTTGGGAGGAGGAAGACGCCGGAGGAGATGCTGAGGCAGAACCAGAGGGCGCTCAACCGAGCCATGAGAGAACTGGACCGAGAGCGGATGAAGCTGGAGCAGCAGGAGAAGAAGATCATCGCCGACATAAAGAAAATGGCCAAGCAGGGACAGATGGTGAGGTGGAGGAGGCGGAGCTCGTGGGTCAGGGGGCGAAGACGAAACGTTAACGTTTTGTTTGGATCTCTGCAGGACGCGGTGAAGATCATGGCCAAAGACCTGGTCCGCACGCGGCGCTACGTCAAGAAGTTCATCATGATGAAGGCTAACATTCAGGCCGTCAGCCTGAAGATCCAGACGCTGAAGTCCAACAACAGCATGGCGCAGGCGATGAAAGGAGTCACCAAAGCTATGGCCACCATGAACAGACAGGTCTGTGAGGCGTTCACTGACGCCCGATAGAAAACCAAAACGATACAACTTCCTGTGTTTGACCAGACGGTTTTTCATTCCCGCAGCTGAAACTGCCGCAGATTCAGAAGATCATGATGGAGTTTGAGCGCCAGAGCGAGCTCATGGACATGAAGGAGGAGATGATGAACGACGCCATCGACGATGCGATGGGGGACGAAGATGACGAGGACGAGAGGTAACATTTACCCCCTCAGTTCACCCCAATGTCCCGGAACAGAAACAAATCATCAGCAAAAGGTCCATAAGAAAGAGAAGTCTCTTATTTCTTCCTCACGCGTTTAGTTTTACGTTTCCTTCACAGAAAGACTCGTAAACTGAAACAGGAATTGTTGTTTTGTGCAGAAAGTGTCACATGATGTTATTTATACATGTTACACGCACACGTGTGCAACATGGAAGGAATAACAAATCCTCAGCTCAGTGAGGAAGCAAAAACAAAACGAGAGATTAAAAAATGTATTTCTTCATTCTTCTAAATTAAATGTTTGTTTAAATCTGCATATTAGTCTATTTCTTCGATATCCAATTTGTATCAATTATCTGTTGTGGGTATTTTATTCACCCTGGAGGGAAATTTCAGGATTCAGAAGCAACACCAATAATAAATTTAATCTTTTAAACTGACAGAAATGAACAAACACGAGCAGGGTCAGGGTCAGTGATGGAAAAGATGAAGTTACAAAAACGGTCCGTCTGAATGGAATGAGGTTATCAAAAAATAACAATCCATCATTTAAAAATACTTGTTTTAGTTATTTTTATTCAGGCTCTGCTATTTAAACATAAAGTCATAAAGACTTGACCAATTAAAAATCATAAATAATCAAAACCTGCACAATATGTCTTCATATTGGTAAATAAAGTGTCCTTAAATTAAAAATATGTACACAAAGCTTGTGGTGTGTTTGATCAAATGTTGAACTCGCCGGTCTAGAAAAGTTTTGTAAAAGATGTACGGCAGTCCCTCGCTGCTTCACGGTTCGTTTATCGCGGACTCGCTCTATCACGGTTTTTCAAAACAAGAGTGGACGTGACGCACAAATGGCCGACTGATGGATGAGCCGCACGATCGGCATGACATTTTTATTTAAAATAGATTATTTTAAATGAATTAGCACCTGCTGCACCTTGGTGCAGCTCACACTGCAGGATAAACTTCCTCCTGCAGCTGATCAGCTGTTCTCCGAGCAGAGCGTAGAAGTGGGCGTGGCCAAGAGTGCTTGCAGAGGCAGAGAGCTGAAATCATGACATGCTGTGCTCTTTTAGAGCTTTTAGAGTTTAGAAACATTGTTTAGAATATTGCAAAAGTGTGGGAATATATATATATATATATATATATATACTAGTATATATACTATTCCTACTTTGTGGTTTTTCACTTATCGTGGGGCTTCAAGGTACGGATTCCCCACGATAAATGAGGGACTACTGTATATAAATCTTTGACAGTTTGATTAAAAGTCACTTATTTTAAAAATAAATTATATTTTTTTGTGACGTGTTTGTGCTTTTTGTGCAGCGACGCCATCGTGTCCCAGGTGCTGGACGAGCTCGGCCTCAATCTTTCCGACGAGCTGTCGAGTAAGAACAACGCAGCAGAATTATCGCCAAGTTTTCTCTTCCTTTGTTTCATTTTACCACCAACAGCCATCTGTTTGTTTGTTTGTTTGTTTGTTTGTTTGTTTGTTTCAGGTCTTCCGAGCACCGGGGGGAGCCTGTCGGTGGCGGGAGGGAAGAAAGCGGAGCCGCAGGCCGCCCTGGCCGATGCCGACGCCGACCTGGAGGAGCGTCTGAATAACCTCCGGAGAGACTGAGCCTGTTCCCATCTTTGGGTCAGGATTCTTTTTGGAGATGAAACGGGCCGGGCTGTTCTAAAGATGTGCAGCTTCCTGATCGAGTTTGTTTCATTTAACGTGTCATTTATGCGTCTTATCGAGGAAAAACATTTATTACAAGGATCAGTATCGATTTTACGTTTAGCAAATTCTCCCTGCGGATGACTCGGATCATCTGAAAGTCAACGTTTATATCGTTGTGTAAATAATAATTCTTCCAGGCATGTTTTCATTGTTTAACACTAATTAGAAATATATTTAAAGAAGACCAAATAAATGATGGAAATATTAAAGAAAGTCAAATTTTATGAGTTACACGTACAGGAGGCGGCTCGGAGCACTTCTTATCATCGTTGAGACATTTACAACATTTTTAAAGATCTTCAGACAAAAGCAGCCAGAGGACGGTCTTTAACTGACAGGTTTATTTTACGATTGTGTAAGAAAATAAAGTTCTGTTCTTCTGCCGGACGGTTCTGACATCAGCAGCATTTTCACCAAATAAGGACTCTGTTTTTTTTTTTTTTTGAGAAACTTCCTTTTTTCTTCATTTAATAAACATTTTTCCACATTACATGGGGTGGTTTTATATTTTAATGGATTCTTTCTTGTGTTAATTAACTTCTATTGTTGGCTTTTTGCAAAAACATGTAAGTTTTAAATTAATATGGTTAAAAAAGTGGATCAAAGAGGTTTTGATTTGAAGGTATTATAATGGAGATCTTTTAAACCAGTGTTTCTCAGAGTTGGGGTCTGGACCCCGGTTTGGGTCACAAAACACCAAATTGAGGGTCCAGAGATTTAATAGTTTATTTCTTTCTAGTGTATTTCACCATTTCTATTAATGTGTTGTTTAATTTTTAGCAATGTTTATGTAAATCAATCAAGGATTTTTCAGTTTTTATTTTTTGGGGTTCAGCGCCCAAAAGTTGGGTGACACGGTGGCTCAGTTGGAAAAGCCGTTGCCTCTCGGTGAGAAGGTCATTGATTCAAATCCCAGCCGGGGGTCTTTCCGGTGGTTTGCATGTTCTCTCCGTGCTGCGTGGGTTTTCTCCGTGTACTCCAGTTTCCTCCCAGACCAAAAACATGCATGTTAGACTGACTGGTAACTAAATTGTCCCTAGGTGAGAGAGAGCGAATGGTTGGTTGTCTCTGTGTCCCTGTGATGGACTGGAGACCTGTCCAGATGTCCCTGTGATGGACTGGAGACTTGCGTGTCCCCTGCCTCTTGCACAGTGACCCCCCACAAACCGAAAAAGTGAGTAAAGATAAACGTATTAAAGCCCAAAAGTTTGGGAACCCCTGCGTTAGTCACTGAAGTGGGGTTCTGAAGGAAAGTTGTGAACAATAAACATCTTACCTGTAGTACATAGGCCGGACTGATGAGCTAGCAGCGAGCTAAAACCAGACGGTTTCTTTCGGCTGCTCTTCTTCAGGGGTCACCACAGCGCGCAAACATGACAGATTTGGCAGTTTGTTTTTACGCTGGATGTCTTTCCGGACGCAACTTGGGCTCGAACCCACAACCTCAGAGTTACAAGGCCAAACTACCGCAACCCCACGTGTTCAACTGAGGTGCAATTATAAACAAAACATTGCAGGGAAGCTCTAAAATGCAGTTACTGTTTATAGTGTAGTCAACTAAATCTGGACTAAAACTACGATGACCACTACCAGTAAAATATGACTAAACCAGAGAAAAATAGATTTGTCCAGTTGTGACCCAACAAATGTTCAACATCCTGCAAGAGGTCAACAAATAAAGTTTTCTTTTACCATTAAAAATAATTAACATACTTAAATGTTTATTCAACGGTTTCTACAAATTTTCCCCCCTCACTTAAAAATGAATTCATAAAACACTGAAGCCTCGTGGGTCCTTTAGACCCACGGGCAGCAGGAGGGTTAAAACCACAAGGCTGATTACTCGGCCCATCCCATGTTTGTACATATAAAATAAACCAAACGAATGCATCATAAACAGTTTTATTCCAAAAAATTAAACTTTGAAACTGTCAACATACAATCATAGAACAATGTTGAATGTACTGAACAAGTCCAACATTAAATAATAAAAAAATAACAGCCATGTTTTATGTACATTTCTATCTGAAAGCTATGTACAGTTGGGGGGGAACAAATATTTGTATTCTGCGACGGTTTTTAAACTGTTGCAACAAACAGAGCGACGAACAACCGCCTGCAGAAATTAATCACTATTGAAAAAGCTCAGCAGGTGAAAATATATCGACCTACAGCTAGAAAATCTAAAACGTCTCGCCTGAACGAGATCGCCGCGTGCACGAAACTCGCCTAACATTTACCGGATGTAAGTGTTTTTTAGGCTCGGAGATACAAAACCCACTTTATATTTCCGCCTGCAGTTCTGCAGAAAGCAGCAACAGAAGCCTGCTTTTAAAGAGTCATGCTTACGAGGTTTGCATTTCGTGGTCTTCGAAGCCCAAGCGAGCGGAGAAAGTTCTCCGGTTCTGGGTTCAAGCCATGCTGCCGTCTTATTTTTGCAAGTTAATCAGAATCCATGCAGCTCACAGAAACGAAACCCAAAACAAAAACGAGGGAACAGATGAAGTTTAAAGCCGCCGGGACTTTTCCATGCCGACACGAACAGCATCGCTCTGCTGTTGAACTGGATCCTGACGATAAACTGGCTCAAGTTTTTTGTATTTATGGAATCATGCTGGCTCCAAATCCTCAAATATCACATTTAACATTGAAAAAAAAACTTATTAAAATCTGTGTGCAAACAACAATATGACCAAAACACGGCACGGCAGTCTGATTTTGACTGTTTTGTCCACGAAAGCAGAGAATGAGCGTGCTAAAGCTACTCGCAGCGAGAATATGAAGCTTTAATGATTGTGAGGGGCTCAGGCTTGTTTCTGCGTCAGAAGGACGACAAAGTGTTTCCCTACATGCTCCAGACGCTGGTTTCTCGTTCAAACTGCACCTCTGAGTGATTCAAATTGATTTTTTTGTGTTTGGTTTTAAATGGCACAGCTTGGAGAAAACGCGTCACAGAACACGCCCTGAACTCCTGGACCTGCCGACGCGTCGACTCAAAAAGCAGCTGATCTGCGGCGACACGTCGAGACTCCCCGTCAGAGCGAAAACGAAACGGGCGAAGCATCTTCTAGTTGGAGCGCGAAGCAGAAACTCTCCGCTGGGTTTCACTTCCGACAGGTTCGGTGAGGCGTGTGCTTCTTGGGCACCTCGATGCGGCAGCGGCTTCGGTCGTCCAGCCACGGCAGATCGAAGTTACTGAGGATGAAAATAAATTTAAAACACACAAGAACAATTTTAGGTTCAATTTATTTGTTTGATCTTAACCAAAAAGAGAAAAAAACAAACTAATCTAATGAAAACACTGTTAAGAACCGCACTGTAGTGGATTTTAGCTGCTTCCATCGTGTTCCAAACGTTTTTAAACGATGGCACTTTTATTTTAAGCATTTTTAATGTTAAGTTTCAGAATAACAGAACCGTCACCATGACGACAGCTCAAAAACGATAACTGTCTAAATCTAATAAACTGTAATTTGAGACAGAGTTAAAACGGCAAAACATTACAGCAAAAAAAAAATTTAAAATATTGAAAAGTACATCTTGAAGAAGTCGTTTGCTTTAATGTAATTTTTCTTGCAATTGTTTTTTTTCTGCATAAAATAAAATGAAAAGTTTTTGGTTAATTTCTGCTCGGGACTCCCTCAGACTTACTGTTGTGTGAGTTTGGGAAGCGGCCGACCAAACGCCACCACGGGCAAAAACGGAGTGATCACTATAGCTTCCACTGCAGAGAAATAAAAATAAGAATCGGTTTTAGAAAACGACACTTCTCCTGCACCAAGTTTCAGTCGTTAAACTCTGAACCTGCGGACGCACCGTCTTCGGTGTCGGGGTAGAAGGACGACAGCTCGGGCTCCGACTCCTGGACCACCTTCTTCCTGTTCATGCGCTGCTGCAAACGCTGGAACATGCGCTGCTCTCGGATCCTCTGGATGTCCCATCTAGAAGCACAGGATTATTTTAAATGACCAAAACGACGAGGATTAAATTAGCAACGACAGCTTTAGGATCAATAGATTAAATAGAAGAACGAGCATCAAACTAATCTCTCTTCACCCAAACGTTTGTGTACTTGTGTATGATTATAAAGTAGTAATTACTCACCTTTTATTAGTTCTAACACATTTATTATTTAAATGTAGTGAATCTTAAAATCTAGTACTTCTAGGTCTGTGCTGACGAATTTGTAAAAATATACAGAACATGTTCATTTAGGTTGAATTTGTTTAAATGTATTAGTATTTCAGTTTAGTCCCTTAACGATCAACAGGCGTTTTTCCTTTAAGACACAAAACCAGTTTTATTTTAAACCTTTACGTCTCCCGTTTTTTTTATATATTTATGTTAAGACGACTGCAGACTTTTTCCTTTTATACTTTTGTGTTAAAGCTTCTAAAAAGTTCAGTTTTTGACTGGAAAAATTCCTCTTTGTGCACAATTAAAGTAAAATAAACAAATCGGTGCGGTTCTACTCTTTACCTTCAGTACTCTGTGTCAGGTCGACCCACAAAATATTTGATCTAATCTGATATAAATTCATTTTCAGCCTGCGTTGGTACCTTTTTCTCCTCTTCTCATCCAACTCCAACTTAGCGTGGCGTTTCAAAAAGACTCCGTCGTCCAGAGGCTTGATGGAGGAACAATTCGTTAAAAAAAAAGTTCAAAAGTTGGATTTAACAACACAGTTAATGTTGGTTAACTCAGATGTGGCTCACCTCACAGAAAGAGTCCTCGTCCAGGGGCTCTATACAGTTTTCCCTCCAAGAGGGAACTGGCAGGTGGAGAGAACAAAGGAAAGGTTATTCACAGACGATGTGTTCAGTGGATTTGATGAGGAACGTGTTTAAAGTTGGGATACAGATTAGGCTTACAAACAATCAGCATATCATGAACTACATGAGGAGTCCACTCACTGGCCACCTCTTCCTCCTTTTTGGGGGAAGTTTCTCGCAGAGGGGAGAGCGGAGGCTGGTTCCAGCAGCACAGATACATCTCTGTGGTGGACATGAAGGGCAGGTCCTCCATCTGGCAGCTCAGCTCCGGCTCCTCTTTGCACAGAAGCAAGCCGTCCGGACTCAGCCGGATCGGAACCGTCTTCTCCGGGGTTTCCTTACTGCGCAGCTCTCTTTGGTTTGGAGAACCCGGCTCCATTTCAGACTTTGGGGGACTGAGCTTTGCACTTTTACCCCGAGATTTCTGAGCTTTTGCGTCTCCAAAGCAAGACTTCCTGCGTGTTGGGAAAGAAAAGTACAACAGTTTGTAAAGAAGCAATAAATGTAATTAATTCAGTATGATGATGTGGTTTCTGTTTTTCTGCACAGTTTTTTTTTACAAATTAACAAATTCTGCACTTTCTGCTATTTTAGCTGTTCAAACACCAAAACATTTAGCTCATTTAAGAGGGATGCTATAACTTTTTTTTATAACTTTCCAGAAATTTCTTCATAAAGATAGAATGAGAAGTCTCCATTTTTCCAAATTGTTCCATTTGAAATCTTCAGTATACGTTCTCCATTTTTTAATTATCTATATGCTACTTTTCGTTTTACATACAACTCTACGTTTAGCTAGCCTTGCGTTGCCTTTTAGCTAGTTGTTTTGTACTTTTAGCTTCTACGAAGCCTTTTACTCCCAGGTAGTCTTCTGCTACTTCAGGCTATATTTTTGCTCCTTTTATGTTTTAGCTAATATTTTGCTCCTTTTAGCTGTTTTCTACAGTTCTGCCTCTTTAGCTTGAACAACTCCATTTCTGTTTTTCAGCATGGCCGTTCAGCTCTCATTATTTCCTTTGGATTTTCACAGCAAGTGCACTTTCTCCAATTCATTGTACCTTTTTTGACCCTTGCCACCCCGGTTGAACTGGAGGGGGGTGGCTGTGTTCGGCTGTGAACTCTCCTCCATCTCCAGATCCCACATGTCCTCTTTGTCAGGGGTCCACGGCTCCAGTGGCTGGAAAAGGCGTTTGTCACGAGGTGGGTCCTTCTTTGTGAGCTGGAGGCGACGTTCCATCCGCTCAATGCGTGCAAGCAACTGAAGACACAAACAAATGCAATCAACGTGTTGCCTCAAAGTTATAACATATGACCGGAACGCATTTTTTAAAAACACACCATCTCCTTGTCTGCTTTGAGCTCATCTATCTCCTTGTCCTTGGACTGCAGCTGTTGCTGCTGCTGTTCAATGAGGTCCAGCTGGAGAAGGAGAATCTGACGGAGGCAGTTGGCTTGTGCTTGGGGACTGGCGGGGGTCTTCCTGATGTTCCTCCATTTCCCCTCAGAGGACAGTTCAATGGAAGCGGTGCCGAGGACTCCAGGGACAACCCCCTTCGCGCTGTCTCCCGCACCAGCATCCTTAGGATTATTGTTCACAGCCATCTGAGGATCCATACTGTCGACAGAGAGGGGTTTACCTTTCACCGGGGTTCCCTCACCCCCCATTGGTCTGACAGGGGACAATATCCCCACGGTTTTGTCTCCTCGAACTATTTCTGCAACAGTGGCGGCAACAGCAACTTTGCTTGTCATATAAATCTGATGTAGGTCCTTGGACTTGTTTGGGGTCTCGGCCTTCTGCACGTTGTGAGCATCTATGACGAAGTCGCAGGGCTCCCTCTTGATGCTCACGGTGTTCACCCCGACGTGCTTGTGACCAAAGTCGATGGTGTCCACGTTAGTCTTGAATCCTGTGCTCGGAAAGGGCCTGGATCTCAGCGTCATGACGAGCACGACGGCTTCTCATGATCCCGCAGCGCCACAGCGGCTCCTTCACTGTGAACAGCTGCAAAACACGAAATGTGAAAAACATCAGCAGTTGTTTCACAGTAAGCCTGCTGCATTTAGATCAGAAGTGCACCTCCTAGAAAAATGTATGCCCAGAAAAGAGCGCCAGATTATTTAAAGTGTGCATCCTTCATCGAACATCGTCCTTTTGATATTAAAGCTTAGCTGCTTTAGCTCTGAGAAATAACAGCTTAAAGACGAACTCTTAAGTTTAAAAGAAAGTGAACCTACGACTGCTGCGGGCGGGCAGACATTTTAGTGTGAGGACTTTCAACAAGGACTCGGGAGTGGCTGTAGGACAGCAACCGTCTCCTCCATTTTGGTTCTTGTGAAAAACAATAACAGCCAGCTAGCTAGAAGGCTAACGTTAGCCGGCTAGTTTCACCTAAAAAAACGCGTCTCGACGTATTTTCGTCGTGTAACGACGTCGTCGTAAAACCAAACGCGTCTTTTTCAACATAGTTTTATGTATTTCAAGCTTACCTCGACTGCGTTTCAAGTGAGACAGCAAACTGTCTTCATGTTCTTCCCTCCTCAAGACTTGTTTTAAAGCGCCCTGTACTGCGCATGCGCAATTTATTGGCTGGCCATTTCTTGTTTTTGAAGGTTTTATTTTAACTATCACCACTAGAGGGCAGCATCACGTTGCTGCGCAAGCGCGTTCCAGTGACACGTATACGCGTCCGCCATATTGGAACGGGAGACACCAGTCAGAAAAGCATTTAAACCTATGAGGGACTATCCAGTTTAAAATTATTTAAGATTTCACAAACATTTTAAACTACAAGAGTTTATAATCTACGTGGTGATGATTATTTCTCTCCTCAGTGACATAAAATAATGATAGTCGAGTGAAGGCCTGGTTAATGAAACTATTAAAAAGATAAGATAAAAATAATTCCAAGTTTTAAAATGTTGCTGGTTTCTTGTTTCAAAATTGCAGGACTTCAAGGACTTGGGGTCCACTGTCCAGGGAAATGAGGAGTGTGGTAAAGAGGTGAAGAAGAGAGTCCATGCAGGCAGGATGGAGTGGATGGAGAAAAGTTTCAGGAGTGATTTGTGACAAAAGGGTGTCAGCAAAGGTCAAAGGAAAAGTTTACGAGACAGTGATGAGACCAGTTATGTTGTATGGTCTGGAGTGGAGACACGGACAAAAAGACAGGAGACAGAACTGGAAGTGGCAGAAATGAAGATGTTGAGGTTCTCCTTAAGAGTGACAAGGATGGAGAAGATTAGGAATGAGATCATCATTCATTCAACCTTTATTTAGACAGGTTAATCCCATTGAGCCTCGAGGACTCATTTACAGAGGTACAGCACAGGCTGAACAAGTGGGAGATAAAGTTAGAGAGGCAACTGAGATGGTTTGGGCATGTCCAGAGGAGGGACAGTGGGTATATTGATATAAGGATGTTAGAAATGCAGCTGCCAGGAAAAGGACAAAGAGCTAGGACAAACAGAAGATACATTATGGATGCAGTTAGAGAGGACATGGAGGTAGATGGAGTGAGGACAGAGGAAGCAGAGGAATGAGATGGTGGAGGAGGATGACTCGCTGTGGCGACCCTGAAGAGGGAAAAACCTAAAGAAGAAGAAAAAATGTTGCTGGTTTAAACTATTTAAATCATGAAACATTTATTCACAAAACAAACCGTAAAATTGCACAATACTAAAGATAATTTTGGATTTCTTTGTCATAATTTTTATGCAAAGTAATAAAGTACACACAAATGTTGATTTTGATCTATTTTGACACAAACTGGTCAAACTTAACGTTCTTAAAACTTGTACATTCTTCATTTGCTTACTGTCTTTTTTGTTACCTTTTCAAAATCCAGCTAGTTTTATTTAATAAAGTTCTAAAACTAAGCAAAGGGATGTAAATACAATACAGGACAAAGACAAAACGTTGCTTTAATTTTTTTTTCAAATACTGAAATATTATGTGTTTATATGGTTTATAGTTAATGACTAAATAAAAATTTAAATTTGTATTCATCAAAGAAAATGCACTTTGATTAAAAGTCTGCTTAAAAAAACATGCACAATATTTGCTTTTTAGTGCTATATTATTTAGGTAATAAATTGGAAGCCTAAAGTTATAAAATGTAAAGACAGAAATATAATAAAGACAATATTTCACACGTTTAAAAAAATATTTGGTTATTAATGCATTTTGATATTGAACCTAGCTTGCAGTTTCCAACCAGGACACCAGGGGGCGCTGTCGCAAAGCACCGGAAGTAGACTCACTTTCTGTAAAAATGGCGGCCGTTTCGCTAAATGAGCAATAAATACACTGAATTGTTATTAAAAACGCTACAATTCGGTCATTAGAAGCTCTTTTTTTTCCCGGTAGCAATAACTAAATTTAGCTTAAAGTCTCTCATAGTGGAAAAAAGAAACTAAAATTTGGTGAGCAACAAGCTAATTATACTAGTCAAGCTACAACCTATCTCTAGTGTTTCACTTGCGTTTTTTTAAACTTTATAAATTTTGTTTTGTTACACACACCTATCGTTTAGTCGAATTTATTTTGTATTTAGGAATAAACATTACGAAGATGCATCGTAGAGGTGTTGGTGCGGGGGCGATAGCCAAAAAGAAGCTAGCAGAGGTTTGTTTACATGTTTCTTTAGTCTCTTAGTAACTGTTCTGATCCAAAGTTCTTTTAAAAACACTTTCTCTAAATATGATTTAATGGTGGTTAAAGCGAGTCCGCACTTTACCACGACGAGAATAATATTTATGTTAAAAAAAGAGTTCTAGTTTTCTTGTGACATGTAAACATTATAATGTTGTGAATCCGAAGCATGTGGGTTTATTTTGAATCAGAGGAAAGTCCTTGTTTAAGTGAAGTGTTAGTACAAATTCAAAAATAAGCGAAGCCATTCATATGAAATGCACTGAAAGTAAAAGACTTGTGTTGCAACGCAGGACCACAACAAAAGGAAACAGGACAAACCTAAAATTAATCACTGTAACGTGAACAAGAGCAGTCAGAAAACGTCAAAAAATAATTTTCCTGAGCAAATAGTAAAAAGAAAAGTGGTGCACTGACAGCATATTTAACTGTATCTGATGCATTCATCTTTTGTTGGTTAAAAGACTCATTCTGTGAAGGTCAAACTGTTTCTCTGCATCAAGTAAAATAACTTTTAATTTATTTTAAAAAATTACCCAGCCCTTATTTTTGAATGGTCTGATCAGAGAAACTTAACATTTGATCACATATGATCAATGAACGACAACAGGTGAAATTATATCAGTGTTTGACAAGAAAAACAAAGTGTATTTGTAATTAAAGTTAAAAATGTTAAACAAAAATGTAGTACATTTTTTAAAGGAGCATTGCTGATCTTTCTTTGATTACTTCATATAATTCATATAACTCATTTTGGCTCGTCTGTGTTGTGTTTGTAAATATCTTTTAATAATTTGTTGTTTGCAACGTCTTTGTTTTTTTACTCAGGCCAAATATAAAGAAAGAGGAACTGTTCTCGCAGAAGAACAGATCGTGCTAGTAAGTTATTTTGTTTGTATTTTGAAAAAGTCAATTGTAGAATTCTGTAATAATCCCAAGCTTTTTTTTTAATGCATTAATGTTGCAATAATGTCAAATATTTTCAATTTCAAGTTTCTCCAAGTAGAGGATTTTATGTTTTTATTTGTCACATATCTCTTGGAACTGATATTGTCTAACATTTTTGGTAAAAAGAATAAAAATTCTCATATCTATCTTTCTGAAAAGATATGGTGGGAAATTTCATTATATTAAAAAAATAAATCAATCTAATTAATATCCACTATATTGTTGCTGCAATTTATTTAAGATAAGATGAAGATTTAGTTCCAGAAATGTATGAGAAATGTTTCTCCAAGTTCTACACAAAAACAAAGATTTTTTTGGTTAAACTGTAATTTGTCCCATTAGTTTGTGCACTTGATTAAAACAACTTGATTTGACTGTTTATATGTGTGTGAGTTTTGTTTTATACATATATTTTCAGTGAATGGTAAATGATAACGGGACAAACTGTTTGACAGAAAGAAGCAAAGCACCTGATTTACTGAGTATTTGTGTCTTTTTCTTTCTTTGAGATGTCGAAACAGTTGGAAACCTTCAAGTCCAACCTGGAGGAATTCGCCAGCAAGCACAAACAAGAGATCCGCAAAAACTCCCTGTTCAGGGTCCAGTTTCAGGAAATGTGTGCCACCATCGGTGTTGACCCGCTCGCTTGTGAGAACATTAGGATTTTAAACTCTTATTACAGATTGTTTTACGTTACTTATTCATCAAAAGGGGTTTTGAATTGAACAAAACTTTGAGAGTTTAGTTTTTTTCTCCACAGCTGGCAAAGGTTTTTGGTCTGAGATGCTCGGAGTCGGGGATTTCTACTATGAGCTCGGTGTGCAGATCATCGAAGTATGCCTCGCCCTGAAACACAGGAATGGAGGTTTGTCGATTCATGATCCTCAAAAGTATGAACCTGATTCTACGTTCAGATTTTTCCTGTTTCTCTGATTTTCTGTATGATTTTTACGATCCGTTTCTTCTATACGTTAAAAACGTTCAGCTCCTTCAGGAGATGGCTGCTAGCTTTTGGTTTTTTAACTTTTAGACTGTTCAAAAATTTTAACCCCATTTAAAAAAAAAAAAAATCCTCATTGAACTACACCAAGATCTCCCTTCATCCTCAAAAATTTATTTACCTTACCTGCTACTTTTAGCTAATATTTTGTTACATTAACTTGTAGCTAGTCTTTTTTACCTAATCTTAGCTCTAGCTCTTTGCTACTTTAACATTTTAGCCATTTTTTTTTACTACTTTTAGTTTCCAGCTAGCAAATTGATACTTTTAGCATATGCTACTTTTAGCTTGTAGCTAATTTTTTGTTACTTTTAGCTTCTAACTAGCCTTCTGTCACTTTTAGCTATTCTTTCATTACCTTTAGCTACTTTTAGCTTATAGCTAGCCTTTTGTACTTTTAGCTTATAACTCTCATTTTGTTACTTTTGGCTAGCCTTGTGATATTTTTAGCTTTTATGTAGCTCTTTGCTGAATTTAGCTTCACGCTAGCCTCTTCTTTTTTGTCTTTTAGCTTCTCTTCTCCTTGTTTTGATTCAGTTTCAGCTTCTTGAGCAGACTTAGCCCTCGGCGTTGTTATTTGCAGTCTTATTGTAAGATTTATGCAGGTCAGCAGCCGTTAGCATCTTAACAGCAGCTCATTTTGTTACGGCTGTTTATTTGTTGCGTTTCGATTGTTTGTTTCTTACGACCGTTTTCCTTCAGGGCTGATCACTCTGGACGAGCTCCATCAAAGAGTGCTGAAGGGGCGCGGTAAATACGCTCAGGATGTGAGCCAGTAAGTTTTACTTCTTCAGGGTGTCATGAAGTATTTCTTTAGCCGACGTGCGTGATGCTCGTGACTTATTCCTCATGAACGAGCTGCGACTGAACTTGTGCTTCACAGAGACGATTTGGTCCGAGCCATCAAGAAACTGAAGGTGATGGGAAGTGGGTTTGGGATGATCCCTATAGGTGGTTCTTATCTGGTCCAGTCGGTCCCGGCAGAACTCAACATGGATCACACTGTAGTTCTACAGCTGGCTGAGGTAAAATAATCATTTAAGGTTTTTTTTCTTCTTCCAAAATTAAACACTCTTGACTTTAACCTGACTTTTTCAATTTGAGGTGCGTCTTTTTAACGGAACACTTCCAGCTCAGTTTTTCAGTCATGGCCTTTATTCATAAAACTCCCAGTTCAAGTGAGAGGCACAGGAGAGAGAGAACTGTAATTTAGGATTTTATTTTTAAACATTTTAACATGACACCTGTTTGTTTCTTTACCTGTTTGCAGAAGAAGGGCTTTGTGACGGTGAGCGAGATCAAAAACAGCCTGAAATGGGAGACGGAACGAGCCTGTCACGTCCTGGTGCGTGGACAGTTCTTTTAATTGTTCGGGGGGGGGGGGGTCACGTCTATAACATTAATTCCAAAATGTTGTGAAGATGTAAATAACACATTTTATAAACCACGGCTCATAGTAAACACCAAATATAGACAGATTAGAAGTTTTACCGTTTTTGAGGAAAAGCAAAACAAGATTTTGAATTTTATGGCAGCAAAACCTTTAAAAATAGTTGCCAGGGACAACAAAAGAATGTAAAGGTAAGAAGTGCTAATAGGAAACAGATAGAGGAGCAATTCACAACTAGTTCAGGTTAATTGTCAGCAGGTATAAAAAGCATTTTCTAAATCTCTGATGGGCAGAGGTTCAGTCTGTGAGAAGCTGCGTCTAAAAATAGTGGAAGTTTCAGAATTAAGTTCCTTAACAAAATAATCTGTAAGATTTAGAATCTTCTATCTGCAGTTCATAATCTCATCAGATTAGAAGGAACTATGAAAGTTAGATGGTCGTGATCCTCGGGCCCTCAGGGGCCACTGCATTAAAACCAGGTCTGGTTCTGTTCTGGGCTCAGGAACACCCCCACAGATCATAACGCTGAACAACATCTGGAAAGACTCCGTCGACGCAGAACAGCTTTTAGAACATCTGCTCCAGTCCAAGGACGTCTTTTTCAGGGAAGGTCTTGCGTATTTCAGCAAGACGACGACAAACCACAGACCGTGCTGAACGGGCCTGCTGCAGTCCAAACCTCTCACCGGCCGACTTTAATCACGTCTCGTGTTTCCAGGATCACCTGCTGAAAGAAGGCTTGGCCTGGCTGGACGCTCAAGCAGCCGGAGAGGGTCAGTACTGGCTGCCGGCGCTCTTCTCAGAGCTCGCCTCTCGTGACGTCACGCCCGAGGAGGCCAGTCAGATGACTCCTTGAGACGTTACGAGCGGAGCTGGACCCGAGACGTGGAAGACAACGTGCCTGGAGGACGGAACGACGCGCTCATCACGGAGCGAGAAACCTGCTTAGCTTTAGGTGAACGGCGGAGCAGCACAGGTCTAAAGATGTAAATGTTAATTTTCTTGTACAAAGAACTTTGAAAGAACACGTTTGCACCAACTTTGCTGTCATGGATTTTTATTAATTACAACTGGTTCAATGCATTTAAAACAACTCGTACGACCTGATTCTGCTACACCGCTGAGCGAAAAGGTGTTCTTCTTTTTAAATAAACATCCGTCCACTCAAAGACGGACTTTACAGCTTTAATTAGAGGCTGAGGTTTTCCCTCAGAGCATAAACTTTTATAATAAGACACTTTCAGGCAACATTGTCTTCACTTAAAAGATCAGCTCGGTTTAGATCTTAAAATTAAATTGAGCTTTTTTACTTTAAAACAACGGGAGACGTGTCCCATTGGCTGCAAAAGTCTTGATCATCGGCAACAACCTCCAACACAAACACGTCTCATATCGTCCAATTTAAATCTTTAATATATTTATATTTGCTAATTATTCCCAATCACTTTTATATAAACATCTGTTGAAAGTAGTTTTCACTGTTTATTTTAGTGTCATGTTTCTACACTCGTTTTTATTCTGCTCAGAGGAAAAAGAGCCAATTATCTTTAAAAGCATCTAACGTCAGACGACACGAGCGTGTAGGTTTAAAAAGCCGAACTTTACAGCATCGGTTGATTTATTGTAGATAAAATGAAAAGCAAAAAGACGGAGGTCTAAGATTATAGCTAATAAAAAAAAAAAATCCAACAATTGAATTTGTTGCTTTTTTTGGAGCCGACAGGAAACAAAAGAATAAATTTCTGCACGTTGTCAACTCCGTTGCCTGTTCAGATTGTTGCAATGTTGCCAGTAATTTATTATATTTTTAACAATTTTTCATTTTTGTAAAGACCTAAAGCAACTACAAGTTTTCTTAAAGGAGCCGCAGGTTTTAATTAATTAAAATAAAAGTTTTAAAGGCAAATTTGTAAAATCAGAGTTTCAGCCCTGAACGTTTTGAAACGTTCAGCTGTGGAGGGCGTTGAACCTGAAACAGTTTTATGTGCGGTCTCCTTCGCGGCCGTCTCGTACGGCGTGGTTCAAGACCCCGAGGGCGCCGTCACAGCTCGTGTCCGTAGACGTGATCCTCGAACACGGACTGCTCCATGCTGTCGCAGATCATGGTGCAGAAGGGACACACTCGGTGGCTCTGCTCGTGCTGCTCCAGCTCGTCCTGGGTTATGCCCGGGAATCTCTCCTGGCAGTGACGACACACCAGCGCCGGCTGGGGACAGAAATGGAGACGGGTCGTTACGGAAGGTAACGGAACCAGACGGGGCTTAAGTTTTAAACCTGCTTTAAAAATAAACGGCCAGCAGCTGAGCGGCTCGTGTAAACAGAGTCCACGAGTATGTTTTTCTCAGCCTGGTTTGGAGACGTCTTCGTGTCCTCAGCCTTCACTGCGTCACCTAAAACTCTTTAAAATACGTCTCCAGCTCTGCACACGCCGTAACGCCGGATCAGCTTTCACATTATTGTTCTGTTTGTTTGCCTTGCAGTCTAACTACGTCTGAACTCCGCTCCACCGGCACATGGCTGCTGGGAAAGTTTGATTAAGAAGTTGTCTTGAAAAACCATTCGGATCTCTTTAATTCCTTCAAAAAATTTAAAATTTTATATTTGCTTTTTTGTTTTTAGCTCCTGCTCTACTACTTTTAGTTACCCTATTGATACTTCTACAAAAGACACAAAAATTTGCCATAAAAAAAAAAAAAAACTTCATATAAAAACTTTACCTAGAAATTACATAATTTTACCAAACAAAACAATTGTTAAACTAAACGTTCTGCAACAGTTTCTGATAATACTTTAATTTTCTGTGCTGAGAGGAAATGATGTCACTTACCTCTTCTTCTGGTGGTTGCAACGAATCTATAAGAAAATAAAGAATGACGTTATTTTGCACAAGACGTATTTCTGTCAGTTTGACTCTGAAAGTCCGAACCCGACTTGATTCATACGAAACTAAAACATAGACATTACTGCTGGGTCTACGTAACATCTTTTAAACAAGTTAATCTGATCACAAATTGATTAAATCATGAAAAACTAATATTTGTCAAGGTTCACTGTAGAGCCTATCAGTGACGTAAGAGTCAATTATTTATATTGATCTGGTGATAATTACTGCATGCTGCTCATCTCTGCTGAGAAAAGTTATGCGACCGTATTTTTTGGATTATAAGGCGCATTGAGCGAAACTAAAACATTTTGACAGATTTTTGAGCGTCGTATCACATAAAATCAGTTTGAGGTCGGTAGGCACAACCAGATTTAATACATAAGGCTCACTGTTGATTTTTGACAACATTAAAGGATTTTAAATTCGCCTTACAGTCTGAAAAATACGGTAATGTGCGTTCCCTCACCAATTGTGTCATAAATGTTCTGGTGTCCGTGTGAGCTCTGCTCGTCGGCTGAAGTGCCGCCGACTGGAGCGACGACGTCCGGCTGCACGTAGAGCAGTTCTTCTGCAGCAGCACCACGAGCACCACCTTCATCAGGGCTCGAGTAAACCGTGCGCAGCCTCTCGATGTCCCCGCTGAGTTTCTAATGAACACATTTCAGGTGTCGGAAAAGAAAAATCCACAGAAGGGACTCAAATTTAGGACATTGATTCGGTTGTACCTGGTTTTCTTTGATGAGCTCCCGATTCTCTAGTTGAACGAGCATCATCTGTTGTCTCTGCTCTTCCATGGAAATGTCCTTATCTGCCAAGATTTTATTCATCTCTGTGACTTGCAGCTGGAAAGTACAAAAGAAGACGAACTATTTGACCAAAACTTAAAACAACGAACACACAACTTTTCTCCTCGATGAACCTGCTGCAAAGATTTGTCTCTCAAACTGAAAAATCCAAGTCAGAGAAGTCAAATAAAGGAAAAACTCTTAAAAACTGTCATTTTTTGTGATTTTTTTTCTCCCCATGTTGGGACCAACTCTTCACACATTTGATTTCCTAGTTTCACCTTCCACTGAAAAATAAAGTTACCTTCCCAGTAACTTTTCTCTTTGCTAAAATAACATCGACGGCTGCTTTTACAGAATAAAAAAAGGTCTACATTATTTTTAATGTGAGAAACGTAAAACAGAAAATTCTACTTACGGTACGTTTTTCATTAGATTTTACTACAACTGCATTAACGCTCAGTTATGACACATTTTGTGCACGTTATTATCATTCTTGCTTACATCAGAATATGTAACACCAGAGCTCTAGAGTGAGAAAAGATTCAGGCATTTACAAAAAGTCACCGCTGCCAGTGAAAAAAATAGAAATAACTACCGTAGATTTCACTGTACAAGTTGCCGTTTATTTATTTATTTATATAAATTAGCATGCCTGCGACTTATACAGCGAAGCAAAAATATTTATGTTTTTCCCATATTTATAACCCAATTTTTGGTTGAGAGCTGATGATTTCATTCATTCTGACATGGAAAATATTGAACAATACTATTTTAGAGGGCCCTCAACCTATATGGCAAGCCAAGTAGGTAAAAGTGTCTATTAATGAGACACGTGGCTTGCCATACAAACCACCTTCGTCTCACTCCAGAACTCACAAACATCAAATCAGCTTCATTTTGCCGCCCAGGCGACATGCAGCTGATTGGACCACTAAAGTGCATTTCTTAAGGAAAAGTTCAACTGAGACTTGTTAAATTTCGAAGAAATGCACAGCGAGTCGTTCCTCTGCGTGCCCGTTTCCGCGCATCGGCTTTGAAAAGCAGCAGATTTGACCGTCAAAGTGCATTTATTAAGGAAAAGTTAAGACTGAGACACACCTTTACTTTAATTTTGAGCAAACAAACAATTGTTTTTAAATGTTAATCTTGTTAAAGTCCTCCCGTGCACGCTCCTGCAGCTGCCATTTGGCAGCCAATCAATTTTTGGCACAACACCGGCCCACAGTTCTGTGCCGTCAGCGGTGATGAATAATAGCTGTGACTTATTTATGTTTTTTCCACTTTATTAGACATTTTTGGACTGACGTCACTTATACAGCATGGCGACGTTTACGGTGGTAAGTACGGTATATCAAACTGAGAGAAGGGCTTGCAGCATGCTCTCATCTCTTAAAAGGGTTTCATGTTGAAATACTGAGATTCCGGCAGAAAATACAACTTTTCATATATTTTCTGTAAAGGAACAATTCTGCTCCACTTCACCTCATATTTGCTGCTTTTCCGGTTCTCGTGCTCGCGCGCCGCGGCCACATCCTTCAGCCGTTCCCTGATATCCATCAGCTCATTTTCTAAAACCTCCGCTTGTCTCTTGGCGATCCTGGTCTCCTCCCTCTCGGCTGCCAGCTTCACCTGCGTCTCCCGCAGCTGCCTGGTGACAGTCTGACACTGCACCTGAAGAGGACGCCTCGTTAGGTCTCTGCTCCTAGGTATATTTAGGAAACCCTCTTGGAAACTGTTCAAACCTTCAGGTCTTCCTGTGGCATCGTCTGCGTAGCCTCCTGCTCCGACAGCCTCCTGCACAGCTCCCGGTTCTCTCTCTCCACTTCGTCCATGCTGCAGGTGACGCTCCGCAGCTCCGCCGTGACTTTCTCCTTCTCTTTGATGCTGCTCTGAAGGTCCACCTGCCCCAAGTAAAGCACAGAGTGACTTGGATGGATGTTCAGATCAGGTTAGAGGAGCGGTCGCGGCGTTCTGCGAGGTTCTGACTGCATCCTGATTACCTGGTGAAGTAATTTACCTGCAGAAGCTGGAACCTGTCGTTTGTTCTGGACAGCTCTCGTTCTCCTTCCCTGAGTTCGGCCTTCAGCCTGAAACGCACACACCGTGACATCAGGAGGACAAACCTGTGGAGGTCGTTGGACCTCAGATATTTTTATGTATAAATGAACTCATCGCTCTGGGAAATAACATTCAGCTTTTGGACCTTTAGGTAAAAAAGTTCTGTTCAGTTTTTTTTACGAGGCAGGTTGGACTCACTTGGTGATCTCGTCACTTTTTGCTTCAAGCTTCTGCCGCAGCTCGTCGCGTTCCTCTTTCAGCTGGTTGATCTTCATCACAGCTCGGTCATATTTCTCCTACAGGAACACTCACACATTGAGCACAGCGGGAGACTGATGCGAGACTTCAGGCCTTGAACGCCGATTTTAAACCCTCTTACCTCGTTTGTTCTCGACACGAGGCTTTGACTCAGCCTCTCCTGCTGGGAAGCGTTCCGTTGCTGGATCACCATCTCCTCCTGGCGTCAACGTCAAAGTTAGGTTTTCACGTTCATAAAGAAGTTTAGATTTCACCGTAAAACGAGGACAAACCTTTAAACGGTCGTTCTCCTTCAGCTGCAGCTGCAGAGTGTGCTTTAATTTTTCATTGTGCTCCTTGATCTGATCCATTTCTTGAACCATATTAATCCAGTCTGTCTGTCTCTCTTCATTCTGCTCCTGAACAAATCAAACTCTTCATGTCAGCTTATCAGAGTTCAATTTCTCACGTTTCTGCATCATCAGCCAGACGCTGCAGGTCCCTAAACTCAGATAAGATACCTTAAAGGTGAGGTTTTCATCCTGCTTCTCCTGCAGAGCGCTTTTTAAGTTTTCATTCTCCGCGCTCATCAGAGCCAATTTTCTCTGCAGCTCGTCCTTCTCACGCTCGCTCTGCTCAACTTGGTCCTGAGATTAAATGAATGTTACGTAAATTAAAAGGTTTTTTTAAAGGTCTTTCACAAGAGGGAGGCATTGCACAAGTTAAAACCCTGCAAGTTAAACATTTACTCCAGAACAAATAAAACATTTAGAACAAAAGTCATGAAATCACCAAGAATAGAAAATATTTTGAGCTATAACTGACACATTTTTACTGCGTTATTTAAATTTACTGCTGAGTGTGAAGTAAACTATAAGGGTAAAACGTATTTAATGGCATTTTTTAATCTACAAATTAACTCAGAGAAAGTATAAAATGATTATTACGGCTGCCTAATTAATTCTATTAATCAACTAACCAATGCAGACATGTTCTTGTTTTCAGTTTTCTGCACCGCCCTCAACCTGGTCGTGTTTTTTGTTACTTTTCTTTTTAAATACCATTTTATTTTCACTTGTTAAAAAAAAAAAAATCTCAGTTTGTACCTTATTGTACCCTTATGATTAGTCTATTGTTGTTGTTGTTGTCATCACTCTGTTAAAATCAGGTCTCGCTTGTAAATGAGTCTCCGAGGCTCAAAGGGATTAATCCGTCTAAATAAAGGTTGAACAATTAAGGCAATTTTTTTTAATTGAAAACAATTATGCATTTAGTTGGAAACAATTAAAAACAGCAGATTGCCTTTAATGTAAAATATCTCATTCATACCTTGTTGTTGAACTTTCCCTTCAAATAATTTGAGTTTTTATTATTCCAAATAAATAAAATCAGCTCACCGTCTTCATAATGTGGGGCTGTATGAAATCTGTTTATTATATCCTAATTGTTCCTTTTTTTTTTTAACGTCATGCTTTACGCTGCAACGTTTTCCTCTTGAACAGTTTTAATACATGATGATAATATTTTATTACCTTGTGAACTACTGGACATATTTTAATAAAAGCTTCAGAACCACTGGACGATGGAAACCACAGCAACGAACTGATGTGGAGTTTGGTGCGGGCGTAGGCGTGAACAACATCCGTGCTTAAAATCACGGCTTTAACCATAAATCTAAATTTGCATATTTAATTACCGTCTGTCACAAGTGCTCCCGTCACCTTTATTGAATTGGTAGGATTTTGTGGTGGTAACAGGTGCAGGCGCCGGACTCGGCCGACTTGTGTTCGTATTCGATACCTGCGTTGTGATGACCAGCAGGTCGTCCTCCGTGATGCTTTCCGTGTTCTGCTCGGCTGGATTTGTGAAGCGGAAGGGAGCGCTGGCGCCGCGCACCTGCCCAGAACTGTCAATGTAGCAGAACTGGTAGAACTCGATCTCGTCTTTGGGCAGGTAGTATTCTGACAAGGAAAACAAAGCAAACGGCTTCAGAGCAGGAGCCGACTGTTGTGATCCGGAGGTATTTGGGTCATTCGAGCAGGTCGGATCTGGAAATCCAGACTTTATGTTGAGTAGGTTTAGTTATTTTTCTTCCCGTGTCACTTTCAGTGGTTTTCTTTTGGTCTTCCTGTTTTCAGCTACCCTCCCTCACATATGTTGATCAGCTCACCTGTTATTCATCCACCAATCGCCCCACCCAGCAGATTTATCCCTTTGTTTCACTGCACACCATCACAGCGTACGCTCCGATCCCTGTGCACAGCAGGAATCCGAGAGAAAAACTAAACATAGTACGCGTTCTCTTCGTCTTATTGTCAATGTTTTTCTGTTAAATTAGGTTAGAAACTGTCCAGATGACCTGACTGAAAAATGTTGGATTCTATACCTGGATTATTGAGCATGGACTTTGTTGTTTTTCTGTTAGGTTACACTTCGTAAGTTTGCAGGTGTTAGCAAGAACAAGTCAGTTTTATTAAACGTACTTTTCATCAGACAAACCAAACTGTGCAGATTAGGCGTCTTCCAGTCAGATGGAAAGCAGAGATGGTGACGTAAGATGGAGGAAATCCTTCTTGGATGATGGGAACATATAAATAAAGTCTGTTTTTACCGATTGTGAGAAAGGTGTTACTCGTGTTACTGTAGGGTTAACACGTGCAAGTTTCGATGGTGTTGTTCATGTTGGACGTAAGGGTAATATCTTTCCTTGAGAGTATTTGTACTACATTTTTGTCAAACTTTAATCCTGGACTCCTCAGTAGGTCTGTCACGATAACAAACACTGCTGGGTGATCAATTGTCTCAGAAATTATTGCGATAAACAATAATATGGTTTGAAATAATTAGTAATTATTGTCAAATTTAAGAAGAAATGTTTGTTATTTTTGTGTGTAGTACCTTTTTTTGACCACTGGATGGCAGTATAAGACAGTATGAACTGAAGGATGGATAGTGAGGGAGCGAGCAGCGTTTCTGGAAGAAAAATGGTAGAGATGCCACTTGACGTGACGTGGGCTGTCTCTCCCTTTTTTTTTGGTTCTCGGAATGGCGGACGCTCGGTGTGGTTTGAGCTCTTTAGCATTTGTCACACAAAGCTTTTAATAAAAAAATCAGTAAACAAGTTCTCAGCTTCTTTTTGCAGAGAAGAACAACTTTTTACACGAAGGCACGAGTTTCAACCGTGAAGTTTGGAGCTTCGACAAGACGGAGCTTTTATCCCCGAGGTCGGCTGTTAGCTTAGCTCGTAGCTTAGCTTCTCAGTTTAGCTGCTTTTAATGATCCAAAAACGTGATTTTGGACGGTTAGAACAGATTTTAAAGAGAAAAGAGAAAGGGAGAGGTCACTAAGGAGCATCGGAGTTGAGTCTTTTATCATCCAGTGTCTTCAGAAAGAGAGAGACACGAAGAAACGATAAAGCTGATAAAAAAAAAATGAGGTCGATAATTTTCATTTTACATGCGATTAATTGATTTATTGTTTATCGGGACAGGCCTACTCCTGAGTATTTTTAAAGAATTTTCCCAATAGTGTTCTAGGGAAAGAGTTTAGTACATGTGTACACTTGTGTTTAAAAAAAAAAAAAAAAAAAAACAGGTCACAGAAATTACCAGAAACTGACAAAATAATAATAAAAAAATAAAAAAACTGAAAATCAACCAATGAGAACTGCTTCAAAATTTAGGTTGATAAAAAAATATAAAAAAAAATAAAGCCTTGATGATACTTTTTTAATTTTGTTGCACAACCTTTTGAGACAGTCGAGCGATTTCTATAACTCTCTCTGAGACTTCTGCACCTGTCCACAGGTGTTCTGGTCCACTCCTCATGAACGAACCACTCCAGCTGTTTCAGATCTGAAGGTTTCTTCTACAGATGTTTCAGCTCCTTCCACAAACGTTCAACAGGATTTGGATCAGGGCCCGGGGAAGCCACTTCAGAACAGTCCAATGTTTGGTTCAGAGCCATTCTTGGGTGTTTTTAGCATTATCCTGTTGGAGGACTCAAAACCTGCTACGAGACTAAGCTTTCTGACACTGAACAGCACATTTCACCCCAGAATGCCCAGATAGTCTTGAGATTTATTTGTGCTCTGCACAGATTCAGGACACCCGGTGCCGCAAAGCAGAACAAAATCTAACCTCCTCCATGTTTCACTGCAGGTACAGAGTTATTTTCTTGTTTAATCTTTAGACCTGTGATCAACGAGCTGATGGGACTTGTTGCCAAAAATCTCCAGTTTCGCCTATCTATCCACAGCTGCTTGCTGATTATCCATGCTGCTGATCTCATGCTGCTGATCTCATGCTGCTGTATTCATTCATAGCTATCTGCTCACCACAGACTCATGTTCGGGCTGCCGTTACGCCGTATTGCTTTACATCATTAGTGTTTAGCGTATCTCTTAGATCTTTTAGCAAACCATTTGTTTATATCTTAGATCCTTATTTACCGTTTCTTTTTATACTTTATATTTTGCTACTTTTGGGTGTAACCGAGACCCTTGTGTACATAATTTTGTTCCACCTCATGTACCACATGATGGAAATGACAATAAAGTTCAATTGAACTTGAACAAAGGGTAAATCTCCCAGAAGCTTTGTTCTCAATATGCATTTTGGCAAATTCCAGTCTGGATTTTTTATGATTTGGCGTGCTCGTCTAACATTCAGTCCACTTCAGCTCAGTCGGTGACGGGGGTTCGATCCGACTGATGAACCTTAACCTTGGAGTTCACCTCTAATCTTAAATCGATTGTTAAATTACATTAGTTGTATTTCTGAGTTTAGATCTATTCAGTCGACGTCCTTTAAAGCCTAAGTAACTGGTCAATTTGATTTTTTGTTGTGTAAACCAAACCTCAGGGTTATTTGTTTATATCCTTCATGCTTTGATCGTTCAGTTCCTCATACACGGATAAACTAGTTGTAAAAATAGAATTTAACAGCGTTTAAATGCCAAAAAGATAAACTGGTTTAAAGATTATCTGCGCACACAGTTTACACATGAGACAGAGGAGCTTGCGTGACAAACCCCTTCAGCCTGCTGTGAAAGACTAAAACTTACCCTTGAACACAGCTCGCCTTATCTGCTGCCCCTCTGCATCCTGACTGGTCTCCACCCACACAAAGGTGTGATAATCCTTTGTCGAGCTCCACCCCACCTGTGCAATAACATGCATTTATTTTATTTTACAAATAATAAATAGAGGAAGAAAAAAAAAAAGCACATCTTATTTCAGCCCACCTTGAAAATGCCCACCCAGTCCCTGGAGCTGGGCTGGAAGGCAGGATTGAGGGTGAAGCTGCAGGTGATGGAGGCTGAAAGCGGGTACGAGTACTGGATGTCGGTGAAGACCACCTGGGAGAAGGTGGGAGGCGAGGGGTCAGCTCCTGCCACCTCTTTGTGGGTCTCCATGCTGCAGAAGAAACGTGGAGCTGTCACGATGGGCCTGACTGATGACGGCAGGTTGACCCGTGTTGCAAAACAAAGCAGCCCCGGTGTTAGCTAACCACTTCCTGTTGTTGTTTGTGACTTATTGCGCATTTAATTTTGGTTTCACTTCTTCCAAATATAGCTTACTCGTCAATTAACTACTCAAAAAACACCCTCGCTTCCCTAAAAAAAAAAAAAAAAAAGTTAACACCCTATTTTAAAATAATTTGATCACTTGACGATTAGCTCAAATCGATGTTAGCTAAACAATTAATCGAAAAGCAACTTTCGTTGACAATACGAAAGTAAAGCAGAACTACAGTCCACGACGAAAGCTAATTTTGTTAAAACTAGCAGGCAATAATATTTTCAAGAGGCGCTAACATCACGCATACAAAAGAAAACGCCAGTAAAAGCCGAGCTTAAAAACATTAAACTTACGTTTATTGCCAGTTGACGCAGTTCTTTCTTTGCTCCGCGGTGAATCATGCGAAGGTGCGTTGCGTTCAGGACGCCTCGGAACTTTGTTGATCCAGTACGAAAAAAAAAAAAATGCTGACACGTCCGGCACGTAAATATATAAATAACATAAACAGTTATCTTCAAAATAAATATGATGGACCAAATCAAAACACACATTAGCAGAAAATAATACAATTATGTGAAATCCAATTTATCGCCGACGCACAAATTTAAGCAGAATTTTTTTCCCCCTGATAGTCTTAAATATATCAGAAGCTAAATGCGTTGTGGGATTTGTAGTCCAAATAAAGTTTCGCTTCTCTTTATTTTTTATTTCACTAGGGGGAGCCAGACTCTTTACATGTAACAAAAGATTTCAACATATGATGAGAACCTACATATTTTCTGTTCATATTATACTATTTATTAGTTACACTTTTATAGTAATGTGAAGACATTGTTGGGAACAATAATACTAATAAGTATACAATAAACTAATATAATCAATTGTATAATATGTCAAAAGTCAAAGTCAACTTTATTGTCAAAACTGCAATATGTACAGGACATACACAGGATAGAAATTTTGTTAAACATTTAATAAACATTAGTATAAAATTAAATAATAAAAGTATGATACTATCCTAAATTGTAAGAATAACAGTATAAAAATATAAAAAGTATATCTATAAGTATCAAGGTCCTGACAGTGACATTTGTAGTAAAGTGACAAAGCAACATATGAAGTGAATGTACGATATGTATGTATATGTATGTATGTATGTATGTATGTATGTATGTATGTATGTATGTATGTATATGTATATGTATATGTATGAAGTCCTTGATATTGGTATAGAGGTAATGTGACATATGCAATAAGGCTAGTAAAACAAATATAAACAGTAATGTAATATAAACATTAGTGTAATATAACAGTAGTGCAAATGTAAACAGTAGTGCAAATTGAAGACAAATGGACTTTATTTGTGAATGGTAAATGGACTGCACTTATATAGCACCTTGGGTGTACACAGGTCTTATGTCTTATGTAATGTTCTCATTTTTACTTCATTTTTACTTTATTTTTACTTTATTTTACTTTATTACTATTCGCACCTTATGTCGAAGCAAATTTCTAGTTTGTGAACCTCGTTCATTGATCTGATTCTGATAAAAATATAAAAAGTATATCTATAAGTATGAAGGTCCTGACAGTGACATTTGTAGTAAAGTGACAAAGCAACATATGAAGTGAATGTACACAGTATATGTATGAAGTCCTTGATATTGGTATAGAGGTAATGTGACATATGCAATAAAGCTAGTAAAACAAATATAAACAGTAATGTAATATAAACATTAGTGTAATATAACAGTAGTGCAAATGTAAACAGTAGTGCAAATTGAAGACAAATGGACTTTATTTGTGAATGATAAATGGACTGCACTTATATAGCGCCTTTCTATCTTAACAAGATATCCAAAGCGCTTTACAACAATCTGTGCCCTCATTTACCCATTCATACAGCACTCTACTGTATCTAAAGAGAAGTCACATCATATGATACAAGGGTTTCTCCTGGGGCTAGCTTCAAATGTTGAACTTTGTTGAGAAAATCAATGGAGTTCTCTATGTGATGATGTGTGTTTCCAACAAGAAGGGCTAAAACAGTAATAGTAAAATAGTTTTACTATAAACTAGTGTAATCTGGGCAACATGAGTGCATAATATGTGTGGTCAAACTCTGTCACTGTTTCACAAAACAACATATGCTGCACATCTCCTTTTTAGTTCACCTCCAGTGAAAGCAGCACCATCATGTGTTGCAGTGCGAAAAGACACTTTTTTGGTGATCTCCCCCCACTTTTGTTTTTTAACAAACAAACAAAGAGTAGTGTATAAAAGAATAAATCAGGGTGTTGTAAAACAGGGTGAAATACTAAAACCAAGAACATATCTGCCTCAGTTTTTCTATTGACATTATCAAATGTTTGAAACTCCTTAAAGAAATTAAGGTGGACAGCTTCAGGTCTTGTTGCAAGGTGTTCCAAGTGTTGCTGAGTAGGAAAAGGCCTTTTCTCCAAGTTCAGTCCGCACTGAGTGAACGCTGCAGGTAATGATGTCCTGAGAGCGCATGTTGTAACTGCACTGATGACGTGACATGTGGGAGGAGATATAGCAGCAGACCAAGGAGGGATTTATAGATGAAGATGAACCAGTGTGAGAGCCTACGTGTAGACAATGATGACCAACTGACCAATGAGTACAGGGTGCAGTGATGGGTGCAGTAGTTTATGAATCTTAGTGCACCATGGTAGACAGCTTCCAACATCTGCAAGGAGCTGGCAGGGGCATTCATGTAAATAATGTCACCGTAATCAATGGCCAATAGGAAAGGAGCTGTTACATCCTGATCAGCCTTTACACAATATGTCTAAATAAAGCAGAAGAAATATAAAAATGCAAATTAAGTTTTTCTCATTTAAATAAACTGCGCAATAAATAAATTAAAATGTAAACAACACAAATAAACAAAAAAAACCCCAGCTAAAACAGACTCGTTGAAGTGTTCTTTAACTTCACTGTTTAATTAAAACAAAACTTTACTGTTTAATTGTTGCTTCCTGTTTTCCTTCTTTGCATCAACCAATCAGAGACGAGAATTCTTACAACCCGGGCTTCTGATTGGCTAGGCGCTGGTGCGTGCGCGTGTGTTTGACTCGGAGTTGATACAGATTTGCCTCAGTTCCTGCCGCTCGGTTCGTCCAGTCTGAGCGTCACAGCACAAGAACATCACAGAAAGCTGCTCTCAGCGAGAGAATAAAACCACGACATGCTTTACCGAACGGTAACGTCCCCTTTTCGACATGTTTTAAGATGTTTTTAGCCGCGAAAGTGAACTTTAGTCAGTTGCTAATGCTAGTGGCTAGCCTAAAGCTGGAGGTCGGCGTTCCGTTGCCATGGTAACAGTGCAGCGCAGAGCAGGCTGAGGCGGCCAGTTTACTGAAGTTTGGTTTATTTCTTTGTTTGTTTGTCTTACATTTTAAGATTTTTGCCCAAACTAAACACTCATATTTGTTGTGAATTATTGAGAAACCTTTTGCGATGATAAAACAGTCAAGAATCACTGAGAAAACCCATAAATGAACTAAAAACGCCTGAATATTTGCATTTAATAACGTCTTATACCAACCCAAAATAATTAAATAAAGCAATGTATATTACCATATACAAAAAAGGTTAAATCATTTCATCTGACACATATAACGTGCATATATGCACAGTTGATTTCTTGTATGAATACGCACAATAAATTTTAATATTTTAGTGACATACCAACGGTTATGTACATGTGTTTTTGTGGGAAGTAATAAAATACATAAGCTACCCTATGTTACAGCTATTTTATGAACTTTTGTTTGTTTTGTGGACTAATTGACAAGTTTTATTTCCTGCAAACAAACAAATTCATCATGATGTAACATGACCACACAAGTAATGACAAAATAACATTAATTACATTAATGAAAGGCAAAGAGATGTTTAAAATCAACTGTATAAGACGCTAAATAAAAAGGAAGAGATGCAAAAATAAAAGTGTTTCTAAAAATGAGATTCAAAGGTAACACAAATAAATGCCCAATGACTACACTATATGGCTAAAAATAACTACAAAAAATTTTAAAATAGTTAAAAAGAGAAACAAACGAGTTTGAGTGAGAAACAAGCAGGAAAACATGAACATAAATAAACCCAAAGGAGCCAATAAGATGTAAAAGTTCCACAATATATGTGATTATATGAACCAGAACAAAAAGAAACTCACAGCAAACGCATTTAAATGTAAACCAACTACATCAGACCATTAATCAGCCACAAAGAGACACTAAAGGACCACAAGAGGGCCAGCAAGACCATAAAGAGACAAAGCTGTCAGAAAATGGCTGCAGAGGGACAAAACAGAATTCGAACGAGGCCCAAAATTACAGCAGAAAGTGCAAAAGTAATGAGACACAAAGAGGCCCAAAAGAGAAGAACTGGTTAAAAGATCTCCAGCAAATGAACACAGAGATTCACAGAATTAGCCTCAAACAGACACAAAAGGACCTTAAAGAGACTCGAGCATCTATAAAGAAATGCAGAATTATCAGGAATGTGTGCAAATTGACTTAGAAGAGACATAAATGCAACAAAAACACATTTTAAATAACCAGCAGCTGCAGAGACAGTAGATGTAAAATTACTGTGAACACACATCTGCTAACTGTTACAATCTGCTGTCAGTATTTGTTGAGCAAATAAACTCGTATTTTTTGAATACGCGAACACAAAGCTTCTTTTATTTATAGGTTTTCTTGAAGTATTCGAGTTTCACACTAAGATGATCTTCTGTCGAGGAGTGACGGAGTTGTTTGTTTTGTTCAAACCTTAACTTTATGTTCAAACTCGTATACCTAATCTTATATAGCAAGATGTATCACTCAGAGACCGTGTTGTGAATCACTCACAGCTACTACCACACTAAATAAACTGACAAAGTTATAGCCGTTTATGTGCTTGCTGAGCCGTGTCGGCCATCTTGAATCATTGATTGATTGAAACATTGATTAGTTATTGAAAGTTTTCTTTAAATTTCTTTGGGGGTTGATGAGAGTCTGCCTTTACCTTTCCGCTCTTCTTCAGCCAACGCATACTGACCTAGTTTATTATAACACACACACACACACACACACACACACACACACACACACACACACA